GCCAACGATCTTGACGAATTGTTGGTTGAAGCCGCCAAACTGAAGAAGCTTGCTATGGGCCTTTTCGGAGACATTGCTTCAAGGGAGAAAAGCCCGAAAAAGGATGATGACGAAATTTCTTATCGAATCTACGGATACTTGAACGGTTTTGTTAGGTTTCTGCGACGCTACGTTGGACGCAAACCTGCCGAAGACGAAGGGAAGGAAATAGAACCATTCCAGAAACGTGTTGCTGCGGTTCGGAATATCGCCCTTGCAGCCATCGATTCTGTCATTGCCATTGGAAGGCTATCTGTCTTGTCACAGAGACCGCCCTGGGAGGAAATGCAGTCAACATTGATAGACAGCCAACGCCTACTGATAACAATGGGGTCAGCGGGAGAAGCGTCCGATTCAGTTGCCGAAAGCATTGGTAATTGCTTCGTGAAGCTGTCAAATCTCTTTTGGTCTCGGTACATCAAGGAAAGGGAGTCTGGCAAAGGAGTTCGGGAGCTCGTGCCTTTGCTGAAGCAGTCTGCGACGCTCCTGTCAGATTGCTCGCCGGCTCAGAAGGTTGCGGGTTTCACGCCTCTCAAATACGAGAAGCTCGCGCATCTCTATCTAGAGGCTAATGTTGCCCGTGAGGCTGAGCAAGCTTTCCAGCAGTCGATTGAGGAACATTTACTGACCGGGACTCTCGACCAAGTGCTGTCTATCACGGAAGGGTGCTTCCCTCATCGGATGTGTCAGGATCCTAAGAGCGGTGGTTTCATGCTTGGCCGTGTTCTCTATGCGTTTCTGAAGATGAACCTGAGGAGCAAGTCGGCCAAAACATATGGCGTCTTCGACGATGACGATCTGACCAATCTCCAGAGCGGGCATCTTCTCGAATGGCAGCTAGGTATCATGACCGACTTAGCCTCCGCTTCTACACTCGATAACTCCTTCCGGTCTACATTCGGTCTGCTCCTGACCAAACTTCTCGAACTATACTCTCCAAAAACCCATCCAATCCGGCGCTTGCGGGTGGTGCTCACGGCCTTGCGCTTTTCGCTTGAATACCCGGGCTCTCTGGATTCTGACATACTACAGAAAGTCATTGAGGCTGGCTCAAGCAATTTTGACATGGAAGAACTTGGCGACGATTCAGACCTCTCGCCTCTTGCAGGGCATATACGAAATTCCGTCCGACTCACGCTAGGACTTCACGAAGGCACTCTCCAGCCAAAGGATTTGGAGAGTGTGCTAACTTGGTGGAACCTGTTGATACGGGAATGCAATGGCTGGGACTCGGTAGTTGCAAGCGTTGGAGACGTTGACCACTTCTTGCTTCAGATGAAAGCTATCGTCGACTATACTGAGATCCATGGACTATGGAAATTGCAGCTTTCCACGCTTGAACTGGTCTTGCGCGTGACGGAGCTAAAAGGATCTAGCGACTTCTCCGAAGCGATCATCGTTCTTTCACGGCTGGCACTCCAGTACAGCCGCCTTGGATACTGTACAAAGGCAGACGAATTACTGAGCCGAGCGGACCAATATTTCAGTCAACGCGACGTCTCTTGCCTGGCATTGCTGTCCCACAAGCTAGCTCGGGTGGGATATCTTCTTGAAGTTGGTGACATTCAGAGAGCAGCAAGTACTCTTTCAGCAGCCCGAACGATGTATGAGAACAACCAGAAGAAAGAAGATCTGAATGCTTGCTCGGTATTGTCGAAGCTTATGTGGGAGAGACTGGTGGCCGATGCGGCTTTCATGAGCTCACGGCTCTCTTTTGCTCAGGGCTCGATCAATGATGCTCTGTTTTTTGGCAAATTGTCTGTCAGGCTAAATTGCAGGATTTGGGCGAAGATCGAAAAGCTCGCCCAGAGAAAACAAGACAAGATCGCTCAATCAAACGAAAACTCTGAACTGGAAACTGTGGTTGAAGGAATGGCAAAACTGGAGGTCTCACAGGCGAACGCAACCCTTGCCGTGTACTCCCAAGGTGCCCCTTTTTGGCCTCATATAGGTTCGCATCACATGGCTCTGTTGAACTTGTCGAGCCTTTCCGCCCATCACGGTTTATTCCAGGACGCCATCTACTACGGCGAGCAAGCGCTGAAGATTAACAAGACATTAAACGCCAATGTCCGTCTGATCGCTTCACAAGCGCAGCTTGGCTCGCACTGGATATATGGCGGGCATATGAAGGAAGGCCAGGAGCTTCTTGCGGCAGCCGAGTCATTGTCCAAGCAGCTCGACAACAGTATCGAGCTTGTTTCGCTTCAGATCGGCCTTGCTTCCCTCCATAGAGCACAGGGTCGTTACCGCGATGAACACCGTGCTCTCCTCGAAGCCGACAGGCTCATGGCTGAATGTGGCGCTTCTGAGCCATTGGACGTTCTCTCAGGTGTAGCAGACCTTAATGAGAAGATGAAAAAGCTACAGGTCCAAGGTACTGCTAGGAAGACGAGGCAGCGGGCGCCGACGACGACCCGCCGAACTCGTGCAGGAACTACAAGCGCACCCAAGGTGTCAAGCCCCAGCTCCGAATCGACAGAGACAGATTCGACGTCACTTCTACATTTGCGGAGCGACATTCTTCGGCAGCAAGCAGCATGCTTGCGTTCACTACGGGACTTTGAAAAGGCATCCAGCTTGCTGGAAGATGCGCGCAAGTTTGCCACTTCTAGGGACAGTCAGATCTCCCTGCACATTGGAGAAAGTGAGCATCTACTCGCCGATGCCATCCGGAATTTCGCCACCCATGCAGTGTACTGTGTTCTCCCTGAATCGACTATTTCCCTTCCGTCGCTCCAGTCACCAAGTAAGACGGCGAGCCAGACCAGCACTGGTAAAACGACTACCACTCGCCGGACACGAGCGCCAACAAAGACGGCTACGAGAGGTACTCGCTCCAAGACGCCTAAGCCGACAGAGGACTTCTCTGTGATGCTCGCCAAAGCGAGCGAGAGTCTGAACACCATCTTCCCGCTTGCTACGACCCTCGGATCGACCCTTGACAGCCATGCCGCCTCTCGCTTGATGAGCCGTATCTCTATGTTGACTCATGTCACGGCACTTGATAACCTTGTTTCGCTCTCTCAGTCACCAGCAAATGTGAACGAGGTTGGCCGCATTGGTGCTTTTACCCGGGAGCACGCTGCCATCGCTCTTGACAAACAACTCGCAGATTACTGCGACCCCCTGCTTTGGCCGACTGCCGAGTCTGCAGTGGTACCGGAAGAGGATCTCTGCTCACGATTTACTGAAGAATATGTTGACATTCTTCCGCAAAACTGGAACGTCCTTTCTCTGTCCTTAAGCAGTGACCGTACTGAATTTGTGGTGTCGCGGTTGCAAAAGGGTCGTTCGCCGTTCTTGTTGCGTTTACCTCTCAAGCGTGGCAGTTCAGAGGACGAGGAAGAGCAATACACGTTCGAGGATGGCAAGGGAGATATGCAGGAGCTTATCCGGCTGGCCAACGAAAGTGCGCATGCAGCTAAGCACCAAACCGACCGGCAGATGAAGAAGGACTGGTGGAAAAACCGGGAAGCACTGGACCGTCGGATGGAAGCTCTTTTGCAACATATTGAAAATGTCTGGTTCGGTGGATTCCGCGGAATATTCTCTCCGGTCCCTCATGAGACTCGTTCACTTGCGCGGTTCGCAGATGCATTCCATAACATCCTCGACAAGCACCTACCCTCACGCCGCAAGGGCGGGCGAGCAGCAAGTCCGCGGTTGACACTTCATCCAAATGTGCTTGAACTGTTCATTGGTGTCAAGGACTTGGATGACCAAGAAGACCCCGAAGAGACGTTGATGGACCTTCTCTACTTTGTGGTCGATATCTTGCAATTCCAGGGGGAGCGTAATGCGTACGATGAGATTGACTTCGACATGATGGTGGTGGAAACCCTTGACGCTCTGAGAGGGTACCACGAGCACGTCCGGAAGGAGCAAGGCAACCCCTCGCCGAACCGTACTGTTCTGGTGTTGGACAAATCCTTGCATATGTTCCCGTGGGAGTCTCTTCCGTGTCTCCAGGGATTCCCCGTGTGCCGGGTGCCCTCCTTGGAATGTCTTCGGGACCGAATCGTGCGATTCCGCGACGAAGGGGCGGAGAACAAGGCTGGCTTTGCGATTAGCCGCAAGAATGGCACCTATTTCCTTAACCCCACTGGTGATCTGCAAACCACGCAGGGTACCTTCGAGAAGGACCTTTTGAAGCTGGAGGGGTGGAACGGAGTGGCCAACCGGGAGCCTACAGAGGAGGAGTTCAAGACTGGGTTAGAGTCGAACGACGTGTTTCTGTACTTCGGACACGGCAGTGGCGCGCAGTACTGCCGGGCGCGGACGATCAAGCGTCTTGACCGGTGCGCAATCACATTCCTGATGGGCTGCAGCAGCGGTGCTCTGACGGAAGCCGGCGAGTACGAGCCGTACGGCACGCCGATGAACTACTTGCATGCGGGGAGTCCGGCATTGGTGGCCACTCTCTGGGATGTGACGGACAAGGACATTGACCGGTTTGCCAAGAGCACGCTGGAGATGTGGGGCCTTGTCGGGGGACGTGAGCAGACAGTGGCTTTGGATGATGCGGTTTGCCAGTCCCGGCAGGCCTGTGTGTTGAGGTACTTGAATGGTGCGGCGCCGGTGATCTACGGGATCCCCGCGGTGTTTTTGGCGTAATCAGGGGAGATGGATAAGCATTGGCGTTATTTTCTTTTTGGGAAGGGGTTATGATACCTATGGCATAGCATGGCAGGGTAGTTAGTTTAATTCTGCATTGAATACACTTCATCAATCCTATCTATTCATCCATCTATCATCTAGATATTCTCGATGATAAATCCGGGATAGTGCCGATAACTTCAAACGGCAAAAATTTCCGGAGTTTGAGGATCCACCGCCCCTCATTTTCCCCTCATCCGATTTCTTCCCCTCATCATTGTTGATATAAACCATCCACCTTCCCCTAAACTACTATCACACACTCTCTCCATCCCAAATATCCCCAAGGAAAAGTATACACCATGTCCGTCACGACAAAAGCCACCATCGCCTCCTTCGGCGGCAAGCTCCTCAAGCTCACCCACGCCGCCACCTCCACCAAATGTGAAATGGGCTTCAACCTCTACCTGCCCCCTCAAGCCTTCCAGAACCCCTCCTCCAAGGTCCCCGTCCTCATCTATCTCTCGGGTTTGACCTGCACGGCCGAGAACTGCTCCGAGAAGGGCTTCTTCCAGCACGGTGCGAGCAAGAAGGGCATTGCCGTGCTGTATCCTGATACGAGTCCTCGTATGTTCCCCACCCCCCACATTCCCTACTTAATTCCATAACCAAACTGCACTATATACCCTAATATCGTAGTAAATCTAATAATGGATATGCTAATAACGGATGGGGGAAAATATAGGCGGCCTCAACATCCCCGGCGAAGCCGACAGCTACGACTTCGGCACCGGCGCGGGCTTCTATGTCGACGCGACCAAGCCGCCCTACGACAACGGATACAACATGTACACGTACATCACAGAGGAATTGCCCGCTACGGTATTTGCCGCGTTCCCGCAGCTGGATAGTGAGCGGGTGAGTATTACGGGTCATAGTATGGGTGGACATGGGGCTTTGACTTTGGTACGTTCATACTACCCTTGATCTTATTGATATTATCTATGATTCGGATTTTGGGTTACCTCGAGGAAAGGGGGGGTTTTTTTTTTGGCTAATAATGTGTATGTAGTTCCTCCGCAACCCCGGCAAATACAAGTCCGTGTCTGCGTTCGCGCCCATCACCAACCCGATTAACTGCCCGTGGGGACAAAAGGCCTTCTCGGGATACTTTGGGGAGGATCAGCAGGAGAAGTGGAAGGAGCATGATGCTACGGAGTTGGTGAAGAAGTGGAAGGGTGGGAGGTTGGATGTTTTGATTGATGTTGTATGTTCACTCACACTCCCTTTTATTTTGGCCCCTTTTAGGTTGGTTTGTGGGATGTGTACTAATGATTTATCTGTGTGTTTGTGTGCAGGGCACCGGAGACAACTTTTACAAGCAGGGCCAGCTTCTTCCTGAGAACTTTGAGAAAGCTGCCAAGGAGGCCGGCGTGGAGGGCGTGACGATTCGGTATCAGCCTGATTATGATCACAGTTATTATACTATGGCTACGTTCTCGGATGATCATGTGGAGCATGCGGCGAAGTTTTTGTTTGCTTAGTGGGTTTTCTCTTCCCTTTTTTATTTTATTACAGGTCTATGTGTTGTGACTAGACTGGTCTATATTTTGTAAAATGAAATTATGCAAGTTCGTGTGTGACTGTTCTGATAGTGTGAAGCGACCGTCAGGCTAGAGCGTCGTTATAAATCCAAAACTGGAGGGATATATTTAGGAATCATAATGATCTGATGATGGTGTATATAATGGTTCACGGGAATAACAGATTATCATTGACCAAATAAGCTACTATAAAATCACTGCAACCGACTTATCAACCCCATGCATAGACTCGGGAAACTTGCAATCTCCACTGCAATGCCCTTGCTGATTTTCCCACGGACACTGATGTCCACAGATACACTTGGGATCCGTACACCAGATATCATTCGGACAGACGCACGTTCGCGTAACACACCAAAGGTCATGAACATCCCTAGATCCCAGTCGGCGTCCGTGTCTGTGCCCGCACTCATCGCCAAGGGGACACTCTCCCAGAATATGATATCTACTGCAGTATTTTGACCTTCGTAGTCTTTCGTAATTGTCTTTTCTGCTGGCCCGGGGTGGCGGATCGACTCGCTGGCTCTTGCTGTTGAGCTGGACTTTGTTGAATTGAATGTGGGTGTCGTACGAGGGGGAGATATCGAATGTTATTACTGAGATTTTGGACCGCTTGGATCTGTTTGTTCTGGTGGGAGATGTCGCCTGGAGATTCGACTTGGCGATTGTGGCATAGTTGCGTTTAGGCGTTGAGGGCGTGCTGAGGCTGGTTGGGGAGCTGCTGGGTGAGGAGTTGGCGGATGCTGTTTTGAATGCGCTGAAGGATGATGCTCGGGAGGGGAGCTTCGTGGATCGGAAGACCTCGGGAAAGGATGTGGTTTGGAACTCGCTCGCAAGCTGCTCCATTTCCCATGCAAAGGGTGCTCCCTGGACGAGCGAGATGCGGTTGGACCCCTGGTGGGAGCCGAGGATGCGTGCGTAGCCATTGTCGGTGGAGCCACAGAAGACGATGCGACGGCAGTGGACGTCTAGAATGTCTTGTTCGAACATTGCTATGGTGATGGTTAGCACATGCTATGTCTGCTCTGGTGAAGAGGGCAACGTACCCCGTATCTTGACATCTGAACACTCCTTGCCGTTTCCCGCATCGATGAAATCACACAAGCTGTTCTCCATATTGAACCCCCGAATGAATGGATCTAGCGCTTCATTCGAACGCAGGATGTGTGCTTCCCGGTACGTTTTCATCAGACCTGGAACGTTGGCGTACACTCGAATTCGGTATTGGATGTTCGGACTGGCTTGAGGGTCGATATCACGAATGTGACGCTCGACAGACTTTCGAAGAAGCATGGCAGCCTTGCGCCCGCCGTTGTAGCCTTGTCGGATGAGAGCATCGTTGAACTTAGTCGTCAGTAGGCGTACGAGACAACAGAGGACGCTTGACTTACATTCATGCAGTCACCATCGACAAGCACAGAAACAAAACTCAACTTGGCCTGCGGAGCTGTATAAGCCTATGGAAGCTAGACACTAAATAGGGAAGAAGTACCTGGTCAAGTCGCAAATCGTCGTACTCTGTCTTGTATTTTTTCAGTTCTTGGAATTTGGCATCACCAAGTGTATTTTGGAGAGCCTTCTGCAGGCTTTCAACTTGGGCAAATAGATTCTGTCAAACAAAAAGTCAATAAGCTGATTATGCTTTATGCTGTGTAGAAGAGTACCTGGAGGATTTTGTCTCTGCTATCTTCAACTGCCAGCACGGCTTCGTAGCGTCTTTTCACTTCCAGGAGGTCTATCATTATGACGACTTATGAGCACGATGTATATACCAAAATATGTGCACCAGGATGAAGATTGTTTTTTTAAGCTTAAATATGATGTGGCAGAGGAGCAGGTTCTGGATCGTGTCGACTTCAGAATATTTATATTGCATGGTGGGAGGCAGCAGGTTAAATGGGACCTATCAATGAAGCAGCTTTCGATGCCATGGTTTTCGGGAGACACCACGAATGTTGCGACTTCATATCACCCCACGAGACATTGTTAGCCAATAAGTCCTGCGTAGTTACCCTGATCCCAACGGATCAGCTGTGCTGAGATTCCAGCGTGTCGTGCTGGAAAAGTGCAGCGGTTAGTATAAGCCATGGGTTGGTCTTGGCCGACCTGACAGACGCCAAGTGTGATGAGCAATGAAATTACATGGAAGCTGCGCCAGAGAAGATAGCGTGAGAGGGGATGTGATATCGAGGGGTTGCCGCCATGAAGAGGGGGGGAGAGGGGAGAGACGCCAAAGAGACGAAGCACGCACAGCTGGCGCTAGAATGACGGGTTGGCATTGGCCAGCCCCAGGCACCCCATCCGCCATGACAGCGAGGACCCAGACATCTTCCACCCGCTTGGAACCGCTTGCGTTGGTGATGTTGGAATATTTACTGGCCACGGGAGATGTTGCGCTTTAGTCCGAAATTCTAAGGTCTTGCTTCATTGCGTTGGTTTGCCGCGCAACATTGCCCGGGGTGCCAAAGAACATGGCTCTATTCCTTTCAGTCAATGTATCCAACAACAGATCTCATGATCGGCACAGTCTTAGTTTATCTTCCTGCCGTGTGTTAATTGATAAGATATAGGGCCACCCATTGTTCTAAAGATAGAGATTCCTTGGTGTTGGTGGGGATGATGAAGACCATAGCGGAGGACTGGCTATGTCACGAGCATGAAAGCTACTATTAGATGCAGTAGTAACAGCCACTCTGGCAGGCAACAAACATGGCCGCGAGTCTCAGACAATGAGACTATTTATTTTCTCAAAGCTGATGGATGCCTACACAGCATGCGTGTTTATATAATTTGCCCTTGGTGGCAACTGCACCTCTTCCTCCCTTCAGTCGATATCAAAGTTAGCGAGGAAGAGAAGTCGTCATTGATCCTAACCCTCACTCAAGCTTTTTATCCTGATACTTGACTTCATACCAACCACGTTGAGGTTTATGAGACCTCACAGTACATGGCTCGTTTTGAGATGGAAGGTAATATCCAGGATAACGGAATCAAGAAAATGCATACGCAACATCGCTAGAGAATCGAGGATGCTGACCGTGGACCCAAGGGCTCCGATGAGAATGGTTGATCAAGCGTATGGGCTTTGGGAATCCTTCGCAATATTGCCGACTGATCTTCAAGCAATCACGATCCATGGGCCTAGGATTGAGGACCATGTTTATGCCTGCGGGCTTGGACAAGCTACTAAAATATCGAGATTTATCCTATAATAATTGACATTGTCAACCGACGTGTGCAGGCCATCGCACGTGTTGATCATTTACTTCTTCCAAGCTCCAGAAGCCACTTCAATAAGAGGATACTAAAATAGTACAATCGTTTCAGACTACCATCCGATCCCATTCTATTGCTTCTGTGATCATCCCACATAATTCATACCACAACACGGCAACAAGAACACCCTTCACAGCTAAGCTCCCCCACGACTCTCCAGCTCCTCATACAGTTCTTTCGTCCTCTCAAATCCATCATACAACGTACGCTTCCCCAACTTATCGTCGTGATTGATAAACCGCCCCACCCTTTTCATCATGGAATTCCTGTACCGCGCCGCACTACACAGATGCGTATGCCAGACTAGATCTATATCCAACGTCGGGACGAGCATAACGCCGGGATGAAGACGGAATAACTCAACGAAGTTGTTGTAGCGTTTTCGAGCGCTCTCTAGTATCTCTTCGGCATCGGGATAGAGAATCCAGAGACAGTCGTGCATCTGGTCGATGAAGTTCGTTTGGCGGAGAACGTTGTGCAGGAGGGCTTCGTTTTCGGGGGATATTGATGGGATGGTTCTTTGGTTTGTTTGGTTTGGTGTAGACTGGATTTTGCTGATAGTATCTGTGAGACTGATAAGAGGGTCTGTTGTTATGTTTGCTGTAGATTCGAGCCATTGTTTGTTCGCGCTGGGGAGGGTTAATGACCAGTTGGTTGGGTCGATACAGCCGTGCTGCATGGCAGTAGTTGTTTAGCATGTTAGTATCACAGTTCAATCCCTTGTGCCAACTTACGATGACAGGCCAAGGAAAAGGCACTTCCTGAATCCGATCAAGCTGATGGCGTGTACAGAATTCCTTGTAATCGGATGGATTGAGCAAGAATGCGTGCCAGACCATGAGTATGTCTGACAGTTTCAGTAACTGGATACGCCCATTATGGTCGGCAATGGAACTTACCAACAGGGGGAAGTATAAGCGTTCCATTGTTTCCATCACCCTCAAGCTGCTTCTCCGCAGCACGGATCCAGACCTGGAATTTCTCAACAGCAAGCGACACGAAACAGTGCCACCTTTTCGTCCTCTGTGTTGCTCTACGATGTTTCGATATCCATAAGCGATTTGAATCGAGACGGAATACGTGGTCTAATTCCTTGGACTGGATGACTTGGATACGCAGGTTACGGAACACTTCGAGCAGTTCGAGATGGACGGCACATTCTCCGATCGTTGGGATATCGTTCTTGCTTCCTTGAGTGGGACTCGCGTCATTCAACTCGAAGGATAATGTCTTGAATAAGTCTGGAGGAGGGATCGAGGTGATTTGGGTTGTTTCTCCAAGGAGACGGCGCAGGAACGTGGGGGAACGTCGCTCGTGAAGTGCCATCGTGCTGACAAGATTAGCAGTATTCCTATATTATTGTTGATTGAAGAGGAACTTGGATCTCATTTCTGATTCTATCTACAATTTATATGCTCCTCTGGCAGCCTCGTCTTCAACGACAGCTACCTGGCATCAGCCAGCAAGGCTGAGCAAAGCTAAATAGTGATTGATGCTCTGATGACTATCAAGTCACGAGATCGTGTCCAGTCAGAAGGTATCATCAAAGAAATGGCTTGCAGGCAGTGCAATAACAGCCATATCATTTGCAAATCAATCAAGGCTCAGCATACAGCTCGAGTCCGAGATCTGGCTCAAGCCAACCTAACAACAACGGGTGTGTCCTAGTTATCAACCATCATAAAGTTGGCACTGGACTAAGATCGGTCTACTCTGCGAACTATTGTTTTGATACGCTGAACCTCTTTTAGTGGAATACTGCGGACTAATAAGCTTAACAAGCACGCAATCTAACTAATCGGCAAGTCAGCGTCCGTCACGGAGCTTCTGATAAAGATTGATCCCCGCCAAGACGCCGCCTCTTCTTCGTTCGGCACTAGAATTCCACCAACCGACAATCTATGGATGCTTCAGACGCAGATATTCATCTCCGGTTCGGAGAGGGGCTCTGGATCATGACAAGCATCTGGTGACGCAGCTGGAGGAGTTGCCAAGCAAGAATTGCGTTGCTTCTTAGGGGGAAAGAAGGAAGGGATCGGCAGAGAGAGCGAAAAGGTCACGGAGGGAGACGGCGCTCTCGATCAGACAGAAAAGTCCAGCTTGAACAAGATTGCATTACCTGGGAGGTTATTGGTCTCGTGTGTGCAGTTCGTCTGTCAGCGAGAATTGCAGGGTCTGCTAATCATAGCCGCCGGAATTGGGGGAAGATTGTTATCGAGGAAGCGATCAGTGGATCAGACTCCGGGGCCGAAATCGTCAGCGCATGTCGGCTTCGCCTCAGCCGGGGATTCGACCGACAAGCCATGACGGAGGGCCTGGCAATGACAATCAGGCTTTCCGGCTACTCCTCTTCTCTTCAAACAATCCACTGCACCACCATGGAGCTGCTGTTTCAGTCCGGACTCCTCTCCGTGTATTTGCAACCCAAAATAATATAATTGCAGCAGAACCTGGTCGATTAGACAAGCCACTACGAGGATGCTGACGCAGCCCTTGTGGTGCAGGGCCCATCCTCCGCTATCACGGCCGGCCTGTGCCTTTGGGAGACGATCCGGCATTGTTCTTCTCCCCAGGGCTTTTCAGCTGCGAGTCTCGTCCTCGTCCTCACTCTCGCGTCTGCGCCATAAGAACCCTAGTGTCTCCTCTCATTCTTCGGTTGTCTCCTCCTCCAATGCTTTGCTCTGTCCCGTCACTCGTCCGACTCTAGTCCCTTCCATCGCCGCAGCCACCTCCGCTACCTCCGTCACCCTACCTCCAATGACCACCCAATCCAGAGACCACGGTGGCCACCATGGCCACCACCACCATCATCACCATCACGGAAACGTTTACCTTACTTCTACCGATAAACATGATGCCGGTGTGCGAATTACGCGACTTGGCCTGCTCGCTAACCTCGCCATGGCCATCGGGAAGTTCATCGGCGGCTACGTGTTCCATTCCCAAGCCCTCATCGCCGACGCCTACCACGCCCTTACCGATCTAGTTTCCGATTTCCTGACATTAGGCACGGTCGCCTGGTCGCTCAAGCCGCCGAGCGAGCGATTTCCTAATGGTTACGGCAAGATCGAAAGCATCGGAGCATTAGGGGTTAGCGGGTTGTTGCTCTGCGGAGGTGTGTTCATGGGCCTCAATTCCGGCCAAGTTCTGCTGGACCAGTTCTATCCCCAGGCCGCGGAAGCGATCGCGCATGTAGGCGCCCTGGGACATGGTCACTCGCATAGCCATGGCGTTGAGGCAATGGGCCCGAGCATTCATGCCGCATGGCTTGCTGCGGGGTCCATCGTGGTGAAGGAGTGGTTATATCATGCTAGTGAGTACCTTGAGGAATCTCTGCCCTAACACCAACTGCGAATGCTGACTGCGCCTTTCCCCGACAGCCATGAAAGTCGCGACGGAACGCAAGTCGTCAGTACTAGCCTCCAACGCCATCCACCACCGTATCGACTCCCTGACCAGTATTGTCGCTCTCTTTACAATTGGCGGAACCTATCTCTTCCAGGACGCATCCTGGCTGGACCCTGTGGGTGGACTGTTGATTTCGCTGATGGTCATCAAGGCCGGATGGGGAAACACCAAGACCTCGTTGTTGGAGCTCGCCGATACGAACGTTGACGACGACATCAAGGAATCGGTACAGAAAGCCGCGGCTAAGATGCTGGCGAAACTGGAAGGTGGCGATGCCATCAAGGTCCGTGATGTGCAGGGCATGAAGTCGGGACAAAATTATCTGATGGATGTCGAAATCGCTGTGCCGGGCGCGTGGTCTGTCAGCCGGACCCGGCAGGTCGAGGAGTCCATTCGCACTGCGGTCGGAGAAGGCGTGCGTGGAGTCAAGCGTCTCAAGGTTCGGTTTATCCCCTTGGAGCACGAGGAGTTGACTTTCACGGAGGAGTTCATCCCTGCGGATGTCACTTCCCGTGCGCGTCCTGAGCCGGAGGATGGCGAAGAGGATGAGCATGACCATGACCATGACCATGAACATGAACCCCGCAAAACCCACTGAGGGTCATATTCTGGTCCTATGAGTAACATGGGTTGGCATTATCAGATCTGCCAGATCTATGTGTCAGTCGTTCACTAGCGTTTTGAACCCCCAATTCGATGATACCCGAGGATGGATAGTGGGGGAGACATCCAACATCCCGTCTGCTGCCGTCGAGCCAGTTGGATAGAATAGATGATTGATAGGCGATCTCAGGTGGACGTAGAGCGGGAAAGAAAGAGTGAGATCTTGGGGTCAAAATAGAAGGGATTGTATTTTCTACGATGACTGTGTATCTATCGGGTCTGAATGAATGTACCAGAGCGCACTGAACTCGACCCCATGAGGCGATCCGCGGGATCTTCACTTTAGCCGCAGGTCTTAGCCAGTTGGTCGTAGTCCAGCACTAGTCTAACTTTTCCCTGTAAAAGATCCCAGAAAAAGTCTGCAGAAGGGACTTTTGGGCTGATTCTTAGGATCTAGACCCACGATGGCGGTCATTCAGCACGATTTATTGTGTCCAAAGTGGCCTCCCTCCCTCTCACTAGTAATTAACCGGGTAAATTCCCGGCGGCGGTGGGGGTTGCAGGTTAATTCAATATCTTCTTATCGTGAACCCCACGCGTACCAAAAAGCACCACAAGAATGAGAATCACTCAGTAAGCAGCGCCCACATCGGTAAAAAAAGACGAGGTCGGGCATGATCAGTCATGGGATCTGCTCTCTGGCACGCCGACATGCCAATTGCCTTCCTGTTGGTCGGATTTTGCCGACCAGCTGCCAGGCTGGCGGGAGCTCAAGGGATAAATCATCCATCGGTGTGTTGACTTCATTGCTTTTCCCATTGTTCTCTTTCTCACCCCTCTCTCTGCTCATTAGCTTCTCGTAGAATCATACCTGCTTTCTAGAGTTTGATTGTTTTAGACTATCCTATTTCAATTGACACCTCTCCACTCCATCTTTTCTCTTCTTCCCTCCCTTCCGTGAATCGCCATCCCACTTCCACCCATACGTCATCACCCCCCGGGCCGCACTCACCATGCAAGGTCCTCTATACATCGGCTTCGACCTCTCAACCCAACAACTCAAGGGCCTCGTCGTCAATTCCGACCTCAAGGTCGTTTATGTCTCCAAATTTGACTTCGACGCCGACTCCCACGGCTTTCCCATCAAGAAGGGTGTGCTCACCAATGAAGCCGAACATGAGGTCTTCGCCCCCGTTGCCCTGTGGCTGCAGGCCCTGGATGGCGTCCTAGAAGGGCTGCGTAAACAGGGCATGGACTTCAGCCAGATCAAGGGTATCAGTGGTGCGGGACAGCAACATGGAAGTGTGTACTGGGGAGAAAATGCGGAGAAGCTGTTGAAGGAATTGGATGCAAGCAAGACACTTGAGGAGCAGCTGGACGGGGCGTTCTCGCACCCGTTCAGTCCTAACTGGCAGGACTCGAGCACTCAGAAGGAGTGTGATGAGTTTGATGCCGCTCTCGGTGGCCAGAGCGAGCTGGCGTTTGCCACAGGAAGCAAGGCACACCATGTGAGTATTCATCCCACAATAGTCTCCATGATTGTAGAGGGGTCTAGCAATTGCTAATTTTGTGTAGAGATTTACAGGCCCGCAGATCATGCGTTTCCAGAGGAAGTACCCTGATGTTTACAAGAAGACGTCGCGGATCTCGCTGGTATCCTCGTTCATTGCGTCCCTGTTCTTGGGTCACATTGCTCCGATGGACATCTCTGATGTCTGCGGTATGAACCTTTGGAACATCAAGAAGGGTGCCTACGATGAGAAGCTCCTTCAGCTTTGCGCCGGCTCATCTGGAGTCGATGACCTGAAGCGCAAGCTGGGTGATGTCCCGGAAGATGGAGGCATTCATCTCGGCCCAATTGATCGGTACTACGTTGAACGCTACGGCTTCAGCCCCGACTGTACGATTATCCCCGCCACCGGTGACAACCCTGCCACCATTCTTGCTCTGCCCCTACGAGCCTCCGATGCTATGGTATCTCTGGGCACTTCGACCACCTTCCTCATGTCCACGCCCAGCTACAAGCCTGATCCGGCAACTCATTTCTTCAACCACCCTACCACTGCGGGCCTGTACATGTTCATGCTTTGCTACAAGAACGGTGGACTGGCTCGCGAGCTGGTCCGTGATGCAGTTAACGAGAAACTCGGCGAGAAGCCGTCTACTTCTTGGGCCAACTTCGACAAAGTCACCCTGGAGACCCCGCCCATGGGCCAAAAGGCCGACTCCGACCCAATGAAGCTGGGCCTGTTCTTTCCCCGTCCGGAGATTGTGCCAAACCTGCGCTCGGGTCAGTGGCGCTTTGATTACAACCCAAAGGATGGCAGTCTGCAGCCCTCGAATGGCGGCTGGGATGAGCCTTTTGACGAGGCTCGGGCCATTGTCGAGAGCCAGATGCTGTCATTGCGTCTGCGGTCCCGTGGCCTTACTCAGAGCCCTGGTGAGGGCATTCCTGCGCAACCACGTCGGGTGTACCTGGTTGGCGGTGGATCGAAGAACAAGGCCATTGCTAAAGTGGCTGGAGAGATCTTGGGTGGTAGTGAAGGAGTGTATAAGCTGGAGATTGGTGATAACGCGTGTGCGTTGGGTGCGGCGTATAAGGCGGTTTGGGCCATGGAACGAGCTGAGGGACAGACTTTCGAAGACTTGATCGGAAAACGGTGGCATGAGGAGGAGTTCATTGAAAAGATTGCAGATGGTTACCAGCCTGGAGTGTTTGAGCGCTACGGCCAGGCTGCAGAGGGCTTTGAGAAAATGGAGCTGGAGGTGCTGCGCCAGGAAGGGAAGCACTGAGCGCCAGGATAAAGCTGATTGGGATATGGGCCGCTTAAACTAATAATGGTAGAGTTATGATTTGCAATGCAATGGTATCAAGCGATCAGTAAACAAGGTATGTAGATAGTTGGGTAGAGAAAGGGTAACTATATCTGAGATAATATGCCTGAACCGTCAGGCAGCAACGGCACGCCGCCCGTTGCCGTTTTGGGGCGGAACAGCGGCCACACAAACTCAGGCACGAAAGATTTCTTTTGTCGTTTTCTTTTTGTTCCCTTCCGGCGGCACGTCATCGGCACGAGAGCAATCACTGTTTCTTGAGAAACAGTCCACGAGCCTTTGCTGACGAGCTATCTATCACCTTGTCCAACTCGTTTGGTGAGCAGCAGAATTTGCGGTTTCCTCGCTTCCCCAGGTGACTGGGTCTGACGCCGAAGAATCCACCGGCTCCAACGCACTAGTGATGGCTCAATAGGCTGGCCTCTGCGACTAGTTCTGTTCTGCTATGACTCTCCGCCGCCGTCTGCATTTTGACCGAACAACCACCTCCATCGTTCCTTGATCCCTCCCCCTCACCCTCATTGCTTTCGAGTCCTGCGACTCTGAAGGCAACCCGGCTGGTCGAAGATGGAAGAGCAGGTAAGCTGCAGTCCCTAGTCTATACATTGGCTCTATTTTTATCTTTGTCTTCTTTCACCTTTCTTCGCTTTTTTTCTTTTTCTGTTCAGCCCACACCCCACCACCGATCTCTCTTCCCCTCCATCCTGCCCCCCTCCTTTCTTATATCCCCTCTCCCCTCTCATATTTCCCCTCATTCCGTATCTTTCCCTCCGTCGACCTCTAGTTGACACCTCCCCGTATAGGTAGCAAATGCCATTGAAATCGCCGGGAACCCCACCTCCGATCAAACTCTTAAGGCTCAGGCCTTCGACTACCTGAACCAACTCCGCACCGACCCCTCCGGATGGCAGGTCTGCCTTACCCTTTTCACCAAGACTCCGCAATACTCCGAAATCATACGGCATGTGGCGTTGGAAGTGGTCAACAGTGCGGCCCAGGCGGGTCTCATTGACCCCCAGGCTTTGGGCTATGTCCGGGACGGCTTGATGGCATATCTCCGCCAGGTGTACGGTCAGGATAACGTTACCCCCGATTCGACCAGTATCCAAAACAAGATCGCCCAGACCATCACCTTCCTCTTCTCAGCCCTCTATGGTAATGGCTGGGAGACTTTCTTCGACGACCTCCTCAGCCTCACATACAAGAGTTCGGCCAGCACGAGCCACGACAACCCGCTCGGAATCGTCTTCTACCTGCGTGTCATCAATGCGATTCATGAGGAGATTGGTGACGTGCTTGTGTCTCGGTCCCGCACCGAGCAGGACAAGGCCAACCTGCTCAAGGATTTGATTCGCTCACGCGACATGCAGAAGATTGCCAGCTCGTGGCAGCAGATCTTGTCTGAATGGCGGGACGGAAATGATACGATCGTGGAGATGTCCCTGAGGGCGGTCGGCAGCTGGGTCAGCTGGATCGATATCGGTCTTGTGGTGAACCAGACCACGCTGGACCTCCTATTCCAGCAGCTCGGCCGGGCGCAGAAGGCGGAGCTCAGAGAGGGAGAAGAGAAGGTGCGCGATGCGGCGGTCGACGTTTTCACGGAAATCATCGGCAAGAAGATGAAGCCTGAAGATAAGATGGACATGATTATATTCCTGAATCTCGACACTATTGTTACTCAGCTCTCGAATAGCCCCCCTCTGCATGAGAATAGGTTTACCTTCAAGTACGATACTGACCTGGCGGAAACGGTGGCCAAGTTAGTCAATATTACCGTCATTGATATTGTACGGGCTTTGGAGCAGGACACCGTCACGGCCGACTGCAAGGCCAAGGCCACCGGTCTGCTGCAGGCTTTCTTGCCGCATATCCTGAGATATTTCTCCGATGAATACGATGAAGTCTGCTCGACTGTGATCCCCTGCGTGAGCGACCTCCTGTCCTATCTGCGGAAGATCGCCAAGGTCAACCCTGCCCTGGCCGAGCAGCATTCATCCATCTTGCTTCCCATTTTGAAAGCCATCATCGCCAAGATGCGCTACGATGAGACCTCGTCCTGGGGCGATGAGGACGATCAGACAGACGAAGCGGAATTCCAGGAACTCCGGAAGCGCCTGGGCGTACTGCAGCAGATTGTCGCAAGTGTCAACGAGCAGCTCTGCATGGAGGCCGTCTCGGAGGTTGTGGGAAATACATTCGAGAGCCTGCGCCAATCGGGAGCTCAACTCGACTGGCGGGATTTGGACCTGGCTCTGCACGAGATGTTCCTGTTCGGCGAGGTTGCCGTCAGGGCAGGCAGTTTGTACAGCAAGGGAGTTCCCAACAATGCGGCCGCGGAGAGGCTAGTCGAGATGATGTTGAAGATGGTCGAGTCGGACATCCGATCCTTCACGCACCCAGCCACCCAGTTGCAGTACATGGAGATCTGTGTTCGCTACAGCTCCTTCTTCCAGTACCACACCCATTTGATCCCTACCGTGCTGGAGAGCTTCCTCCAATTGGTTCATCACCCAATTAAGAAGGTGAAGACACGGTCGTGGTACCTTTTCCAGCGCTTGGTGAAGCAACTCAGAACCCATGTTGGAAACGTGGCGCAGACCGTTGTCGAGGCGTTGGGCGACTTGCTCGTGATCAACGCGGAGTTGCCGACTGAGGGCTCAGATGGCGATGAGATGTCCTCGGAGGACCACGAGGGGTCGGCCGATGCTGTCTTCAACAGCCAGTTGTACCTGTTCGAGGCTGTGGGCATCATTTGCTCCACCCCGACTGTTCCCGCGGACAAGCAGGTCCTCTACGCACAGTCTGTGTTGAACCCCGTCTTTATGGATATGGAGAAGAACCTGGCCCCGGCTAAGGCCAATGATGAACGGGCCTTACTGCAAATACACCACGATATCATGGCACTGGGGACGCTTGCCAGAGGCTTCTCCGACTGGATGCCGGGAACCAGCTCTCCCGCTTCGCTGCCTGCTCCTGAAGTCTCGGAAGCGTTCATGCAGGTTTCCGAGGCCACTCTCGTTGCGCTGGAGTCACTGAAGACATCGTTCAACGTCAGAACAGCTGCGCGGTTTGCATTTTCGCGCCTTATTGGCGTGCTGGGATCACGCATCCTGCCCCAGCTGCCACGGTGGATTGACGGTCTGCTCACACAGACGTCCTCCCGGGATGAGATGGCGCTGTTCCTGCGACTGTTGGATCAAGTCATCTTCGGTTTCAAGTCGGAGATCTACTCTATTCTAGATGCTCTCTTGACTCCATTCCTGCAGCGGGTGTTCTCTGGCATTGCAGACGCCCCGACCGGCACGGATGACGAGGTCCAGCTGGCAGAGCTGAAGCGGGAATACCTCAACTTTTTGCTCGCGGTCCTGAACAATGAGCTCGGAGCCGTTATCATTAGCGAGCGTAAGTAGCATCGTTTTTGTTAGTAGGATTCAAACTGACGACACTAGGGAACCAACCAATGTTCGAAACGGTCATTGGTACTATTGAGCATTTCGCCAAGGACATTGAGGACTTCACCACTGCTAAGATGGCGTTCTCGGTCCTGTCGAAGATGGGCAGCTCTTGGGGCGGACCGGACATCACGCCGGAGGGTGCGAACGGCGCGGCACCCCAGCAACAAGCACTGCCAGGATTTGGCCAGTTCATGATTACCCGGCTGTCGCCTCTGTGCTGGGCGCTGCCCGCAACGCCGTCCTTCAACTCGAAGGATGCGCAGGCTAAGCAGGTCCTCGCCGAAGCAGGAGGTCTGCAGCGCACGATATACGCCAAGACGGGAATGGAGTACCTCCAGTACTTGCGGGATCGCGAGTTGCCAGGAATGGGAATGGGAGCGGACTTGGTGGAGGAGTTTGTGGGAGCATTGGGCCGGCTGGACATGAAGGGATTCCGGCAGTTCTTCCCAGTATGTTGTGATCCGAACTACGTGTTCAACGCCTCAATTTTACTAACATTCTCGACAGTCCTTTATCCAGCGATTGAGCGCATGATGTTGTGGTCTTTCCATCTTATCTTAACATTTTCATTTTTTTTACCCATCCGATCATTTGTTTCAGTCTTAGATTCCCCCACGGTTTGGTTTGATGACTGATGTTCTCATGTGACCATTTACAAAACATTCACCCACACACACTGAAGCTCTTATCGCCGACACCCACACACATTCCTCTTGTCCTCCTACCTCTCTGTTTACCTGTCCATCTGTTTATTTCTATTCTGCTTGAGTATTTGTATGCGGCCTTTTGTCTGTTTCGGAATTAAGGATGATAAAAAAAAGGTATATAGTGTTTCATTTTTTTTTGCCCCTTTTCCTATATTCTTGGCATGGCATTCTATATTGCATGAGCAGGCGTTTTCAGACTCAGACTCCCAAGTCCGTTTGCGTGCCTGTATGCTGCTTTGCTTGCTCAATTGCTTTATTGAGGGTGGGTTGTTTGGTTCGTGGGCTGGCTAGATCATCATTAAGCAACTAGAAAGTTCGTTCGATTGACTTGGTTTAGTCAAAAGCGGGTGAGGGGTTGATGGAAGTAGGTAGGTAGGTAGGTAGAAGAGAACAATGGTTATTAGGATAGATAGATGTCTGGTTTGAACTTGAGTGTAGAGGTGTATCCTATAAACCCAACCTCAATTACGTAGCTAGTAGTATCTCACTGCCACCCTCCCCTTAACTCAATTCAACCCCTTGAATACCTGAACCAACTTGTCTTGCATATCACAGAAGATATTCACAGCCTAGATAGTAGTATAAACCATTAGCAACAGATCAACCACTCAAATATTCTACTCCACCCATCTACCCCCAATATCAAAAGTATATAGCTTACCTGAGTAAGTTTCTCCTCACTCAACCCACCCGCATCCCTCGTAAACGCAATCCGATACCCAGACTCATCATTCACATACGACACTTCCTTACCCGGCACAGCCCCCTCCACCACAGCAGGGGAATCAAACAACGACTCCACAGGTACCTTCCCCTCCAACGGCTTGGCCAACTCTTCCAATAATCCCGGTGCGATAGTAATGTGCTGTACACCCGCCAACGCGAAGATCTCGTTCGTGGACGTCAGACTAGCGGGTAATACCTGTGTTTGGGATCCGATGGAGGCGTAATATTTCTGGGCCAGGGCGCTGAAGTGGAGGAGGGGGGAGGGGTCTTTGAAGCTGTGATGAATTATCAGTACCAATATATAGATTATGTGGGTTGTGTTGATGGTGAGTATTTGGGGGGTATATATCTACCCTGGCTCGAAATGGACTCTCAGTTGGTTCACGTATGGTGCTATGTACGTGCATCCTACTTCTGCTGCTAGGATGGCTTGAGGCATGGTGAAAAGGGTTGTGGCTAGGGTTCGGACCCCGGCTTGTTCGAGTACTCGGCATGCTTTGAGACCTTCCCAGGTGCTGGGGATTTTGATGCAGATGTGGGATTGGGGGTGGGTGGGGGAGAGGTGGTGGGTTAGTTTGACTATGCCTGTTTTTGTTGCGGTTAGAGGTGGGGTATTGTATGTAGAGGGGATAAATGTATGCACGTACGGAGGGCGTTGACGATGGTCTTTTCGGTGGAGTATGAGTAGTAGGGGTTTGTTTGGATGTGGATGTGGCCGGTGATGTGGGGGGCGATTCTTAGGGAGAGGGAAATCATCTTTTTTTATAGATGTGTTATTTAGTAGTGTTTGTTGATGTTGGTGAAGAGAAGGGCAGGGTATACTCACTGCTATTTCGATGGCAAGTTCTTCGATGGTTAGACCGGGGTATTCTTGGATGAGGGCTTTGGCTTGGGTGAGAGAGGAGTGCAGAAGCTCAGCATGTTCGGGCTTGATGAGTTCGTTGTAGGCTATTGCCTGATGTTGTTGTTAGCCGAGTGGTAAGGGTGGGCTCAGTGCAGTGGACTGTATGTATATACCTGGTTGGAGGTGCAGTCGTGGAAGGGACCAAGGGTTTTGGCGACTGTAATTTTATATTAGTAGATAGTAAAAGGTGCATGGAAGCGAGATACGTGCCTTGCTCGTCCATGGTGTCGCAGTCGACAATGGAGCGAGAGCGGATGTAGTCGAGTCCAGATTTGATGGTCATGGTGATCGCTTTACTGATTATGAAGGGTTATTGATTGATGATCTCGATAGTAATGTTGGATATCTTGGTGATGGAGAGTCGAAGGGATTTGGATGAAGAATACGAAGTAGATAGGCTGGGCATGGAGGAGAGGAGGGGAAGATCAGATAAGCATGCCTCGTAAACCTCCCCTCATGCCATCTCATATATTTAGCCTAAATAGTACTTTATACTATTCTTTGGACACCTTCGGGCCGAGAGTCTCTTGTCTCCGACCAAGAAGGTCGGAGGTTTGGTCGGGAGAGAAAGCCGATGCCTACGGAGAAAGTCCGTAGGTTCCTTCACTAATTAATTAGCCTTCTGTCATGTTGAGTAAGGCGAGAACAGGCTCCAGGATAGACATACTGATCGGCAGTTGTCAGCTAAGAGCTATTGAAGGTGCACCAGCCTTGATTGTAGATGTTCCTTAGTACTGCATGGTTTCCGAACTTATCGGTTGCCAGAAGTCGCAAATTGGTTGTCGACGGTTGTAGTTAGTTATTGACTATATACTAGTTAATAGCTGTATGGGCACGTTTCGTCGTTGTTTTTGTAGATTCAAACTCGTAGTAGTTTCTATAGTCCGAAAATTGTGCAGTCGTTCTTTTGTATGCTCCAAACTATGACATGTTCCTCTAATGTACTCCGTAGAATTGTCGATATTGTGATTGAGTATTATCGCTGCGGGACTCCCCCGCACTTACCCCGGCTTAATCGAATGCTACCTGGGCGAAACCACCAAACAACAAGAAGCTATATGAATCACATAAGGTGCTTGGAGTACAATATGTGGTTGGCTACGTTGGAGCCTTTTTTACAGATACAGTGGAATCACTATTAGACCAACTCAGACTCGGTTACTAAATACGTCCTCTTCATTGTGTTCTTCTATGCGGGCGATATAAATTGACACTATCTCTTAGCTACAAGTCCGAACATCAGGCCTCTTCGGGAAATGGGAAGTAACTTGACAACACAGACGTATAGTTACAATATCTGGGAAATTCGTGAAGAGTTCCTGTATATTTTCTGAAGTGTGGTTAGAACTTTTACCGTGTTGCTGAGTGGGCGGGCCATTTGTCGCCCCAGTGAGTCTCGAGTCTGGGTAACAGTTACCGAAATATGAACCGAAATATGCTGTCTATTTCCCTGCCTATTGTAGGACAGAACATGTCCATGTCATATAATAAGAGAACTTGATGGCGAGAGCTCTCTACCACATCAGCAAGCCTTTCAACTCTAGGAACCAAAGTATCCAAGCCTGTAGTGCCAGGCTATGATAATGGTGCCTTCTCAGTGGAGGAGACACAACTAAAAAATGGATATCCACCCGGTTCTTATTGTTCCAACCAGACCGTTGAGCAGTGGCCACAAATGGCATTGGAGATCAAGTACTAAAGAAGGTACATATGGGCGTAATGAGCTTCGTGGCTCGCTGCGATGACCTCATGGATGGTCCTGCTGAGCACCATGCAAGCATTGACTGGCCTTCCTCGCTTATCAAGTAGCTTACACTTTGTAGGGCTTTCGTTTGGCCAGTCTTATCCTGCACTCGCACCACATCGGAGTCATGTTTTGACGTTTGCATTGAGAGCAGATGAGGAAGCTGCTTGGGGCTTGTCCTGCTAAGGCTTCGCTGCGAAAACGAGCCGAAACAGCAGTAGCAAGCCCCGAAGCAAGAGTGAGGAGGCAATGGCTGGTCCAGTACAACACCTCCCACAACCTCTTCAGTAGTTGCTGAGCAAGCATTGTAGCGGGCACACGAATGAACAGGAATACCAACCCCTGTCTCCTTATTGGGAGAATTTCCACATTCTCGGCTATAGTGCCATGTTCCAAAATCCAAAATGGTTTCCATGCTTGTTTTACACGAGCTTAAATGCTACTTTTACATGAATTCTTAACGAATCCTATAGTGATGTAACCCTGATATGAAACCCTTCCATCTCATAGGACAGAGAAGAATGGGCGATTAACGACGGGACAGCTCCTTCTCAGGTATCTCATTGACCTCGGCGGTCACGACAGAATGCCGGACCAGTGAGGCCCTGCTAAGCACGTCGACATCATCCCGACTGGTAGACAACGTGGGCGGAGACCCTTGGGAGAGAAGAAAAAAAGAAGAGGAGGAAGAGAAAGCGACGGGAGAAACACACAAAAGTTGAAAAGCCGGAACTGGCGGGCGGTGAGGAGATGGAAGATGGATCTTCCGAGTGGTAATGCAGGACTGCTCATTGGCTGTTTTTGGGGCATCGGGTGAAGTCCCGTGACTGGGAGGTGAACCCGAGGTTGTCCGTCCCGTGATTCCGAAGCGTTACGAGAGAGTCGGCAGTTCGAGGCCACTTTCTTTCTTGGACGACTACGACGACGACGGTCAGCTTCGTGTGCCCGATTCAGCCTCTCACTATCTCTTGAGGTCATCAATTTCATCATGCTCTCTCAGAAGGTTGCTCAGCAATCGTTGCGGCGGCGTACGTACTCACTTCATCCTCTTCAGCTAATCGCGCGACACTGACTTCAATGTTGCAGTTGCCGTCCAGCAGCCCTACGCTCTGCGTTGGTCTTTGATGAACTCGGTTTCTCCGGCTGCCGTTGCTCTTGGAAGAACCGTTCAGACTAGGTAAGCTACTACGCGTGATTGGGATTCTTATTTGCGACTATTTCGACTTGGGAGGGGTTCGCGATATCGAACTCGACGTCATGAAGCGAATGTCGCTAAGTGGAGGCGGAACACGGATTGCTAACGTTGTCATGCAGACATGCTGCCACCTCCTCCAACTCCTCCGACCCTACCAAGCTCCTCGCCCAGCAGCGTCTCAACCGCCCCGTCTCTCCCCACCTTAGCATCTACCGTCCCCAGATCACATGGATCGGCAGTAGTATCCACCGTATCACCGGTATTGCGCTGTCCGGAAGTCTCTACCTCTATGCCAGTGCCTACCTCGCCTCTCCCATGCTCGGCTGGGATCTGGGCTCTGCCTCCGCCGCTGCCGCTTTCGCCGCTCTCCCTGTTGTCGCCAAGGTTGCCCTGAAGACTACCATGGCCCTGCCTTTCACCTACCACTGCATGAACGGCGTGCGCCACCTGATTTGGGATACTGGTGCTGGTCTTACCAACCCCCAGGTCATCAAGTCCGGCTGGACTGTGGTGGGTTTGAGTACTCTTAGCGCTCTTATTCTTGCTTTCCTGTGAACTATTGTGACATACCTCTGATTCCTGTTGTGTTTTAAAATTGTTTTCGTGCAATATATTTTATACCAGTCAATTGACGACTGTTTTTGGATCAAACTTCACATCTTCTCACCCCGAACTCTGAGCTCCGTCTCATTGCCCAAGCCGTGGAAATTGTCGGCATGTAGGAGATATTGAAACAGATACTAATGCCATAGCCGCGAACCATACAATTGCCTGAAGAGGAGGCAGAGCGATGGCTTTAATGGATAGGTATGTCCTCAAGCTATGAGGTTGGAGATCTACGAAATTTCTGGTCATGACTATCATGGATTTCATGCATAAACTGGCCGTCTCATTGTCTAGTGTGCGTTCTGCTCCCTGAACTCCTCAGAAATCATAAAAGGACAAAAATAACAATGGAACCAAAAACAACCCGCCACGCCTCTATACCCGTTTCCCCTGTGACTTTGTTTTGAGAGCCTGGCAGTCCGCAATTCTCCACAATATTCCCCTTATATTACCTTCACCTATCGATGCTTCAATAGTGCACTACGATATTCCCCCCCCTTTTCATCAAGTTTCATTGCAGATCTGTCAAACCTCACTCAGCATCGTTGGGACAGGTTATTGCTTCTGCACAAACTTACCTCTTCTACTAGCTTGCACTGCCCTTGAAAGCACCAGCCTTGAACAACTGATGATCAAGCAGGGCTTGGTGGCGGATTAGGTGGTATCCCAGGCGAAGGTGGATCATGCACGGAATTCGGAATTAGTGCGATATCCTCGCAGCTGCCCCAAATCGGCAGAGGGAGGTCCTCGGGTAGGAAATCGAAATTAGCGCGATACATGACGCAATATCTCCGTTCGGTAAACATGGAGGTCAATTGACAGGACAGTATTGGCAGCAGTTGGTTTGATGAGGGTATTAGATGGTACAAGTTATGTGGTTATAAGTCTGAAGGGCTTGGTGATATGCTGCAGATATTTGAGATCAATGAAGGAACAGATGGCAATGGGGTAAGATATGAGTTGTTTCTCTTGGTGTGAGTTGGCTAACATCCCGCATTTAAATACTAGCCCCAGAGCCCAGCTCTGGGTCCGAAGGATGTCTATGAGTTGTACACCGCCATACTGATCAACGTCCTACCAGCAGTGAGGAACCGCGTGGATATGATGACACTCCCGATGGTTTAACGGTGATCTTCATGGCTATCGCCGGATCTTGATGGGATTTTTGCCGTTTCTGCAAGGGCCCGACGGATGTTTGTGGTATGTAATGTTGAACAGCGTAGTTGTCCTCGTATGTTTCGACGAATGGCCCGATATTTTGCTTCTTCAAGGATAAACTGATAAAGCCCAGTGCATAGCGTATTCTTAGAGAGGTCAACTTCCTTGCTGGTTACCCGACGGCTGGAAACTCCGGGCTGCAACTCAGCAATCCCCGAGTGTACGGAAGACCAAAAGTTCACGGTCCACTACAGCTGATAACGTCTGCAGGACTTCTATGCCCGCATTTTCATGCTATACTGTACCCCACTGGATGAAAAACGGGAGCTGCCACCCGCCGATATTCTTTGCCCGCGAATCCTCTATTGGGAAAACTTTTCCTTCTTTAGTCTACACCGTTAAGCCATCGTCGCTATGATTTCAAGTATCTTGAGGGATCACGGATGATTGTTTGATATTGCAACCGGGAAGATGTGGCAGCATTGTCTGCTGATATCCGATCCCGGGGACCTATGGTTAGGTGCAAACGATCAAACGCGGGGGCCATTGGCCCAAGCAACTTGACTGACACACATGACTACTCGGCTGATAAAGCTGGTGTACTGAGAACGAACAGGACCCAAGCATCGACATTGTCTTGATGATGTCTATCTTTCGCCTCTCGATCATTCCATTCCTAGTCAAGCCATCCCAGACGATTGTTGGGGCTGGCAAGCTCTGGAGATTTCCGAGCGAGCGGTCTACTAATGAAATATGATGGCAGCCGGCAAAGATACGGAAGAGTCCAGGTTACGGAAGTGGAATACAAGGCACACTGCAGTAAGCACGTGGATCAATTACTGGGCCTTGTGCCACTTGGAGTATGTTGAAGATTCAGGAAAGCGGGGGAATAGCCCTGTTTGTTGCAGGGACTGCATTAGACTGCCTCCCCGCGGCAAGCAGTGCGTCGAATCGGATGCTCAATGAGTTCCTGCCAACGACCGCAAAGCGACGCACTGAGGCACGATGCATTGCTTTAGTAACTGGTGTCTTGCCGCAATTGACACGTACCATCCTTACAATATGCCACTCTAGACACAATCGGAGGCTTGTGGGTAAGCGCAGCAGCAGGCTAGATCCAGCAAAAGACTGAGCACAACAGTCTGAGCGACCTTTTACGGAAAGAAATCAGAGAGTAAAGGGTATCTCAACCCCGTTTTGCATGAGAAGAATTTACTGTCTTTGTTTTAATTCCAGCCCTAATGCCATAGAATGACCACAAGGATAGTCTTGAAAGTCAAACTGTGGGTACATGGCCCTCATTGCCAAGTTTCAGAGCCGTGATACGTACCTTAAGCTTATGCCATCTTAATTGCACATGCCCTTATGGTTCTCAAGCAGCGTGAGATGCTCAACATCCGTCCTAATATCGCCGATACCGTCTGATACTTCACTGCATCACTGTATAGCGGCAACTTGGTTCATTGGTTCATGGAACAACTGCCGAGTGAAGTATGTGCTGATTTAACGCTCAGACATACCACAGTTTTGAGTGACATGATGCACACAATATTCGGGGATTGGCGGAACACGAGTGCTACAACAATTGCACATAAGTACCATCGGCCGGGTCTCTAGCGCTTCCATGTCACGCATGCTGACAAGGATATGAAGGGATACTAGTTGCCGCTCAACATTGCGGTGTAGAAATCCGTGCCGCAAGTTATGGTCAGGTACCTACAGATCAGCGGCTCCTTTCTGAATAGAAGCATTATGGAAATTGTTAGTCATTTAGTACTTTTCTGGCTGGTTCCCGCGAGCTGTACAACGGGAGCCCAGACGGCAAATGTGCTTTTGGTTGGCGCGCTTCCCATGAGGCACGGCTTACCCGCCAACAGTCTTGCTCACTTAGTATAGTGTGTTCTTGCCTTTGGCTTACAGTGCACACTGTTGCTCTTGGGGAAGTCACTGCGGAAGTCAAGTTTGGCAGTTGGTGGCATGTATTTTTCCGTATCTCCCGGCGACACTCGTCACCGACAACTGATAGTTGGTCTTGAATGATATAAAAGGAGTTGCATGGGCCTCCCGTACAACAATTAGCCTACACATTCCCGCCAGTTCCATATTTTGTGAAGCGATGTTCTTGTTCTAGATCCATACGGCTGAGGTGTTGATGGCTCGAGCGCAACCGGATAGAATGGGGATGGGCTCCGAGTAGTAACTCGTAGGCAAAGATGCCTGATCGATGAAACACAAGTAGTGGTACTGAAGTAACCTTCGTAGATCGAAAAAGAGATTGGTTCCAGCGTGTTGTTCTCTTTCCATCGTCGAAACTACAGATTTGGCCGGCGAACCGGAGAACTGAGCGGCTATCCCGATCGGGACTAGCGCCACGTCTCCGAATTCTTCCTCCTCCAAAGGAATTATTATTGATGGCCGCCATCGATCGTGGAAAAAGACCCGGCCTGGCGACCTCTTCCCTTTCACCCAACACTCCGAATTCTGGCCCTTCCTCTATCCAATGGCTTCCGTACTATCGACTCGCGCGGTCAGGACCGCCTCCTGCTCCGCATGCCGCTCCCTCGCTCGTCCCAACTCCATCGCAGCCGGTCTCCTTCCGCGGCGAGGACTCTCGACGGCCACCGAAGATGCAGCAGTCAACCATGCAGACAAGCCCCGGTGGTCGTACACGCCGCCTCGTGCCAAAGCGCCGTTCTCCTTGAGACTCAACTCCAACCGCCCCGAGTTCCCCGTGAATTCAGATCCCAAGGTTCTGGACCGGTTCTACATCCTCATGCTCGGAAACGACGGCGACAAGATGCTCTCGGAGGAAACCAAGTGGCTCGCAGTGACACACAAGAGTTTTGATCAGGGCCGGAGAGGTTTCAACGACCGTTTGGCCTTCCTGGGTATGTCAAGTGTTGCTGTGCAATGAATGGTAACAGGATTGGATACTAATGCGGATGGGGTTGTACACAGGCAAGCGTATTGTTCAGCTGCAGGCTTCGTTGGCTTTGGTCCAGAGTCCTAGCAACGCTGCTAACTCTGCCACCCCCGATGCGTATGGCCGGGTCCCCTTCACTCACCCGGCTTTAGATAGCCTGGACAACCTCGACTACAACACGAAGAGCTTCCTTACGAGCAAGACGAAGCTGTCGGAACTTGCTCACAAGTATGACATGCAGAGAGTTGTGAGATGGTGCCCTCGGAAGGTGAGTCTACGGTTCCCGTGCATTAAGACGACATTCGGACACCCTGCGCTGCTGGGCTTTTGATATTGTCTTGTGAGTTGGTCAATTGGATCCCCTGCTAACAGCGGCGTGTTTACGTGTAGCCCAACAACCTCGAAAGCTCTGGAATGGACCTCGTTCTCGCCCACACGATGTACGCTGTGATCGGTGCCATCTCCCTGGAGAAGGGCAATGCTGTTGCGAACAAGGTGGCCCGTGAGCGCATATTAGCACCTCTGGGATTCAAGATCGCGGCTTGATTTGGGTGATTGATTTATGGGAAATGGCCGCAGGTGCATTTTCAAGGCGTTACTTCCTTTTTCTCTTTTCACCTTCCCCTTGTTTCTTTGTGCCCTGGATGTTTTGTGTATGTGTTGGGGCTTTTTCTTCATCCGCCATATATTATGTATTTTTATCTACGACTTGTCTTATATAGTGACTGCAAATACCACCGGAAGTTCTGTCTTCTCTCTTACGTTTGTTACAAGTATACTTTTGGTTCTTTGGGAATCAATTCACACAGCATGCCATTATTAATTTTAACAAATATAGTAGATATCAAAAAGTATGTACGGTTCCTCTGACACCGCCCGGGTAACAGTAAGCAAAATACCCGGCCAGCTCTTATGGAACCCTCGAATACACGATGCATAGTCTTCGCACCTTGGTATCGCAAGTCAGCAATGAGAAACCAGGAACTCCACGACAGAATGTCACGGAAGGACCCAGAAATCACAAAAAGCAATTTGAGCTGCCTTGCACTGTCTTATAAGGGCGTATGGTACAAAGAAAGAAAAGAAAAGAAGAGGAAGAGAATTCGCTTGCGACGGCCGAAATATATTCTGCGCGCGTGACCAGCGCTAGGCTCCATCAGGCCTAGTGGAGATCTGGACTGGCCGGATATCTCGAATAGGATTAGCGCTCTGATCAAAGACCCCTGAGGCATTGATACACTTACATACACCACTGTGACCAGGTCAAGGTAAGTTACCCCGCAACAAGCTCTTTGTCTGGCGGTGTATTGTGTACGGAACAATACCACGCGGAAAGGCAGAGCATCCCCGATGGCCGCATCATCAGTCAGTCTCGCATGATATTCGTTCCATTCCAGCTTCATCGCAGGCACGTCGGCCAAGACCTCCCCTTCTGCTGCTTCCTGTGAGTTCTCCGGCTCCGGTTTTCACAGATTCCCCAGTTGAATGTTCCTCTTGAGCTGTCTCTGATGCACACTGTCCACAGCTACCTCCCCGCAAGTCCAGCATGTTGAACTAGTGGTTTCGCTGGCCTCTCCCGTTGAATCTCGCCCAGGAGCCTCCCGCCCATTTAGTCCTCCAGTACCTGCCCGACTCACCTCCTCGATTCTCGCGCCGTTTAACCTCCACCTTACTTTTCCACCCACGACCTCCTTTCGAATCCCTTCGCGATGGCGTCGGCCATCTTCTTCCTCGATCTCAAGGGCAAGGTATGAACCCCCGTGGAGGTTGCGCTGTCATGAACAATTCCGCCGTGATCCCCTGGAACCTGACCGTTTATTTAGACCCTTCTAGCCCGAAACTACCGCGGAGACATCCCCATGTCCGCCGTCGAAAAATTCCCCATCCTACTCAGTGACGCCGAAGAAGAGAGCTCCGCCGTGGCTCCGTGCTTTTCCCACGAAGGAATTAACGTACGTATTTGTGTCTCCGACTCGTGGCTGCGGCGGCGCACCTGCACCTCCCCCCGCCGTTCCCCGCAACCCGCTGTGTCTACCATCTCCCACATCAGCCCTGCGCGCATACCCAGAAAGGAACCCAGAAGCATGGAGGTCAATTGCTGAGAATTCCGCCTTTCCTAGTACCTCTACATCCGTCACAGCAACCTTTACATTCTTGCCCTGACTAAGAAGAACACCAATGCCACCGAGATCCTCCTTTTCCTGCATAAGATCGTGGAGGTGTTCACGGAATACTTCAAGGTACTGGAGGAGGAGAGTATCCGCGATAACTTTGTCATCATCTATGAATTGCTCGATGAGATGATGGACTTTGGATACCCGCAGACGACGGAGAGCAAGATATTGCAAGAGTAAGACGGACCCGTCTTTGAGACTACGAGTAATGGAGGACCACAGCTGACGATTCCATGGCAGATACATTACCCAAGAATCACACAAGCTGGAGATCCAAGCCCGACCACCCATTGCTGTCACCAATGCCGTGTCATGGCGAAGTGAGGGTATCCGGTACCGCAAGAACGAAGTCTTCCTTGATGTTGTGGAGTCCCTTAACCTCCTCGTGTCCGCGTCTGGTAACGTGTTGCGATCGGAGATTCTCGGAGCTATCAAGATGAAGTGTTATCTGAGTGGTATGCCGGAGCTTCGTCTGGGCTTGAACGACAAGGTCATGTTCGAAACCACGGGTCGCGCAACAAGAGGAAAGGCCGTCGAGATGGAGGACGTCAAGTTCCATCAGTGTGTCCGACTTTCTCGGTTCGAGAATGACCGCACCATCAGCTTCATTCCCCCGGATGGCGAGTTCGAGCTGATGAGCTACCGGTTGAACACCCAAGTCAAGCCTCTGATTTGGGTGGAATGTCTGGTGGAGTCGCACTCTGGTTCGCGCATGGAGTATATGTTGAAGGTGCGGCCCAGCTCCCTGCCTATAATACTAGAGAGACATATCACCAAGCTAACGTCACTCCTCCCAAACAGGCCAAGGCCCAATTCAAGCGCCGCAGCACTGCCAACAACGTAGAAATCCTCGTCCCAGTCCCAGAAGATGCCGACTCACCCCGTTTCCGCACCAACATCGGAACCGTGCACTACGCGCCTGAGAAATCCGCCATCATCTGGAAGATCAAGCAGTTCGGCGGAGGCAAGGAGTTCCTCATGCGCGCAGAGCTGGGTCTGCCGTCCGTAAAGGGCGACGACGAGCACGGCGGTGGCATGACCGGCGGTTTCGGAGGTAGCATGGGTGGAACTGGGCAGGGCAAGGCAAAGCGGCCGATCAACGTCAAATTCGAAATCCCTTACTTCACTACTAGCGGTATCCAAGTCCGGTACTTGAAGATCACGGAACCTAAGGTATGTCCATAAATCCATGTCAACTCCCTTCCCTTCAACAACCCACCATCAGTTGGATTGGAAGCCTTGTCGCACAAGCACAATGCAATGCAATGGATGCTAACGAATGACCCAATGAATGCAGCTACAATACCCCTCCCTCCCATGGGTGCGATATATAACACAATCAGGCGACATTGCTGTCCGCATGCCAGATGTACAATGATGTAAAGCGTTTCTTTCTTCTATTTCTTTCTTCTTTAGTTTCATTCAATAGATATACTTTCTCTCTTTTTCTTTGCATCAAGCATGGATCATTCATCTGTTGATGGAGTGTACTCCTCGTACAGATTTGATGCACTAGCACATGATCCTCGACTGACTGAATGTAGTGGTGCAACTGATAGCCTTTCCCGGACTATATAGTCGAATAGGTAAATACTTGTAGTCAGTAGTAGGCCTCAGGCATGTGACCGTGACAAGCAAATCTAGTAGAAACCTCGCCATTGCCTTATAGATTTCTACGCACTCATCCGGTATTTATGTATTGAAACATTGTTGGCTACTTGGTAATATTACTTCAAACCACATCAAATACTTTCTATTTACTATTGGTACTAGTAATCATAGTATACTGTATTTTTCTTTCGCTAATTCACGATCATACAATTGTATGGCATAGTCGCTTCCATCACTGTCCTCTTCGTCTTTCTTCATCGTCCTTTTTTCCAACATACAGGCATAATGACCGTGCAATATAGAACCAACAGATATGGGTGAATGTCTGTGAAGGACAGGTACATGGACGAGATGAGTGAACGAGTGGAGAAAGTCATAACAAATAAAGACAATAACTTTTACCAGCCGTGAAACACAATGACCAGAAACATAGTCAATCGACATGTTACAGAATGAGAAGAAAGTATGGAACTGGATAAGGAGAGAGAGTTTGGAAAAGATAAGTTCGATATGGTATGGTATGATATGTTATGATATGATATGGTGAGTTTGAGAGAGAGAAGAAAGAACAGTATACATACATATAGAATGCCATGCATGCTAAGTAGGGTATCTTTGTCTTTTAGTAAAACAGGTTTGTTTTCGTTTTGCATTACGTACTTTCCACACATTTCTGCTGCTCATAGCTTTCGTAGGCTAGAATGCCGTGTGACGACGCTGGCTAATAGGTGATTGATTGGTTGATGTAGTGAAGTAAGAAGCTGTTTTCTTTTTCTTGTCATAAGGCGTGCAGGTCCTTTTTTCGTTTCATACTCGGTAAAGTGCTTGGCTGATTTGAGGGATGGCCGTTGGCGGCCGGTCGAGTAGTCAAATCAATGGGTCCCGTTGCTGTTGTCCGGGGATTCAGCCGCAGGGAGGGGAAACCCGTCCCCGTGACCGGTTGCGGCGGCTTTGGAGAAGCCCTCGCGAGCTAGCATGGTGTTGAGAACGGCGCAGTTGTAGGCTGCTTCGCCAGGCGGCACAACCAGAAAAATGTATGTGTTGTCTGTGAAACGGCCGAGGAAGACATTGAACTGCGGAGTCTTGGTGTGCATGACAACGAAACCGGCAGATGCAGGGGTTGTATGAGTGTTTCGGGCCGCACAGTGCTTGAAGGCTTTCATGATGTTGGAGAGACGTTCATGGCGATCGTAGATGGGGTTCATGTCGCCTACTTCTGAGGAAACGGAAGTAACGGTGAGGAAGGTCGACCGTTCGAACAGAATGACTTCCTCGGCATCAATTCGCTTGGCGAAGGCTTGCAGGAAGCGCTCAATGACAGTCAGATTTGGAATGAGTTTGTGGACGATGCCGGCCCACGCTTTGTAGAGCGATTGATCCCAGATACTACTGCCAAAGGTGTCGATACTGAAATGCTCCGAACGACTGCGGATCAAGGCCGACCGTTCCTCGTAAATGCGTTGGCGGTGCTCGGCCTGGATGAGATCCAGCTTATGCACAAGACAGAATACGTAGGCATTGGGACTGTATTCTTTCAGGGCGTTGATGATAGCGTTGTAGGTGTCAAGATCGCGCTCGACCTCGCGGGATTCAATGTCGAAGACGTAGATCAGGACCGCGACGTCGGAGAAGATGTTCCCTCGCTGAGACGCGAGATATGTTTCCATGAATGCATCCTGTCTGTTTATGGTAAAAGAGCACATTGGGTTAGACACTGGAATGTTTCGAGAAATGCCTGAGACTGCGACTTACCCTCCGCAATCCCAGAGGTTCAGCGTGAGGTTCCCCATGAACTTGACATGGCTGTGCTCGACATCAATGGTAGCACCCAGGCGTCGGACATCTTTCGCAACATAATTGCTGAAGATAATTGAGCGCATGGACGATTTTCCCGATCCACTTTTGCCCATCAAGAGGACCTTTCTCTTCTTCTTGCGCATATCCATTCTGGCAGTTCCCCGGAGCTATCCGTTAACCGTACCCCGCACTTACGGGGCTGGTGATCGTTCAGATGGATGGCAACCGTGGAAAAGATTTGGGATTTAGCATCCGCATAAATACCTCCAGCCCATGGGATGCAGTAGGACCCTGCAAGTCGAGGGAGGTAGCGATCTCCACAGGCAATGAATGGGCGAGGGTGGTTGGACAGAGAGCAGCAGCAACCGGATGACCAGCCTTCCGGGCGTCATTGCATGAGCTTCTCCGGGATCAATAATATTCCGGCTCCATCACGTGGAGAAAGCACGGTCCACCCCAGGGCTGCTGACATGGGGATGGGATGCATGATGGGAAAGTATGTTCTGTCTCTCTCTCTCTCACCGAACTATCCATCTCCTTCCTCCTGCCTTGGAAATTGGTCGACGGAGGTGGCGTTCATCCACATTCCTCCCATGTGCCTCCATTGTTATTAGACTTTCTGCACGGAAGGGGGGTTTGCCAATCATCAGGCTCCACTTCATTCATAGTGGATTAACTAGAACCCAAATATTATCAAACTAGCAGAGACACTATCCCCATAATAATTCCTTTTCAAAAAGGAAAATAGTCAGGACTTTAGACTGTTGGCGGAAACACTAATCCCAGCCATGTAAACTTTTATGGTCACATTTCCATCCAAATATAGGCAAGAAGGTAAAAAGGGCCCAAGGAACTGTGTACAGGAAAGGTAGACGATCATCTTATCACGATGATCCTACAGAAAGAAATTAGGTATAAAAAGTCGGCCAGGTGCCGCAGCAGAGACCTTTGTACAAAACGAACAGAAAAAGGGTGGGCCACAGGCGATGGGCACGAAAGTAGTAAAGACGCATAAACATCCGGTCATCAAAGTCGTAAGCACGACCACCAGCCGTGGAACGGGCGTCGACTGGCGGTGTCAGGTATCCAAAACATCAACAGATATGCGATCATTAGAAAACAGTGCCATCGGAACGGATCATGATCGGAGGTTCTTTCGTGTTGGGTCTCGACACTTCGGCAATCTCGCGGCCACCCTGTTACTCCTGCGTTAGCAATGTCGCCCACATAAAACACCGAGCGCCGAAAGTATCACATACCTTCCAAGATCCAGCCTCAAGCATCTGTGCGAGGGTCAATTGGTCGTCGCCCGTCAGTCCAAGCTGACCGTTCACTTCATCCAGTAGCTCGTCCAGGAACCCAACGGTAACAGCCCGCCATTCAACGACAACGTCGTCATCCGTGGAGAAGAGAGGCACAACTTCCACGTTGGGTTGGCCCTTGATCTGCGCATTCTCCTTGTATGCGGCAATACCCCGCTCCAGATCTTGCTCCTTCAAAGTCAACAGCCCCATGTCAATCAGCAGACCACCGTTCCGGTATTCAGGTAGACCCGTGAGCAGTTCACTGCCGGCGAAATGGATCTTCATGAGTTTGGACATGGGAACCATGATAGAGTAGCACAGCCACTGCGTAAGCTTGTGGAATGGGACGATGCTCTCCCAGGGTTTTGCCGGGGGGGACTTAGGGAGATCGGAGCACGGCCAAGCGTCTCCAATAGAAAGCCCATCAATCTGTGTTCGGGATGGCGGCCAGATGGGAGACAAGCCATCCATAAGAACACTCCATAGCGTGGTGATGGGCACAATTGGAACCGATGAAGCAAGGGTAGACGGGTGAGAAAGGAGGTAATCTAACGATGTTATGTTAGTCAAAATCCCAGCAATCCTTCACCAAATGAAGCCTTACCGAGCATGTTGCCTGGCCTAGCGTCTACCCCAAAGAAATCCTGGTTGTTCAAGGCCTCGGAGAGGCGGATCAGAAGACCAGCTCGGCCTTCAATTCCCGCCAAGGGGTTGGTCTCGGAGTGCTGCATTCCCTTCGCCAGTACTTCCACCGTAATCTTCTTCAGGCCTGCCCCATCCACTTGACAAGGCTCTGTCGGATCGCTGCTGAACAAACCGCTCTTGAACATTTCCAAGGTTGCCACGGCCAGACCCTCGCTCCGCGAAAAGATCTTGCCGGACTCCTTCGACTTGTATGACCATCTGGTACCTGCACCAGCATCGAGAAGGACGGAAACAACGAAAAGGTCGATCAATCGCCGAGTACGTTCTTGCGCATCGATGGTACTGGGCCAAGACTGAAGCAATTGGTTAACACGAGGTCGTCCACCCACGTCGAAGTGCTGCCAACGGCCATGAGGAGGAATGGAGTCGTAGTCCGGGCCATAATCTCTCTGTAAATGAAAGCTTGATTAGCGAACCTCAGGGAGAATGAAGAAAACGGCTAATCTTTTGGCCGAGAGGGCTGTAGCATATAGTATGTACCTTGATAATGGAGACAATATAGGATGCAGTAGCCATGAATTTGCCCATATCCACATCAAAGTGGTTGAGCCTGTTCCTCTTGGCCTTGTTCAAAACAAGGCTGCAGCGTTCGCGGACAGCATGGATACTCCGCAGGTAGGCCGCTGGATCGAGGGCCGGATCAGGTGGTTTGGCAATCGGTAGTTCTGGAATGGAGGCAGGCAGCCCACTCCCCTTGTAACCGGGCGATCTCAATGATGCATTTGAAGTACGAGCACTGTTAACGGTTACAGTCGAGTCGAAATCCTCCTTCTCGCTCTGAATCGAGTTCTTGGAGTCTTTGCGCTTGAAGAGACCCATGGTGACGAGGGGGGGGTTCAATAGTAGAGTCGGAGGGTGAAACACAACAAACGCTCCCTAGCGCTCAGGGGATAGAAAGAACACTTGTTCGTGCCAGGGGATTGACAGTAAGGTGGAACACTCGAGGAGGAAAGGGAAGGGAGAAAAAAAGAAAGACAGATGAGAGGCCCTGGTGCCAGAAGAAACGCAGACCGGAAAAATGGACACCAGAGGGGAAAAGGTACATAAAAGGATGGTGATCTGCGGCAGTTGCGGGAGACTCGAAGAAGAAAAAGAAGAGGCCCTGGTGGGTGACTTCGGTTTTGATTCTTTAGTCTGACTCTTCTCTTTTTTTAATTTTCTGTTTGTTATTATTTTTATTTTTCTACCTTCTGTAATTTTTTTTGGCCCTTTTCAATCCTTTTGAGCCTAAAACTTTTTTTTTCTTTACAGCATGGAGGGACAATAATACTAATAATAAGGACAAGAAATAATAATAACAGGAATAATACGGGGCGGGGCGGGCGAGAGAGCTTAGGAGAAGTTAGGAAAGGTTAGGAAAGTTAGCAGCCCAACTAGCAAGACATCATTGGAGCGAAAAGGAGTGGTCAGTAGCCACTGGACCTTCACGGAGCATACACCCAGTACCCAGTGAACTAGTCGAGCCCTCGGAGTCGGGAGGTGGAGAGCTTGAGGGGGGCAGAGGTCTTGTCGGAAAGGCTCCAGTTCGATGTTAAAAAGGGTGCATGGCGGGTTGGCCGATTTAGCGTTCTGATAGGAACCGATTCGTACCATTGTTTACCGTTCCCACGGTCGTCAATACTACTGGAATTGTAGTGGGTTGAAAAGAACTGACTTTCCACCAGTACCTGGTATTTCACCCAAGAGTAAGTAGTCCCTGTCAGGTACAAAGTAAAAGGAGGGAGAAGAACAATAATGGAGCCAGTAGTAAACAAGTATAAGTGGCAACATATAGGTCCAACGGGGATAATCCCATAAGATACAGATAGGCTACAGAATTCGACCATCCATCCCATCCTTAGGTTGTGTCTAGAGTCAGTCAGTCCGTTCCTAGGGGAGAAGGGCTGAACTCAGGGCCAAGGGACCAAGACTACCGCGGAGTATTCAGTCCGCGTTGCAATCGCCCCGACGCCAGTGATGAGGTCAGAGAATATCAGACCAGTTGGAAGAGTGGAAGATGCATCTAACTAGTTGATGTCTGATGTGCCCTAAGCATGTAGGTGCATGATGGTGCATGCATGATAAACCCAACCCGACCCATCCATACGCACGCATTACCATACCGCACGGTACCAGACCGGTACCTGGTCCCGGTGATGGTGGGGGAGGGAGCCCATAACTGGCCCCGTGTCTGGTAAAGTGCAAATTTCCCAGAATGGAGCAGTTCCAACGGGTCTTGGACGGCTACTTTAGCACCTCCCCCTAGACTCACCCATCAACTTCCTCCTCGGTGCTACGGCCGACCAAGGGATGCTGTGTCCAGATCGATGGAACCAATTGAAAAATAGGTAAAATTAGCGAGGACCGAAAAAGAAAAAGAGGAGTACAGAGGAGCACAGACAAGCCTGCGCACAAGGCTATACCAGGTTCATTTGCTCTGCCCCCCTCTCCTCGCCCCGACACGGCGGATCTAGCTGGCTGTTAGTCACTCTGCGCCTCCAGCATTTCACCGAATCGGGACGTGTCCCTCCTATGGAACCATGGCTCCTCCGCCTGTAGCCCAAAGATAGAGGGGAAGGGAAACCAAGATATGACTCGAATCAATGCTAACGAGGGCACCAGGTAGATAGATAGGATATACTCCATCCATCCATATTTGTGAATTATTGACCGAGCGCCAACCCCTCCCTCCTCCCCTTGGCAACCTAGGTCAGCAGCGGGTATCAGTCAAGCTCTCCACCTTCTTCAATGTCCACTCCTAGCTAGCTATCTTCTGTCGAAGTGCACTGATACTCGGCACAATCGTGGTAATGGTGTGCAGGGCCAATAGTCACTGCTCAGGCGCAATGTTGGCTGCTATAGTGCGATGCTCCCGCTTATCTGGGGAATATCTCCGATCTGATGGCGTGTGATTCCTGTTTTCTATCTACTTCAGGGGTGTTGAGCTTATGCCGCGTCTATCTAGCTACTATCACCCCATATTGACTATAGCCTCGGCATAGTCGGCATAGTCCACCTTATACGTGCATGTCGATGTTTCAGTTCAGGAGGAATTAGCCTCGCTGCAGCCTTGTCTCCATACCGTTGTGCTATGCTAACGCAATCCTGATCCACAGGCGGTGGCAAGTTCGTAGAGAGAGAGAGAGAGAGAGAGAGGCAATTGAAACTAGAGTGTAAATAGTATTCACATTGCCAATTGCTCTGGCAATTGCTGTATTTGGTTTCTGGGTTTGATGCCACGTATAGATGCTAAGTATGGAAAGTATTAGTAAAGAAGTATATTAACTAGGTTACTTACTGCTGCGCCACAAGAGTGGAATCGGGCGTTGTGAAGCATAGTATATTCCAAATAGTAAGCACGACGTAGTGGTCAGTAACAGTAAGGCTGTTTTTGTCAGATAACCGCCTCGCGTCTTTTTCCAACAGATGTGATAGTCAGACTGTAGCTGGGGCGTTATGACTGTTGGTGACCCTATAGTGCACAACTGGAGAACTGAAGATCCCAAAACGAGCCGAAGGCCGATCATGCTTCAGGCAGAAAATCAACTACTCGTGCCAATCGCGCTGCGGTTGACCTGACTTTCGTCTCGGCACCTACTGGCACCTACAACTTCCGGGTTTAGCAAATTTGCAGTAAAGAGCACGACCAGCAGTATGCGAAGAATTGGCCCTTTTTAGATCGGCAGCCCTATTTTCATCAAGTGTGCGACTCCCGAGAGGAAGGGAAGTTGCCGATACGCGCATTTATGGTTCAGGTGGACCTTGGCTTGAATCGTACGCGGGCACGCAACTATTGCCGTGTCGATCTCAATCCGGCAGGATCGTCCACACCAGAATATTCGAACTAGTAGCGAATAATCCGAAGGGAAATAGTTTCTAGTCTCTCTCAAGCATGTCAGGTGCAGAATGTATCACTAGTTTGGCTGGAGAAGGTCGCAAAGAGGTAACCGTGGCCAGGAAGTGCCGCAGGTCTGGGATACACTTCACGTTCTTGTCAACTATAAGTGCGAAATACTAAACCCCTGGTTCGATTTACCAACACTGCGATTTCACATGGGTCAAGTCCGATGAGCTTCGTAACCCAATACCTATAGGTTGCTTTTCTATAGCTACCCGCATGTCATCTTTGCTTTTGTAAAACACATTGGTCGGCAGTCAGCGCGCTAGGGCGGGATAATGTTTTTTTGAGCTTCGCGCTCGTGTTGAGCCCACTTTCCGACAACCCTATTGGAAATGTAGAGCGGGATGGTGATCATTGATAGCAGCTGTAAGAAGAGATGGGCTTGGATACCTTACACAGTCGGTAGCTTCCCCACAGAATAGGAAGCAGCAGCCGATGTTGAGTACCTTCTTAGGTTAACATAGCTTGTCAGAAAGCAAGTGAAACACTTCTATGAGACACGGATTGAGCCTAACTACGAACATCATCTACACGTTACTTTGTGCAGAAGATAGTCCTATCGCCCAGAAACCTCCTTTTGACAGCTCTTGGATGCGTACGAGATATAGGCATGATTGTGCCGATCATACCCATGCTGTCGCGTGAAGGAGTTCAATATTATCTGAGGTTACAGGCGTTTTTGTTTTCCCCCTTTAGAATTCCATGTTGCATATTCCCTCGAGTCGATCTTTATCACACCTATGAAGAAGTACCACAGCGGAGATACGGATCAAACCAGCCATTTGTGATTTTGAGTTCGGCCGGAAGAATCCTCTTCAGCATAAAGTTCGGCTTCTTGCCCCTCCAAAAAGCCTCCGCATCCCCGATGTCGCGCATCTGTGGTCTTTCAATAAATGATGTCGTGAGAGCGACCGTGGCTGGCCTAAGTAAGATTGCCCTGACCACTTCGTCTTATACTGGTATGGTATATACCGCGGTGTCATTTTAGATACGTGTTACTGTTACCGTTTCAGACTGGCAGCTGGCACATGTACTGGGGTTCCTTGGCTGATGAACTCTGCAGCTAGTCGAACCCCAGAAAGGTCGAAGCCTTGTAGGTATATTCCTTGATCTTATGACTGTTCCATTGAGACCATTGTGGCTCCCATAGGCCTTGCTATTGGCAATAATTATCACATCTCATGGTTCGAGTGGATCTAGTGCAGTAGAGACTTGGTATCACGAGCTGCATGTGTTATGCAAAGAAGGCGCCTATACTAGCTTAGGATACAATAAGTGGGAAGTGTCGCCAAATTTTGAGGTTCCCCCGATATAGGCATGGTGTGGTTACTAGCCATAAGCATCTCAGGAGTACTACTGGGGGTATAATATCATACGATACTGATAGTGCTGATTGGGGGGAGCTTGTATGTGTTTGGGAAGGTTTTATCCGAACGACTCCGCGCACCCTGTACTTTTGGGAGGGGGAAGAGGCAAAGATGATACACAGTAAACCCTTGTATTAGTCGATATGCACTGTTGCTGCAAGCCCCTCCCTTCTTCCCCTCCAAAAATGACAAATGTCAATGCACTGGCGTACCCGCTAACGCGGAAAACACGGCCCTGGCCATACTGCTGGGTCGCTCGGGTTTCAAGTTTAACGTTCCGGGTATTTTAATTTTCGAGGCCGTAATGAGCCAACGACACCATGACCATTGTGATATAACCATATCTGAAGAGACCAAAGAATCGCTCATCCATCGCTGGTGTAACTTGGTCAGGAGTTAGGACGACTCGGACTAGTCCGAGCTTTTACCTTTGGGTCTGGAGAGGTCCATTGAAATGGCCCGTAATCCCAACGGCGGCTACTGGCAACAGACCCGATGCTAGTGAAGCGACTGACATGACTCCTTAGTGCGACTACTAATCTTGTCATCTTTGCCTAGTTACTGACTACCCGCCCTACCAGTACCGCACCATTCAATTCCCCCGAAATTCCGCCACCAGCATACCTTCCAGCGGAGATGCCGTGTGGCCCCCCTCTTGCGTTTACATGTGTGCGCTGCTCTCATTTAACGACTTCAATGAACAACACCCGTTCGTGTTACTGGCAACATTCGCAATGGTTATCTACCAGCCTTACTAAAGAGCCCTGGAACATATTATTGGAGAAGATCTTGCGCCTCAGATCAAGTTATGCTAGACCAATACTATACCCGAGGAGGGCTGACCGGAATTCAGAGAAACAATAAGACCACCTGTCTTTCCCTCCTGTCAGACGTGATGATCGCCTGCTCCGTCCTGACACCCCGCTTAGTCGGTATTGGAGTAATTCCCGATGCTCCCTTGACACTATCGCGCATCCCTGTCAGGCCCCCGCTGTCAGCCACAGCGATTGGTAGTGGGAAATGGAGTTCATCCCGTCGGGGATTCCTAGACGCTTGTTGAGTGCTGACATGGCTGTTTGCCGTAAAGTAATGTTTCGCCAATTGGTGAACACCCGTGGCTGCCCTGATCCCACTACTGTAGGAACCCTTTCGATAACACCCGCGAATGTTTTCCTTTTTGTTCGCTCTTTCCTTTTTTTGCAAAGATAAAGGCTCTGTCAAGGACCTGTTTTCCGGTGCGGGGCCCAGGTTGACCTTGTTTGTTTACGCTATTTCCTGGAAGTAATAACTAATCATCATGAAACTGCTCTTCAGATTGTCAGGCCCATCATCCTTCGGAATTCCCCTTCTCGCATCTAGCTACTATTCTTGAGCCTCGAATCTCCGTCCCGCTCGCTTAACACTGAAAAGTCTCGCCTCTTTAATTTCGTCGTTGGCAAGCCCCCGGAGGGCCACCGGGCCCCATTCTCTCAGAGCGCCCGGTCCAGTCACTACCATGGGCAAACCTCGGAAGTCTAAAAACTTACTGTGTGTTAGTGGTCACTACGCAATACTCACTGGCCATCGTTTCCACATCCCCATAGAGAATTGCCGCGTATCCAAGATGGATCCGTGTGCAAAGGCGACTGACATTGGTGCCCACAGAAGCCAGCCGAACTACAGCCTGTAGACGGGGCGTCAAAAGAAGCGAGACAGGTAGGCAAAAGTAATGAATAGCTAGAGACTCGATCATGAAAGCTAGATCGTCGAATTTTGCCCACTGTAATTCACCTGCCTTAAGCATAAGACCACACCACGTTGCTTAGCTGGAATAGCACTGTGAGACACCCATAGTGTGCTTTTCTTCCAAGACTGGGTGTGCCAATCAATCTTAAAATGTACTAGTGCTCACAGGCCAGCTTGGAGATGCCCATCGTCGCAAACCTGCAGATTCAGGTTCATAGGTCCCGTTCGGCCGCCAGAAGTCTGAGATAATAGTAATCACATCGGGAATAACAGTCTAGATTTGGGTCCACTGTGCGGTGGGTAACTGAACCAAGTTTTGTTAGGCTGCCGGCCAAGGCAACAAGACTGTCGTCCGGAAGGATGACTCAGCCCCAGGGGGGGGTGAAAGCACGTGCCTTCCTCCCAGCCCCTCAGCCCCTCACGTGTTTGTATGCACCGCCACATCTTGTGCTCCATTGGCAGTCCTCAGCCACCGCGACGGTCGCGGCCCTCCGTCTTTAGGGGAACAGTAGTGCCGACTGATGAAACAACAGTTGGCGGGCTCATCAATTCGCCCTTTGACTTTTGTTAGTTGGCGAAATGACGCTTTGAAGGACTCCTCCTTGCACGACAATCAGGCTGCACCTTACTGTGAATTCAATCCTCAATCTCCCGACTGGATCCACTCACTCCGCTGCCCAGTGACCGTTGATGGTGAGCTAATCTAGATCATGGCATCCTCACATCCTCCGCATACGGTTACAATCCTAATACGATCCCTCCAGACGCTGCTCCACTAATACATTTCACACAACTGCAATAACGATGGACGACCTCAACGGTCTGAGTTGGAATTCCAGCTCATCGACAGATACTCGCAAGCCCCCGCCGATGAACACAGGTCTCTTATTTCCGACCGTTAGGCAGAGTGATACTTCTGGCCGTTCCACGCCCCTCTCTGGCTCGTCTGGCCCATCGAATGCTCCTTCAAAGTCCGCGACGCCGGACAAGGATAGCTTTGCGAACCTTGTCTCCTTCAGCTCATCCAATGCCAATAAGAACCTTTCATTACTCGAGCAGCAAAAGAGGCTAGAGCAGGAGAGAGCTAGGAAGGAGGCGGAGAACAGATCGCGATTCGAATCGCAATATGGCGGACAGAACACTCATTTCTGGGATAGCTTAGAAAAGGGTAGGGGTAATAATGGCCTTACTACGTCTGGTACTCCTGCTCAGCAGAGTGCCACATCGACCGATGAGGACGATATCCTGGCCGCTTTCAATGCGTCTGCGCCGGTAGACGCATCGACGAACTTCCCGGTGCCTAGTCCCAGTCCTTCGCCGCAACGACTGAGCTCGGTGCAGGTGACTCCCAACAATGCAGGCCTGCAGCAGCAAACCAACCCGATGTCTTTCCCTGATGACGACGATCCCTTCGGCCTTAACCAACTGAAGTCCAAACCCGCACAACCCCCACAGCCCGCGCAGCCTGATGACGATGATGACTTTCTTGGCTTACTGGGCAAGCCTGTATCTGAGATCCCCCGACCAGAGCCCCCAGCGAAATCACCTTCCCCTGTTGAAAGAGCAAACAACTCGCCGCCCCCTAGGCCATCGAATGGGGTGGATCGGGCAATTGCAGAGCTTGTTGATATGGGCTTCCCTGCAGACAAATCCAGACAGGCTTTACGAATGACACAATCTGGCACTGATGTCCAGGCTGCTGTTAGCTTACTTCTTACCCAAGCGCATGAAGAATCCCGCCAAAGGTCCAAGAATCGACCAACTCCGGATGAACGGTTCACCGAGCAACCAAGCAGAAGTCGGGATCGCAGTGAAAGGCCTGGGCGTGACGTACCTTCATGGATGCAGCAGGAGCGATCGCGCAGCAATAACCGAACTTCTTCGCCAGCAGAGAAGGATCCGTCACAGCTTGCGGCGACTTTCGGAAACAACCTGCTTAAGACAGCGAACTCTCTGTGGAAAACTGGCAGCAAGAAAATGCAGCAAGTGGTTCAGGAACTCAATGCTGATCATGATTCAAATCAGCCTCGCTGGTTGAGAGACGCTGCTTCGCATGAAGAACCCCCATCTCGTGATCGTTCTCGCGTCGCCAACCAGCCCCAAGCCCGTCCTGAATTAATGACCGACGAGGCGCTTCTGTTAGAGTCAGGCGGTCCTCCTCGTCCGTCACGCAATGCCATGCGATCCACCGACGGACATTCATCTCGTCCGACCAGCAATGGTGCTAGACATCAGCCGTCCCCAGCTAGCGAGCGGCGTATGCAACAGCCCGCTTTTATGCAACAGCAGCCAAGGACAGAAACTAGAGACCCTAGAACCCGGTTAACAAAAACAGCTTCGGAGGAGCAGTCAGCACAAGCCTATGTCAGCCCTGCGCGGAGAAAACGCCCCGTTGCCCCATCGCCCGCCCCGGAACCTAATGTCGACTTGTTCGAAAGTTCTGCGCCAGCGCCTGTTCAGCGGCCGAAACCCTCACCTGCACCTGCACAACCGCCGAGGAGATCTACACCATCTACAACTTTACCTTCAAGGCCCAAGGCTCCACCACGTGCTATACCGCCAGTAGCTCAAGATGTCCTCTCCTCTTTGCATCGACAGCGTGAAACAGCAGCCGAGGCCTACAAGAGGGGCGACTATGCCGCTGCACACGAGGCCTTTACGGCGGCACTCACACCGCTGCCAAACAAGCATCCTATCACGATTATTATTCGCAGCAATCGCGCCATGACCGCCTTGAAAGTTGGCGATCCCAAGGCGGCAATCAGCGATGCGGATACCATGCTGGAAGTCATCGGTCCTTCTAAGGGAGAAGGCGAGAGCATCGACCTCCTCAATGGAGAGCCCACTAAGCCAATGAAAGATTTCTTTGGCAAGGCTTTGATGCGCAAGGCCGAAGCCCTGGAGCAATTGGAGCGATGGGCGGATGCCGCTCAGGTGTGGAAGTTGGCCGTGGAAAATGGCCATGGTGGCAGCACCAGTATCCAGGGCCGCAACCGATGCGAGAAAGCGGCTGGTATCAACAAGCCCGCGCCGAAACCAGCAGCTCCCGCAAGACGTCCTCCTGCTCCCGCTCCGAAGAAGGTGTCTGCTCTGAATGATCTTCAGGGCTCTTCATCTGGCACCTCTTTCGAGGCGGTCACTCGCCTGCGGGAGGCCAACCAAGCAGCTGAGCGTGCAGATGAAGAGAAGTTCGCACTCTCCGAAAGTGTAGATGCTCGATTAGCAGCATGGAAGAATGGGAAACAGGACAACCTGCGGGCCCTTTTGGGCAGCTTGGATACCGTCCTCTGGCCGGAAGCCGGATGGAAGAAGGTCAACATGTCCGAATTAATCATCCCCAACAAAGTGAAGATTCAGTACATGAAGGGAATTTCCAAGGTACACCCGGACAAGGTATGCATCATCTGCCCTCCATCACGAAGACCTATAACAAGCTTAACCATCTGACCCATCATCAACCAGATCCCCACAACCGCCACCACCGAACAGCGCATGATCGCCGGTGCCGTATTCGGCGCTCTAAACGAGGCATGGGACAAATTCAAGAAGGAAAACAACCTCTAGTCACTCCCATAATCTATCTCGACCATCTTCCTCCATCTTCTTCCTCCTTTAACCTTGCTACGTTTTCCTGGCTGACCACTTTATTCGTCTCTTCGTTCTTGCGCCCTTCTGACCCATTCATGCATCCCTGGCGTGGCTTTATTCGTTCCACAAACCCTTCTGATTATAAATCATTATCTATGCTTTTGCACATGCATTCGTCATATTCTCGATCTCCTTGCGCATATACAACTTTTGTACATATGTACAGGATTTGCTCGCCAGCTCGAAGTCTTCCATTTCCCTTTTAGTGCTCGCCACTCGCCGCTCTTTGCTCACTGAGTAGACCTGAACACGCCCTGAACGTTCTGAAACGCCCTGAGGCGATCACAGAGCAACGGGTGAGCGGGGAGTTGAGTGCACTGAGTAAGCCAGCCTCAATAACGCACCCCTACTAACGGGAACTTCATGATTAACCATCTCTCCACGCGTAGTCTACTTTATAAAATAAATTTTGTCTTGGTGCCAGGCGAGTATGTATCATAATACATAGGAAGGCCCGCCGGTACGAACCCACCCGTCCCACTCGGTGTGGGGTAGCAAATTGCATACATGGAGATAGTATGTGCACCGGGGTGCGATGAGAATGCGAATTATCGCATTACTTTGAGAATAAGCCAAAAAAGAGAGCAAAGTAACTACTGTTCCAGGTCCTCAACTCTGTCCTGGCCTACACACGTCCACCGCGTTGCAGAATAGTTGGCAGGATCGAACACGGACCCATTTATTCATAGGCCAGTATCCATCAAACTTCATGCAGTGACTGCGGGACCGGAGCTCGCAGTACCGTCCCCCAAATCAACAGCGCAACAGCCAACATTGCCACTAAGATGGGCTGCAGTACTGTCACTCCCTTGGCCTGCGCAATAGCACCGATCATGAAGGGAAAGACGGCTCCCCCACCCATAGAGAACGCAGCTGCAAACCCAATAGCTGCGACATGCAAGTGCTTTGGCAACAACCGAGTAGCAACCACCACAACGCCGGGGAAAATGGTTCCCAAGAAGAACCCAACCAGTGCAACCGCTACCGCCGAGACGATAAACTCCGGAACGAGCCAGAAGACCAATTCAAGCGCAATAGCAAGCAAAATGTACACGATAATCGATATTTTCTCTCCGATGCGAGGTGTGACGAACCCCAGTACGAAGCGGCCCAGCGTGACGCCGAGCCAGAAGCCTGTTCCAGCCATACCAGATGCAAAGGGGCTGCCATGGCGGACACTGGTCATGAATACGACGATCCAACCTCCGATAGCGACCTCGATGCCGCCATACAGGAAGAGAAAGATAGAACAGATCCAGGTGACTCTGTACATGAGTGATAGTCGGGTCTGGTTGAGAGACCCACCGTTATCTCTATCAGCAGAAGACGGATGATCCTGTTGATACTTGGATACAGTCTCTGACCAAAAGGCGCTGGTGGCGTTGACGAGTTCTAAAACCGCAGCCCCCGTCTTGGATTCGCATTAGAATTGGCAGAAGACAATAGGTCGTCGGAAAGGTCCAGTCTACCTACCAGAAGGTAATAGTATGAATTCCATTTCCAGCCAGCTTTCGTGATCACGCTAGTCGCAATAAAGGGACTAATTGTAGCCCCGATGCCATAGAATCCGTGAAAACATCCGAGGACTTCGTGAGAGTTGGCCATACTGCTGATCCACACATTCCACCCGGCATTCTGAATCCCGCTGCCAAGTCCAACAAAGATGTACATTATCACCAGCACTGGAAAAGGGGGATTTGTTGAGATGACAGCAAAGGCAAGCAAGTGACATGCTGGGCCGATGAACGCCACGCCACGACGACCAAGGCGCTGGTGGATCAGATTACTAACGACAGCGGAGATGGTGTAGCCCAGAAATGGGGACAGGAATACTAGGGAAATGATAGTATAGCTCTTGTTGTAGGCAAGCTGGAGCTAGATGTTGCAAGCAGTCTGGATTAGCACTGTATGTACGTGTTCGCTGGGCGTTTAGGAGGTGGTACAAACGTAAGGGATTATCGCCCCATATGCTGCATCATTGGCGCCCATGACCAGTGCACCGCAGAAAGTAGCTAGTACTCTCCATATCATAGTCTTTGACTCGTTCCATCGCAGGGCGACGGTGACCGCGTTGGAGGGCGGAGTATCATTCTCAGAAGCGGGGCTCACTGGAACAGATGCATGGTGTATTGTACTGCTAGATGAGATCAAGAGTGGGCGAGTAAGATCGGGATCCATGGCCATGGCCCTTGAGCATGGAATGTCTGTCAAGGGGCCTGGGGATTCTTCAAAGCAGGCGTGGTAGAAAGTTGATGTCTTGTCTGGTCGCTTCCTACCTACTCGGTGAGGGGTCAGCAGTCAGCAACGTCTTATTTTCATCCCGGGGATATATGAAATGCCCATCAGGTACCTGCATATTCGAACACCGTCACTCCCAATCCATATTTAATCTTGCCTTCAGGTGGTATAAGCTATAATTACTTAATTTCTGGTTCGATGACCTTTTCCAAACAAAGATCATAAAGAGGTACATCGAGCAAAAGCACTGACATGGCGAATACACAGCCTGTACCCGGTGCTCGCTTCAACGAGCTATATGGTTGGGACAGTGACTATTGTTCTAGACCTACTTTGTAATGGCCGTCAGGACCTTGCTCGATCAACTAAGTTCACTTCTGATTCTGCATTGAGTACTAGGAGCCCTTGAACTTCTGCGTAGTGCTACTTTGGCTGCTATTAAAGAGTACTACATTGTTTGGACTGCGAACCCTTGCCTTGACCCGGTCACTGGTTTATCTCAATATTAAGCCAAATCAAAGAATCAACGCTTGCCAATATGCCAGGACTCCAGAAGTGGCTAAAAGATACGGGTATATGGGGATAATTTACAAACGAAGATACTGCTATCTAGTACTCAATTACAAAGGCTGTGCCAACCAGAGAAATTCGGACTGGTTCTAGCAAGATTGTCGTCATCGATCTGCAGGGTCCTTTAGTGGGGATTTCGGTGACACAGTAATTGAAGTTGATACCCCAGGCAGGCAACCTGAAACCCCGCACATGTATCTTGATGTGAGTCTCCAGTACGAGCTTTTATCAAATGCAACTCACTCAATTTTACACGCGCCAGCCAAGTCATATTACCCGCTATACCTCCATATTGCCCTGCCCTGCCATATTCAAAAGGCCTGGCAACTATAAACCGGAATAGAGACAGCAATGGACAATAAGCTGCCAGAAGAGGTGGAAGCTTATCTTGAGAAACTGGTCGAACGCCTCACGGTTTACCTGAAAGACCAGCTTGTCGGCGTGTACCTATTCGGTTCTGCGAGTTATGACGCCTACGAGCCTGGCCTCAGCGACCTTGACGTACAGGCTATAGTAAAGGATCAGCTTGACACCGTTGAAAAGCAGGCAGTCATACACCAAGTGAACCAGGCTGCCTTGCCTTGCCCGGCTACAAAACTTGAGTTTGTGGTCTATACTCAAAGTGCTGTATATCCAGCCAGCCGCCATCCTCGTTTCGAACTTAATTTGAACACAGGACCTCACCAGCCTGATCATATCAGCCTTGATCCCGCTAACGAGTCAAGTCACTGGTTTTTGCTCGATATTGCTATTGGACGTGAACTTGGCCGGACCCTGCGCGGTCCTGATCCTACCCTGCACGGTCCTGATCCAACCGATGCTTTCGGCGCTATTCCTCGACGCTGGATTTTGGAAGCTATCGCGGATTCGCTTGATTGGCACCAAGCAAACGAAGTAAACTCGGTCAACAGTGTTCTCAACGCTTGTAGAGGCTGGCGATTCATCGTTACGGGCGAATTTTCTTCTAAATTAGACGGGGCCAGATGGGCCATACAACAACAGGGCTGTCCAGATATTGTCAGACGTGCCATTGCAGCACGCAGAACAGGCGACAAACTCCCTGCAGCCGAGGTAATGACGCTTTACGATATTGTTGTGACGGCCAACCGTGCCCAACTCGCGACAGATATCTAATGAGTCTTGCCCCCTATCTACGGCAGTATATGAGCCATCTTATCTACGGAGCGGGTGTGATAATGGAGTTCTTCATTATTTATATTCATGTTCATGCAGTCTATCACGAACAGATTAGTCATGGTTATAATCAGTAGTTAAATAGAGTATCTGAGCTTCCAAAAAGGTGATTATAGTACCAGAGATATAAACAATGCTGAGTCTCCTTATATCCTTGTTCGTGCGTGCAATGCTGACACTCAGCTATTTGATTGCATGCTTGACCAAAGAATTCATTCGCGATGAGGTGCAGCATCAAGTCCAGAAAGAGCCAATCTGTCAATCGGGATTTGTCAGACAGGATAAGAAGAGGACAACTTATGAGATTCAAGGTAAAGTATTGAAATAGCATTGCATATGTACTAGATAATCTACTTAATAAGAGGGAATATCATGCCCTTATACCTCGTTCCAATGCTGTCCTCTAGATTTGGTGCTACTGCCCTCATAATTAGCTTCACTAAGACTTCACTAATAGGGGAGACCCAACCCCAGGAAGTTTTGTAGTTGTGTCCTCTGGTGTGGGAATCTCGTTAGACCTGGGTAATTGGGAGAAAAGTCATCGAGCGTAGTTATCAACTACCTGTATAATGTGGATGGGATAAATGGCCGCCCCCGGTTACTATCGAAACGTCGACATTCTACCTATAGCTAATGCAAATTAATGGAGAAGCCAAACAATAGTGTACATAGTAGTATAGTATTTATCCTGAACACGCTAAGGAAACTTTTATCTAATCTAACTTAAATTGAACCAAGATAGGTAGGTACGTCTATTCAGCCTGCTCAGGGGCGGCTGATTGCTCCTGTGCTACCGGTGCTGTCGGTTCCCCTTGCTGCTGCTGCTGCTGCTGCTGTTTCTTCTGCTCCTCCTCTTCCCGCTCCTTCCGCTCCCTCTTGAGCTGCTTCCTCCCCTTGGGCTTCTCAGGTTGAGTCAAGTCGACCTGATGCGGAGGCCATTTCTCGCGGCACTTTTGCTCGTCTTCCTCAGTCCAGTCACGGGGAAGAACAGCGAACAACAGGTAGGATGTGTGCGTTTTCAGATCCTGCTCGGAGCGGTGGACCAAGCGACCTTGCTTGTAAGGTGGGATAGTCGAGGGTTGTTGTTGGGCGGAGATTTCCTCTTCTTCGGTCTTGGTCTCTTGCTCTTTCTTAATCTCGGGCTTAGCCGCAGGCGTGCTGTTCTCCTCGTCGTCTAGCTGATGCATCATTTCGCGATATTTCCGGGAATGCTCCTCGACTTGGCGCATCTTGGTGACGGCCTCGTCGACATCCTTCGGGAAGACTACTGCGCCGCGGACGCGCTCGTACTCCAGACCGGTCTTTTCCCGCTTCACTTCGATGCGGTGGTGGTTTACCTCCACCATGGATATGGAGAGCCAGGAGAGCTGGCGGAGGGTGCTGATGGTTCGTTGGACTTGCTCTAGGCAGGGCGAGAATGTGCAGAGGTACACTGGGGAGTCGGGGTCGAGCGGAGATTCACTACCGTCGGACGGGTGGCGGACGAGATGCTTCAGAGCCAGCCAGGGAGCAGGCAGATCCAGGAAGATTGCATTGGCCTTGGGAGACTTGCCAGTCTTGGGATCGCCAAGCAGGAAACCGTCCTTGTAGACGTCGCGATGCGTCACTTCGACTAGTCCGTCAAGACCGTGTTCGTGTAGCTCCTGGCGCACTTTTTCTGCGCGCTGTTCGTGGTACTCGAAACTGCAGACCTTGCCTAGTCTTCTCTTCTTCGTCGCGGGCGAGTCGTCGGTGGGGTATCCGTTGAAGGCTGCTCGAACAGCCGCGTGCGTGAAGGATCCACTGCCTGCTCCTGCTTCGATGACGGTGCTTCCCGGACGGGCGCGCAGACGGTGGAGGATATAGCTGTAGTCCGGCGTGTAGACAACCTGTGTGCGATGGGGAAGGGATGTCGTCCATAGTTCGGGAGTGGGGTAGACCAGGTGAAGGAAACCGCTGGATGCAGCGACAGCAGCCTTGGGAGATGATGTGTTCTCGCCCTCGACAGGGGTGGCCGAGTCTATCTCGTCTGCTTTACGCTTGAGCTTCTGGTTCTTTTTCTGAGGTCCTCGGCCTCGTCGCGATCCCGTGTCGACTTTGGAGGCGCCGATTTGCGATCCCCATGGTTGATCAACGAGGGTGGTGTGGGGGAATGAGCCGAATCGAGTGGTCTCGACTTTGCCCTCTTTGTAGCCAGCGTCTTGATCATCTTGAAGGCGGAGGACAGTCGGAATGGCCTGGTCGCGACGGAGGTGGAGGAGGGCGAGCTGATCGAGGCCGGAGTGGGAGCCGGGGGTAAGGAATGGCGACGGCATGGCTAGATATGCAATCTGTTGTTTCGGGTTATAAGATGAGCGACGCGAGCCAATTCCCCGCGCAAAAACAAAGCTGCAGCATCCAACTTGAAGCTTTCGATGCGGCGTCACTTTCCTCTTCCATGCAGAACATCCTCCGCGCTAAACCTATCTTAGCCTCTGCTTAGGGCTTAGGGCTACTTTCACGTGCTATAGAACTGGAGTCTAGCCCGCACTGCTAATTGGTCAGTTTGATGAGCGTCAAGATAACGGGCGGCAGTATTGAAATAGACTCTCGTACTGAGTACTATCGCTCCGATCTTTTCTAGGCGATCGGCCCGAATCGTTATATCAAGCTACAAATAAAGTGTTCTCTAATGTGGGAGACGCCTTCAGATGCAAAACATGATGTGTCCTCAGTGAAAGTCTCCTGCCATACCCTCGCCTCTCACCTGATATGTGACCTGTGAATATCCCCGTGATCACATGCATCTAGCCGGTCAGCAATGGAGGCGACAAAGCAGTCACCGGTACCTTGCCATGGAGTGCAACTATCCTTACATCTTACAGAGAGACTGAGAAGATAATCATCTACCCAGCAGATGGTGATTTGGCTTCTTTTCCTTCTGTGCTGCTGTTAAGCGCTTCCTAGATTGTACAGACGCAGATATCCTCTGGCTTGAACCTCGGCAACTCTGGCTTCCCCACAGCAGCGGCCGCGGCAAACCGTTGATTACTATTTACGGGGGTTCACCTAGCCTTCCCCATATTTGGTCTCCAACTACCGTCTGTCGTCTTTAAGTTGTGATAGAGACGCATAAGATCATACATTTGAACTTATTCATTCTACTCTTTCTGTCTTCCCCTTTTTCTTCCATTCATCAACTGCCGAGAAAGCTATCGCGTCGACCCCTAGACTCAAGGCACATACACCATGCCTTTCAACACTGCTCTAACGAGAGCCCTGGGCATCTCAGGTAGGAGGGATTTTACATTGGTTTTGACAGCCTGCTGATCTGGTGCAGTCCCGGTCGTGCAGGGAGGTATGCAATGGGTGGGATATGCAGAGCTTGCTGCTGCCGTCAGTAACGCCGGTGGACTGGGTATTGTACGTACAGCCTTGTTGGAATAAACGCAGGCAAAAAGATCAGAATGCTGACTGCTCAGCTCACGGCCCTTACTCAACCGACCCCGGAAGACCTTCGCAAAGAGATCCGAAAGTGCAAGGCCATGACCAAGAAGCCCTTTGCCGTGAACATCACCCTCCTCCCCGCACTCGTTCCCCCAGACTACGGCGCCTATGCTCAGGTGGTCATCGACGAAGGTATCAAGATTGTCGAGACAGCGGGAAACAACCCAGGCCCAGTTATTGAAAAGCTCAAGAAGGCCAACACCACCATCCTCCACAAATGCACGACTATTCGTCATGCCAAGTCTGCTGTGAAACTGGGCGTCGACTTCTTGTCTATCGACGGATTCGAATGTGCAGGCCATGTCGGCGAAACGGACATCACCAACTTCATTCTCCTCAGTCGCGCGCGTCAGGAGCTCAAGACCCCGTTTATTGCATCTGGTGGGTTTGCTGACGGTCAGGGACTGGCTGCTGCTCTGGCTCTTGGAGCCGAGGGTATCAACATGGGTACTCGATTCATGTGCACAATTGAAGCACCCATTCACATCAACGTCAAGGAGGCAATTGTCAAGTCAGATGAGACGCAGACGGCTTTGGTCATGAGACGGTGGAAGAACACCACTCGTTTGTATGGCAACAAGGTGGCCAAGGAGGCTCTGAAGGTGGAGAAGGAAAGCAAGACGGGCGAGTTCAGTGATATCGCGCCCTTCGTCAGTGGCAAACGCGGCCGAGAGGTTTTCTTGAACGGCGATATTGACTATGGAGTATGTATCTCTTGTTCCTATTGGTTTTGCTACTTTGCTAACTAAAACAGGTCTGGACCGCCGGTCAAGTCATTGGCCTAATCCACGATATTCCGACTTGCGCTGAGCTTCTCCAGCGAATCGAGAAGGAAGCCGTCGAGGCGCTGGACCGCTCCAGGTCGTTGCACACGGCAACCATCCCCAGCAAGCTGTAGAGGATGTGGATGGAGTCGATACCCGGTAACATGATTGGAGCGTACTTGTGATTTAATTACAGACTAAGCAAGGAATAGAAGTGATTGTGTAAAGGCAACGACTGTAGCGACCCGTCAAATGCATAAATAGCCATCCCTTGCGGAGTTTTCCACCACCAAGGGATGAACGAGGGAAACAGAGGGTACTTCTGGGGAAAAAATACATGCGGAGCTGCACGATGATCAGATCATTTCCTGGACCGACCGAGAATACTCTCGTGGCGGTTACATGGTCATAGTGACTCCAAATGGACATGCTGCCGTCAGGATGGATGCATCTCTCACTGCAACCTGACTCCGCCAAATTGGTCCTTACTGCCACCGAGGCTTCAGATATTGGGATCCGCATATGGCTTGCATGGAAAAAGACTGTAGGATTGGCATAATTTATACCAGAGTTTGCGAGCCATTGGCAAGCCGAGGATGCTCGCGGAGGCTTTCAAAGTGCGAGGATAGAAGAGGTGGATGACCGTCCTTGCGTCCTAATCTTCCCTTTGGCCACTCCTTGCAGAGACAGACTACCTGCTTTTTGATTCGAAGTGCTTGCTGAAGCTTGCGGGCAGACGGAGTCTAGTTTAGGTTCATTTTACACTTCACATCCTCTATCCCGTGGGAGATTAGCTGCGATCATCAACATCACGCACGACCAAACTCACTTCATGTACCCCGAACCATCACGATCCGCGAACTTACAGTGAACTGCAGTGCCAGTGCCAGACCCCCGCGTCCTTAATCTTGAAGATTCAATAAAATCCCCCGCATCAATCGCCGGGAGCAACTATCACTATCGCCCCGACGACGAGAACAACATCACCACGGTTCACGCCGCTATAAATTGACAACACAAGCATCATGACAAACTCAATCCTCAACTCGTCCCTCATGCAGCGTCCACGCAAAATGAAGTGCCTGTCTTCTATTTTCCTACCCTGCTTGCAGGCGCGGAAGCTTCGTCGTCAGCGACGGCAGGATTACCATGCCTCTTGGACTTGTGCAGGTATCTCAGAGCTTGCGCAGCCTACTGAGCCATTCCCCGCGTACGAACACGAGAAACACCATCACGGTTCAACAGAACTGTCAGCTCTGCCAGACCAGCCTAAAGATGCTGTCACCAAGACCCCGCAGATGACACCATCTATCCGCCTCGTTAATCCTGCGGACTCGGAGTGCTCAACGCTGGACGACCCAGATGAGAAACAACCACAAGGCATCCAAGATGATATCGCTGCGAAGCAGACCACCACGCTCTCAGACGATGACACCGACGTCGAGTCCGGTTCCGAAAAGACTTCACGGGTCATTGACATGAAGGTCGGCCCTCAGACTGAAGAACCTCTCAATCCCAAAGCCCACCTGTCGCCGAAGAGCAAAGACGACATAGATCTTGAGCTGTCAAGCCGCCGCATTCCCCGCAGTCCTGATAAGAAGCCCCGTCCTGCAAGCATGGAGGTGCCTCCTAGCGCAGCAGCCAAACTTCCAGAAATCAAGAGCCGTATCATCGAGGACATCCCGGAGGACGTTGAAGAAGAGGACAAACACGATGCAGATATCAAGCACACTGTGTCTGCAGTTCCAGACGAACAAGCAAAGCCAGAGGAAGAGTATGGCTCCGAGACTGCCGCAACCAAGCCTACTAAGCGCACCTCGACCTGGCGTCTCAGCCAACGGAAGTCCATGAACGAGCTCTTCAACCTTCTCCAATCCACCGCCGCAGCTGTCGCCGCAGCCCCCAAACTATCTAACCTCAAATTCGCCATTCCTCCCAAGTCTCCTCTTCGCGCATCTCCTACGAACGACTCCCCACATCATTCCTACGTCTCATCCGTCTCCTCTACGTCCAACCGCCCTCCCACTCCCCCTCCCAAGTCACCTGTCCTCAGACCCAACAGCAGACCTCTCCCCGACCCAGCCCAGCTCTCATCGTCCGCACCACCTGCGTCAGGAACAAGTCTGGGGAGCCTCAGCTCAAGTCCTACAAAGAAACAACGCCGGATGGGCACCGCTGTCTTCCCTCTTCTTCCGTGCAAATGGGCTGGTATTCACGACGAGGACATGAAGGAGAAGCACAGCAACGATACTAACCGCAACAGCCAGACTCTTTTTCAGTAGCGACGGAGTTAGGTGTACCGGTTCCGGGTTTGTATTTTGTTGGTGTGTATGGTCCATATCGGAGGGTTTCGTGGGTGTTTTGAGGTCTCTTATTTTGATGTGATATTGCTTTCTTTGATTGGGAATATTTCTTTTGTATTTTCTTTACTCTTCTCTTATCTTCTCCTCTTGTCTTCTTGTTCTTTTCTTTATCTATTGTGGAGAAGGTTTGATGGTTCTATTCCGTCTCATGCCATTATCTATGTTGTCTGAAGAAAGCAACAGAGGTAGGGTCTGACGGGAGGGATTGTATGTATTCCTACTAGCCTGATCGGCCTGGCCACTTTCTTTCTTTCTTTCTTCTGTCTTTTCTTTGTTGTTCTCGAGATGATACGATACGAGGAGAAATATGTGATTGTGATGATGGTGTAAGATACGACGAATCGTGGATGGAGGATGGATCATACATACACATACATACAAACTTCTCATAACTAACCTATGCAGAGCATAATGATAATGTTATTTGACAAAAAAAAAGCAAAGAAACATTCCATTGTGTTATACTACCTAAGTAGTAGGTAAAGAGAGCATTAGGTCACTTTGAACGTAACCATTCATTCATCATACGACCTTCTCTCCCTCCTCCCCATGTTTTTTGGATGAGTGAGAAAAGGGAATGGAAAAGGGAATGTCTGCGTACTACTTATATTATCTTATAACCTCTCTCTCCATTGCCCGATGTAAATGGCTCCGACCTCGCCCTCTTAACTGTTCTTTTCCTTCTTCTCCCTCTCTTGAATCCTCTATCTTATACGTATCGCCGCCTTCTTTCTCTCCTATCTATTTCCACTGGTTACTGTGCCTTGGAGATTTTAGCTTAATGTACTGTTCTATTTATTCTACTGGAGATACAGTTTGATCTGACGCTCAGCTTGTTCTCCCCCCGGGGGGAATGTAGTTATCCAGGACGAGGATAACTGGGATAATTCAGCCCGCAGCGGTATTTATGTGATTTCATACGCAGATTTCTGCTTCTTTCTAGAGTGTATTTGTTATTATGCTATAATATCATCTAAGTCTTCCTTTGATAGTGTGTTTAATTTATCTTAGAGTCTACTATTCTCTTTCATGCCGTAATATACTGGTATGACTTGGATGCTGTATATCCTGTTCTATCTATCCTATCTCTGATTGCATTGTATCATTCTGATGTTGTAGAATAGCCCGCTCTTGCTATGTCGTGAATACTGTGATGTCTAGTTATTGTTCTTATCAGTCTCTCCGGGCTGTCTACACCCCGTCGATGAATTCTTTCAAGTCCAGTTTAATAATGTGGACTAATAGCGAAAATACCGCATACGCTTCTGGCCTCGGTCAATGCTGTATCTTGCGGCCAATTCTATGCTGTGACTACGGGAGCTATGCTATGATTACCATGTTGCCTACGGATTGGGGAACGTGATGGGGAATGGACTGAGAACGGGGTGATGGCTAGTGCAGGCATGTATGGAAGGGTTTCTGTGAGGGTAGTGGATAAGTTTGAAATGAGCTGTAAGTTGTTATTTTGGGCTGTGGAACTGTTAAGATCTCGTGTTCCTGGATGTAATGGCCTGGATTGCAGGATCCATTCAAGATTATGCTTAGTAGAAGTAAGAACTCATCTCGTGGATTTCTGTTGTGTATCAGAGAGAATACAATTCTACTAAATGGCAGAACTGGAATTCGAATTACTAAATACTTCCTTTATCCTGTCTGTTCCTGCCTTTTTTCAGGTTTCTTTTATGGTGTCTATAGTCATCATATTAGGAGAGTTTTAATCATAATATGTTTTTTTTAATTTCACATATCTATATCTATCTATATTTCTAAAGCATTTCATGTCAAATGTGGGTTTGCCATAGAACCCATAACAGTGGAGTGCTCTTTAAGACAGAGCCCCGCTCCTTGGATGTGTTTGCGTCTAATGAGCAACCAAATGCTTGTGTGTGAAGAGCGAGCATAAACAACAACAGGGTTTCCCCAAATTCCAGACACTTCTTTTCCCAGAGTACATCTAGGAGATGTTCTGATATAAACCAAGATTTCTTGACTCTTCAGCTCTCCAATAGCCAAGTTATTGAAGCATGACCTTGGCTTAGAGGAAAGCCAGTCGTCACTGGAGAATAAGAGAAATTTGACGAATCGTAACATACTGTGGACTGACACATAATATTCCCTGGAGGAGCCTGCTATTCCGTGATATTCGAGATTTCCTGACGCGAAAGACCCCATGAACCAAAATTGAATCAGAATAGCTCTTAGAGTACAGTGGTTCCAAGCCCCTTAGCTCTACCATAGTCAGTGTCTCTATTGGTGCCTGATTGCGGAAGGGTCCAGTTTGGGTATCTGTGCCCACCTTCACTTCCCCAGACTCCATTTTCCGCCAGATCCACCTAGTCTACAGACTAGGTTTCCATATATATATATATATATATATATATTTATTTATTTATCTATTTCGACATTCGCTGACTGCTACTCTGACCATCTTGGTAGTCAGCGGTGAGGCTGACAGCAGTATCGTGACATGCTTGCTAAAGAGGCCATTTTTACCTTGAATATTACCTGTGTTCTATTCTCACGGCACAATTATCAAGCACGACATGGAGAATGAGCAAGCACATCAGAAAACCACCCAGTCTAAGACAGAAAGTCACGATCAGACTTGTCCCGATGTCTCTCGCTGGTACACGGCCCCCGTGAACGATGACAGCTGTGGCGGAGAATCGGGCTCCCACGAGGCTACAATCGAAGATCAAGGATCACCAAGGCTCCTGGATTTATCAACTCTAGAATCAATATATGCGCGCGGAGTCTACTACCAGCAGCAAGGGGCTGTCACAGAGGCAAAGAAGATGCTATTGCGTGCATCGAAGGCATACGAGGAAATATTCGGACTACACGACAACAGGACCCTCGATGCCCTTGAGTACCTTGGCACCACCTATCGGCAGACGGGGAAATTGCAGGAGGCTGAGTGTACATATAACCGCGTTCTGGAAGGTCGGACAGCCCTGTCAGGTCCAGATCACCCGACAACACTGGTGGCGATGAACCGACTAGGCGGGGTATATAGATACCAAGGCAGACTAAATGAGGCCGAGGAGATCGCCAGAAAAGTATGGAAAGCCTTCAATGAAACCGAAGGACCTGAACACATATCGACAATCAGAGCTTTCGTGTTGCTCGGGAATATTACGCTTAGACGAAATGATATCACCAAGGCGGCCAATATCTACGCAGCTGCACTGGACCATTGCAAGGTAGCACTTGGACCCGATCACTCATCCACGCAGACGGTATCTAGCAACCTTGCGTCGGTTCGTATTCGCCAAGAGAGGTACCCTGAAGCTGAGACAATGCTCATCGAGCTGGTGCAGCAGGTGGAGGAGTGTTACGGCCCAAAAAGTGTACGTGTCCTGCCACCACGACTGAATTTGGCAAATGTCTATACGCGCCAGAAGAAATATGCCGAAGCACAGGAGACGCTTTATACACTACTCGAGAGATACAAAGAGACATACGGGGAGGACCATACGAAAACAGTCAATATCATGCAACAACTGGCGTGGAATATGAAAAAACAGGGTAATCTTGCCGATGCTGGTGAGATGCTGCAGAATGCGCTCGCCTTGGCCGTGGGCGCCCGCGGAAATCAGGATCAAGTCTCTATTGATATCATGATTGCTTTGGCCAATGTCTTGAACCAGCAAGGTCAATATATCGGCGCGCAGCGGATCCACCACCAGCTATATGAAGCGTACCAGGCGAAGTTTGGCGAAAATAACTATCTAGCAATCTCGTCGTTGATTGACGAAGGGGATATGCTTATCTACCAGACGAAATATACCGAGGCTGAGGCAATCTACAAGGAATCCACTCGACGGTGCGAAATTGTGTTTGGCGCGGACGACGAGCGCACTATATACAGTCTAGTATCCCAATGCTATGCAGCATATGGGCTGGGAAGGATTCATGACACTGAATCTCACATCTGTCGGCTGCTCAAGGATCTCGATGAAGGCTCACGACTCTGGAGCAAAAGAGCAGCCTGGCTATTCTTTGAGATGAGCAAAGGTCACTTGGCTAGAGGCGCGATCAAGGAGGCAGAGCCTTTGGCAGTGAAAGCAGCTGAAATATCTCTCAAACTGCTCGGCCGTGGTGATAACGAAACCATACTGCTTGGTCTGAACCTGGACCGGGTGCGACGGCAGCTTTGGCAACAGCAGAAAGGTCTTCCTGTCGAAGACACAGTATCGTTAACATGTGACGAGACAACTGACTCAATGATCAGGAGATTGGAGCTTTCACTGATGAAGAGTCTAATGCGCCCAAACCCAAGTCTCGCCAGGTCCCTCGGGCTGCTAGGCACGCTGTACAATGCAAAGTGGAGCGAGGATGGTGCCCTGCTTCACCTGGAAATGGCCATTGACAAGTTTGAACTGGCGATTTTGATTGGGGGAAAGGACGATGGAGATCGGCCGGAATGGTTGCGTGCTCTGGGCAAAGCATACAGAGCCAGGTTCCGATACCAGGATACACTGGAGGACCTGCGAAAGGCCATAGAGCTTGCCGAAGCAGCCCTGGAATTGAAGGTTGAGCCCGACGAATCTCGTGCAGAATACCTCGAGGATCTCTGCCAGAATCTGATTGATCTCCATGAGCGCGCCTCGGGTCTGGAACATCTCGATAGGGCGATTGAAGTCGGCTTGGAAGCATTATCCTTGACTCCACTAGATCACCCCAAAAGAGGACTCTATCTAGGCCGTCGCGCATCGGAACTCTTGATCCGCTACCAGGAGATTGCAAATCGCGACGACCTTGAGAAAGGCATTGAACTAATCACGGCAGCATTGATCTTGACACCCAAGTCTGAGTCGCAGTGGAGTAATTTCTGTTCGATTCATGCAGACCTTTACAGGCAGCGATTCAAACAAGATGGCAATATAAAGGATTTGGAAAAGGCGGTAGATCATGCCACAGTGGCTGTTCGCGATGGACCGGCAGATAGTCCACTCTTGTTGGATTCGTTGGCACGGCAATTGGAGTATCGATATCAAGCACTTGGGAACAAGGAAGACCTCGACAAGTCAATCGTGGCTGCAGAGAGAGCTCTCGAAGTATGCGAGCCTGGCAGCAAATACCGAGCGGACTATCTCACAACACTGGGCAATATCCTACTGGAGCGGTTCGATGCAACCGGGCAGCAAGAGGATCTTAACCATGCAATTCTCCATCTAGAGAACGCCCGTGATATACCGAAGACAAATGCAGTTGCTGAAGCAAGATGCCTGAGTGGATTAGCTACCGCATTTACATTATGCTACAAACGCACGGATGACCACGCGAGTCTTGAAGCTGCTATTCACAATGAAAGACTGGCCCTCGAGACTCTTCCCGATTGGTTTGAAGGAAAATCTGAGGTGATGAACAACATGGCACTTCATTTGACAGACAGGTTTCGATGGACAAAAATGGCCGACGATATCGATGAAGCCGCGAAGTATGCGGAGATGGTCCTAACCCTGCGCCCTCCCAACCATATGTACTACGCAGGAAGCCTGAACAATATTTCCAATATCATGGAGGCTAGATTTTATGAGTCAAAGGACTTGAATGATTTGAATTCAGCAATCGAGAAGGCTGAAGATACATTATCAGCCACGCAAATTGACCATACCAGTCGTGCAGGGCGCCTTTTCAACCTCGGTGCCAAATATCATGTCCGATATGGAAAAAGTAATGACCCTCAGGACCTCCAACTTGCCGTGAAAAGTTTTATAGACGGCTGGAGGATCATCAATGGACCTCCATTCCATCGTGTGATGGCTGGTTCTCAGGCCGCGCATCGACTGATGGGATTGGGAAGACTAGAAGAAGCCACAACGATCGCGATGGAAGTCGTTGATTTGCTTCCTCAAGTCACTAGCCGATCACTCGGTATCACCGACCAGCAATACGTTGTCCGCAAATTCTCTGGGATGGCCGGGAACGCCTGTTCCCTCCTCTTGAGCGCTGGGCGACTGCACGAAGCATTGGAATATCTCGAGCGAGGACGGACTGTCATCCTCGATCAGTTAATGAGCAGTCGGATGGATTTCTCCGACCTCGAATCCACATATCCGGAGCATGCTGCAAGATTTCGACAACTCCAGGACGATATCAATAATACATTCGACAGGGCAGGCGCGGGAATTAGCGAATCGAATTCCTTGGTTCAAAACCGTCTCGCATCGGTTTTCAAGTTCAATGAGTGCATTGACGCAATTCGTCTCTTGCCAGGACATGATCGTTTTCTTCTCGGGCCAACGATTGAAACTATGAAGTCGGGCGCAAAGGGAGGCCTGATCGTTATCGTCATCATCAGTTCCCTTCGCAGCGATGCCATCATTATTTCCGAGGAGGCAATCGACAGTGTCGAACTTCCTGGACTATCATACTCGGAGACTGCCGAATGGCTAGAGAAGGACCTGGAAGGGAGACCCAAGAATCGCGCTGATCGGAAAATGCGGAACGAGCAATACTCCGATCTACTCCATTGGCTCTGGGTGTCTGGTGTGAAGCCCATCCTCGATCATACCGAAATCCAACCTTCGTCATCAGCAAGACTACCCAGAATCTCCTGGATAGGCTGCGGTATGGCTAGTCTTTTGCCTTTCCACGCAGCTGGTGACCGCACGCCCGGCTCCAATGAGCATACCTTCTCGTACGCTATCTCCTCATATTCACTATCAATCAAAACAATGTTCCAGGCCAGAGCCAAGTCTAGAGAGGGCATCCCTGGTGTGCATCCGGCCTTGTTGATGGTTGGAATGCCCACCACCGACGGGCACGCATCGCTACCTGGAGTCGAAGACGAGATAGAAGAGATCGCAGAGGTGGTTGAGCCTTCATTTACCGTAAAGAGTCTACTACATCCACAGCCTTCGCTAGTGATGTCTGATCTTGCTTCCTATGACATGATCCACTTTGCATGTCACGCAGTGTCCGACACCAAAAGTCCCCTGAACGGTCATCTTTTACTGCAGGGGGACACTTCAAACAGATCTTCAAGCAAACAATGTAGTCCGCTAACAGTCGAGACGATCGTCAAAATGGATCTCAAACGTGCGCGCATAGCGTATCTCTCCGCATGTTCAACGGCGGAAAACAAAGGGAAGAAACTCTTAGACGAGGCTATCCATCTTGCCAGTGGTTTTCAGGTCGCTGGGTTTGCTCACGTTCTGGGTACCATGTGGCCGGCGGCTGACTCAATTAGCCGTGATGTTGCCGTTGGCTTCTATGGAAATCTAGCTTCGCTCCTGTTGAAACCGGGCGTAGATATCGATTGCGCGGTTGCAGAAGCGTTTCATTTCGCGGTCAATGATGTTCGTACCGAATGGGAGGATCAACCTCTCTATTGGGCGCAGTTTGTTCATTTTGGGAGTTAACTGATGTTCTGGTGTATACCTGAAGTGTTTCATTGAATATTTCACAGGAACTACGAACCCCTTCATCTCCAAGATCTTAAGTTTGGGGAACCTCGGTAGTAGATGCCTCACCAATATCCTCATTCAAGGTAGCTTCCAGATAATTCTCAACTTCATCATCACTCTCATCACCTCGATCCGTGAAGAGGCTTTGCCAACAATTCCTTCTCTGCAATCTGGCCGCATCAACATCCCTTCTGCGAAACCATCTAAACTTGACTTCTCGATACTGCACAGCATAGACTGCCTCGCCAAGACATGGAAGAGAGTTGGAACCATCATGGCTATCGGCCTGGATCAATGAAATATCTCAATGCCATAAGCTCCTGAAACCAACAACCAGGTATATCCGCTCACTTGAACGGATAAGCTGTTTCTCCATCCACTTCCTGGTATTTCTCCTTGTGCACATCTCTTCGAACCAATCATTCGAATTCTTCAACATGCAGGAGCTGGAACGGTCTACTCTAATCGTACGATCGACGTCAGGGTCCCCGCGCCTTTTGATATCCACAATGGCGGAGAACGAGGTGTGACTGGCGACGGAAATTTTGATGGTATGCGAACGTTGCTGGACGTTGACAATACACTGAGATTGACTGGGAGGAGCTGGCAGGGCGTGGAAATTCTGTCGCGGCCACAGTGCGTTGGTGGTTAAGCTACCGAGGAAATTGTCTTCCACAGGAAACACCTGGTGTAGAAGACCGTATGGGATGGAAGAGGAGGTAGCGCAAGCTTCAGCCGAAGGTGTGTTCGAAACCGAATTCCTTGCTTCTTCCCTGAGTTGGTCCCTGGGAATCATGCTGATTAGCTCTTTCGTGTACGCCGCCGCTGCTGCCGCCGCATATGGCTGCCATTCCTTTGCCTTGAACTCGTCGGCGTAGTCAGAGATCCCGCGAATCACCAGACAAGGGAAATTTTCCAGGTCCATTAGCCCCGCGGCCTCCATTTCGAAACACAGAATGTCGTATTTGGCAGCTAGTTCGTCCCTAGTCTTTGCATGTTTTATGAGACGATTGCCGGAGGCTATGGTTCCATAGTGTACATGCGGAGCATCGGATGAACGTGTCGGGCGCTGCATCACAGGCCGTTTGTCCACAGGCAAGTCTGGGTCGGACGAAGCATCAAGAAGCTGATCGTGATCGGGACCAGGGGACCGAAAATCGGGGCATTCAACGATGATTTGATTGAGGATATCTCCTATTCGTCCCTGGCCGAGAAGGTATAATGATCGGATATTGCTTACCGCGGTGAGAAGACTCCATGGAGGATGATTCATTGAACCAGTCCTTAGGAAAGTTCCATCCGCGATTGTCTTGCCGTAGTCGTAGGCGACGACTCCCCCCAGGGAGTTTTGAGGAATGCCAACCACAACATCTCCAAGGCGGACGTCTGAGGATGATCGAGAGATAAGAGGGACACCACCTCCAATCCCTACCATAAGACCGAAGGAAAGACCGGGAAATGTGCTGCTCATCTGTTTTGCAACAACGGCAGCTGAGGTGGTTCCGTAGACGCCGGAGGGAAGACAAGCCATCACGACGTTATGTGATTGGATCTTCCCCAGCGCGTAACTGTTCGTGTCGGTGGGGGGTTGCGGTAGGCTAGGATGCCTTTCATCAAAAAGGATCCTTGCTGCGGCCATTTCGATGGGCAGAGCGCATATCCAGCCGATGCGGTAGCTGTCGTGGTTGAGAGCCATGTTGATAACGAGTAGCTGTCACTCGAGTGTGGTCAAGCGCAGGGGAAATGGCTTGGAGTGTGTCAACAAGGTCAGAAATGGGGGAGTCACAACGAAAAGGCCGCCGCCAGTGGATGCAATGGTTCTCCAATCACCAGGAAGACCAGGATATACATCCTGATGTCTGAGCACCCAATATTCATGCCTTATTCGTCTAATCCCCGCAATACAGCCTCGTCTCACAGGACTGAGAGGATAAAAGGATAACCCCCTCTTGAGCACGAGTCCGTTCGTATAGTGCGCTATCCACAGCTCCAGCGACGTTCCCAATCAGGAATAAACAAGAGACCAAAAATGGCTGAGCATCGTGATCAGCATTTCGAGGATTAGAGCCAACCTTCTCACCAACGTTGCTGGTCGCGTCACCCCCTTGATTCTGGCCGGGGGATGGAACTTGGCACTCTGTACGAAGTATACCCAGACGACACCAACCTCCTGGGTCTCGATTACAACCAGGGAGAGAGGATCTTTATCCGTCTGCGGAGTGCGATAGATGAATATCTACCGCTGCCTCAAATCATCGATATAATGCTGCACGAGTAGGTAGAATCTGCCCCAAATCGACTATCACCGTAATCCATGGACTGATCTGATCAACCAGACTCGCCCACGTCGAGCATCCCAACCATGGACCTGAATTTGTTATGCTGTGGGAGCAGCTGCGGTGGGAGTTTGGATATAATTCTGGCAAAGGGAATCGTCAAGATCACTCGGGGATTCATATCTCCGACCAGCTCATCATTCCAGACAAAACGGATGCCAACACAACAGTCTGTCCCATTTGAACCTCCAACGAGTATATACGTAGTCTTGAAATTATCATTGAGACTCTCCTGATTCGGGGCTTCCAGACATAGATAATTTTATCCAAGGCCGTGTAATCAGTTATTGTCAGCATGATTTATCAGCGAGTGCAGCATATCAGCAATGCAACACCTTTTACCACGACGCATATCAATAATCTTTAGCTCAACTGATAGACAGAGTAGTACTACCGATCGAAAGGAAGGATGTACTCTGGTCCCTTTATTATCAGGCTATAGTACGAGTGTAAGGGAGAGTGTTATGACTTGCCTTTATATTATTATGATGGGTTGACGGGCGAAGGCGGGCGATTGCATGGTTCGGTACTGTGTGATTGGGGAAATGTGCGGGAGTGGAGTGAGTGATTTCTAAATTTGTTATTGTTGCATGTGGAATGTTTCTGATTAACAAGGCAGTCTTACAATTACTGGAAATTGTTCTACGTTCAGTCTACTATGGAATGATTGGAAGAGTATAGACAAAGTCTAATGCAATTAAGTTTCTATGCAACGAGACCAGCGCCCAAAAGCACCGGCAAATGCACGAAAGGCAGTACAAACAAACAGAACAGTCTTTCTCCGAGGTGCCACACGCCACCAAGTTTCTCGTACACGGTCAGTCCATGAGGATGTTTCTCGGGCCCGAAAGCCAAGTACTAGATCCAAGGTCCGACCACAAACGATGCCGTTGAGCAGCGTAGCCCAGTCCAAGCATAAGCGCCCCAAAAGGCAGCTTAGACGAGGGAACCGAGGGCAATGCAGGGGAGACCAAGGCCGATGAGGTCGTCGTCCTGTTCGGATTAGTCTCTGGTGAGACAGATGGTGTTTGGAAATACTCACGGTGGTAGAGGGAGACGACTGGCAGCAAGCAATGTTCTGCTGGCACTGCTTGCTGATGATGTCCTGGACGGCGATCCCGATGATGGGGACTATAACAATTAGCACTGTAAGTTGGTGTGATTGTTTGGAAAAGACTTACTCTGGATAGGGAGCTTGGAGCACTCCTGGAAGAGACCCAGACCCTCGGAGCCAGATCCAGTACCAATGAGGTTGGACAGGGTACCAGCGAGGAGACCGCTGTCAACGTTGGTGCTGTCACCAGCGTAGGTGGCCTTGTTGCAGCAGGACAGCTGAGCCTGGTCACCGCACTTGTCTTCGGCCTGCTTGACAGTCATGTCGCCGGGGACGGGGAAGCGAACTTGGCTGTTGCCATCGTTGCCGTTACCATTGCCGGCACCGTTACCAGTGGAAGGAGAGCCACCGGGCATGGCCACAACGGTGGCAGCGAAAGCAAGAACAGCAGCGGTGATGGAGAACTTCATTGTGACGGTGGGTTTGGAATTGAACGAGAGTTGAAGCTCGGAGTTGCTTTAAAAGAGCGCTTGTCTGGAAAGACTGGACTGTAAGAGAGAGAAAGAAGGCTAATCAACGAATGTGATTTGTGCTGATGAAAAGAATCGATTTCCGGGCGACTTCGAACACCCTTATATAGATTTTTGTGGAGGCCTCGAGCTCCTGGCCAAGACGCTGTAGGAAGAGTATCGTGCCTGCGGAGCCCATCCATCCGCACGCACACACACTCGACCTGCTTCCCCTTGTGGAATGCGAGATGCAAGGACATCCCTTCTCGTTCCTGGCCTCCCATGCCCCAATAGCTGTCATCCAAGCTCAACAGAGCCTGGCTTCCAACCAGTTGGCATGGATCGACCCCTGGTCCAAACTGTGCATGCCCGGCATCAATGTTGTTTCCGCATACCGTGAGATAGCATGACTGGGGTGCATTGCAGGCCAATCAAGGTCTCATTCCTCCTCGCTTTCCCTGCAGATCCTCATGCGTGCGCCTCGGGCGGCTAGCCTATTCGGTGGTTCAAACGCACGTATGTATGGCTGGGATTTGTTTCTACAGCCATACTCGGTTTCCCTCGTCTAAGTTTCTCCTCTTCGATGCGCCACAAAGTGCCCCGATCTCACTTCTTCCATATTGCTTCAACTTACTTGGCACACCTAACCACCTTGCTATGACCAGGCTCGTGCAATGTTGTCCCACTTCACAGCTCGTGCGGCATGCAAGTGACTGCAAGAACGCTCGTAAGCTCACAGAGCATATGCAATGGTATGTGCTCCTCTGCAAGGGACTCCTGACAGAAGATCGTTCCCTTCAGCCACCCCAGCTACAAAGTGAAAGTGGCAACGGAAATTTCCTCCCCCAGGACTCAGCGCCAGCAAGGGGTGTTCAATGAATCCCTGTTAATCTCCGAATTCCAATTTTGTTTCTAGGCGTCTTGCCTCTTCTGTAATTTGAGCAGCTGGGTTCTAGTCCCTTGGAACCAGCCTAGCTTCCCTAGTTCCTTGTTAGCTATTAGAGGGCCCTTGAAGATGGTATGGTCCGTTCGATGGGTCTGAAACAGGTGACGAGGACGGCATCCATCCTACGGTGAGGAGCATTGCTTCCACTATAGTCGGGAATCCAATCCGGGTCAACATGCATCGGAAGCATAGGTATGCGGCGTTCGAGGTGCTGCCTTCGGGGATATTGTGTGTTGTTTGGTGCGTAGATCATTGTGGTTGTGAGGTTGCTGGGGAACTTGCAGGAGGAAGCTCGGATGGTGCCTCGTTCCCGGGGCACGTGGCGGCCTTGCTGCCTGGAGCGGCTCGCCAGTTTGTTCCACGTGAAGGTGCATCTCCGAATTTGTGTTTGTGTAACGTGAAATATGAGGAGTCGAGATGAGTTGGAGCATTAGGTTGTATCTACACGATCTTCTAGATAGATAGCTCCCCCGTTCAATGCCATCAACATCTATAGTTTTTGCCTAGTTGAAAGGATTCGTGTAGTTAGTAGCAACTAAGTGTTACTATATACATCAACTACCACTAATATGGCATTCCCACTTGACTGGCAATATATATATACTCTATACTAGTAGTCGATAGATATATCATCTTGTTGTCACTGTCACGTACTAGGCCGATTATCCTGCTACTAGCACTAGTATCATCAATGATCAGCTTCCATTTCACTTCTTCTGCTAGCATCTATGTGTAGTTCATTTGAGCCTATCCCTCAGTAATCCGTGGTCCAGACAAATACAATCATGTAAACCATCCACCACGTTCATTCCCTGAAGTAAACAGCATCACCAACAACCACATCAATACAAACTTCCTCATACGGCAGAACAGATTTCCACCGAAACACCAAATCTACCAGGGCAACCGATGCTAAAATTTGTAATTATAGAAGTACATGCTCTCAGCAACACCTCACCCTAAGCCATGCCCTCATGCATCGTACATGCTACATACATACATCCTAGTAATAACCTCGTGCCACTCTTCCCTGCAAGATCGCCTCAAAGCCACGCCATCATGCATTGCATCTCATATGCGCAAGATACCAGCCCCCACATATACAAAACCCATTCGTTCCAACAAGATATTTGGAACTCCCGACTTACGCCGGGATAAATTCAGCAGTTACATTCATTCTTCTCAACAAAGCCTATTGTTGGGAAGTTAACCTTGTAGTAAAGCTAATTAGTTTTCCAAGGATACATAGATCCCGTTATTGGAAAAAGCCTTGCCTTTCGCATAATTAGCCCGTCTGTATCCCTTGATTTGATCCCGACCCGGCCACCTCCCTGCTCTCCTCCAATATAGGTTGTGATCGGCGCTTTGCTGGTCGGGCTTTTTCAGGTTATAGATACCTTTGCCTTAGGCATACAGGAGTCTCTACGTGGTGTGGCTTGGTGGATGTTATGTTATATTCCACCTTAATGATGGTGCATAGGTGTTGATTTTCTCATAAACCTCACCATAGAGATTATTTAATAAGTAACGCATTGTGGTATGCCTGATGGAAGCTGTAGATATATCAGGGTCGGTGAGTGTAACTACTGTTTTGATCTCTGTGGATATCTTTTTAAAGTAGGTATTACAAGAAAGGGCTTCATCAAGCGGTCAATGTAGCTCAACGATCAGTATGCCCCCTCGCAATGAATATTAATCGACTAGTTGGCACTTGATATTTCTACACAAGTGACTGTAGCAGCGCCTTTCCTATGGTGTGTTAGTCCGAGCCCTACTATGTTCAGTATTCTCATATTACTGCGGGTAGTTACCATTTCATGTCGAGGGTCTAAGTGAAATATATCTAAGTAGTATAGACATTGCATCAAAAAAATAAAAGCTATTTAGTTACAGGACATCATCTGCTACTCGGCTAGTGCCAACGCAATGGCTTTCTAGTCATTTAGTGCTACAATGATGCTATCGAATACTAATCGAAGCAGAAGTGCTAAGTAGTAGTAACATGAGTTCGGCATTATGCGAAAGACAAGAAATATATTTTGCTGGCACTTCCCGGTCTCCAAAAAGCAATTGCTAAGAAATCACATCAAACACGACTAGTGGCATTTCATATCCAATGAATATATCTGAGGGCTTTACTTAGGAAATATCTCCAATGGACGATATGATATCTTGACATACTTATCAATAGATTGTCATTTCGAGTGACCAGTGAATCTACCTCCATGTCATCCAATCACATCACCAAAATCACATGATCCAAAGCGGTGACTTTATACCACCTAACCAAAAGAAGTTAGACTGATCTCACCTCGAGCAACTCGGCTTAGTCATACCGGCAAATCCAACCTTCCGGATTCACATCATAAACCCATTGAATGATGCAGTGAAAGAACCCAAGCACCCAGAGGACCGTTAACCTCTGCGCTTCTGCATCATATACCCGCAAACACAGCTCAGCTAGCAAGAGGGAATAGCTAATCGCAGGAGATGTCCGCGAATCCTTCGACCGACGACAACCCATCCGCGGCGGGATCTCCGCCTCAGGTCCCGGAGACCCGAGAACCGCAGCAGCAGCAGCAGCACGAGGAGTCCCCGACCGCGGAGGAGATAACACCCGGCCCTGAAACCAAGGAGAGAGAAGAAACAGAACCAACAAGCGAAAGAGAACCAGGAGAGGAACCAGAGGCAGCAGCAGCTACAGAATCAGATTCCGCACCTCCGTTACCGGACGAGGTCCCCCCGCCGCTCCCCAACGAAGCACCCCCAGGGGATAATAAAGATGACGGATGGGAACCCGTCTGGGACCCCACCGCCCAAGCCTATTACTTCTACAATCGGTTCACGGGGGTCTCGCAATGGGAGAACCCGCGCGTACCGGACGCGACAGCTAAGGCGGATGATAACACCGCCGCGGAGGATGCAGACGCCGCCGGCCCCTCTTCCTCCGCTGCTGCTGCGGCCACCACTGCTGTGGTAGGTGGCTATAACCCCGCCATTCACGGTGATTACGATCCTACGGCGCCTTATGCGCAGCAATACGAGCAGCACAACCAGGACACCGCGGGGGGAGGGGCGCTGGACCCGGAAAAGGCATATGAGGCCGTGGGCGCGTTCAACCGGTTTACGGGGCGGTGGCAGGCGGAGTCGCAGAATACAGAGTACCACAATGATGAAAATAAGTCGCACCGACAGATGTATGCATTCTTTGATGTGGATGCGGCGGCGAATAGTCATGATGGGCGGAGTCTGCGGGCGGAACGGAGTGCGAAGAAACTGACTAAGAAGGAGTTGAAGATGTTCAAGGAGAAGAGGAGGGAGAAAAAGGAGGAAAAGAGACGGGCGTGGCTGAGGGATTGAAGCTGCTGGTGGTGCTGGTGCTCGATTGAGCGAGCGCATTCTTACTTTGCTTTCTACTTGAGATACCTATTCTGTTTGTATGCTTACCGAGGATGCATGGCGTTGATGTAGTTATGGGTGCATGATAGAGCGGAATGTATAGTATATCTGCATTTACAATTGTCATCTAGTATTGCAGCTACTGTACAGAGTAACTATACTTTGTAGAAAAAGAGTCACGATAAGAGATGGATAAAGATGGTGAGATCCACATGGTCACCTGACCGGGCATCAAAGTTCTCCCCAGAATAATTACGTCTCGACCACAACAGACAGCAGCATAGACGCTTGACGATTCACGCATATCGGTGAAGGTAAGACTGGCTGTTTCTTTCTATTCTTTGCGTCAGCAGTTTGTTCTCTTGAGCTTGTTCCGAACTTTATGGAGGGGCAATTCATGTGGTGAGGGGCAATACTTTTTTTCTGCAGCAGAAAGATGGAGAAGAAGAGATCAGAACATCATTGCGAGGACAGCGCAAGCGGGAAATCTATTGCTACATATTAGTTTTTTTCGCAAGCCGGGACATATTCTACTCGATCTGCCTGGCTCTTCTTTCATACGAAGAAAGACAGTGGCTGCACGTTATTAACTGATATCGCATACCCCTCCATCCAACCCACTTCAACACCACCAACTTCCAAAACTCCGCACCAGAGATCAGAGACCCAAAGCTAACACGAACCCAGAAACTAAAGACACAAGATACCCACACCTCCCAACTCCAATTCTCCAGCTACTACTACTCAACTTCACAACCACAACCACAACCACAACCAACAAAATGGTCAGCCTAACCCCCGACACAATCGACGACCTAATCTACTCCGCCCGCGCCGGCGAACTCCAAGACCTCCAAACCGACCTCACCACCCTCGCAACCCAAACCTCCACGACCCCGGCGCACATCATCGCCGCAGCAATCGACACCGCCCCGCAAGAAGAGGGCGGAAGTGGTTCGAGTCTGTTGCATTATCCTGCTGCGAATGGCAACCTTGGTATGAATATATCCACTCCTGCCCCCCAGAAGCCTAATGACCATATAACTGATATGATTGGTTTTATGTATATATATAGAAATCCTCACCTACCTCCTCACCACCCTCACGACCCTCCCCAGCCGCGATGAGATCAACAAGGTCCTCAACCACAGAAACTACTCCGGAAACACGCCCTTGCACTGGGCGGCGCTGAACACGCACCTCGAGTGCGTGAAGGCGCTTGTAGAGGCCGGTGCGGATGTCGGGGTGAAGAATGATGCGGGGCTGGATGCGGTGTTTTTGGCGGAGCGGGCGGATTGGAAGACTCAGGAGGAAGGAACGGATGATAATGGGGATGAGGAGGTGGAGGTGGAGATTGGTGGTGAGGGTGAGCAGAAGCAGGATGCTGGGGAGATGACGAGGGGGAGACAGGTTGTGGAGTGGTTGTTGAGTTCGGAGAAGGCGGCGGTGTCGTTGGAGAGTGCGGCTAGTAAGGATGAGAAGAAGGATGGAGAGGGGGAGAAGATGGATACGACGAATTAATTGACCTTATTGGCTGGCTAGTATATATAATGATGGGGTGGAGGAGGGTTTTATGGGAATGGTTTGGTATAGACTTTTGCATCATACATAACGTCACATAAAAGTTCATTGCGCTCTTGGTCTTTCGTGGTCTGGTCTACTCTAATTTACAAGAATTGTATAGAATAAGTGGTTTGAGGTTTAGTCTCGTCGGGCCTTAGACGACGACGAGGAGCTGGATCGTGATGACGATGACCCTTTTACGGCGAGAGAATTCCCCCCAATCTCCCGCACCTTCATATCCAACCCTACGCGGAACTGTCGATCCCGCCAGGTCACCGTCACGCCGCCATAAACTGCCCACAGCCAGATCGGAAACGCCAGCATCTCCCGGCCCAGCCAGGCCGTGAACCACGCCCGGAAGGGCCGGCGCGTCACGCCTCGGGGCGGCCGCGCGAACGACGGCGTGTCTTCGTCCAGCTCCACCGTCTTCCCGCTGTGCAGCATGATGTACACGGTCCAGTCGATAAGGATCCATGTCATCATGCTCAGGCAGAAGAAACCCCAGAATGCGGTCCAGGTGGACAGTGCCTCTGCAATGGCATAGCCTTGGTCTCCGAGGTATTGCGCCAGAGCTGTCGTGACGCCCCATGCTCCGTAGCAAGAGCACAGAATCGACTCGGTGCCTGGCTCGACCAGCGTTGCAAGCACGACGGTGAATTTGCGCACACGCAGCCATCGCACTCGGCGTGCGACATATGCCTGCACGCTCATGTTGGCGACTGGCTGGAAGGCCAGATCACCAAACACAAGGGCGTGCTTGCCCCAGCGTTCTCCTTGCTCTTTCTCCCCGCGGACTTGTTTTCTCCAAAGCAGATCTCCGATCAGGTGGTCTTCACAAATGTTGTCCGAGAAGTAGTCGATACCCGCGTTCCGGCGATGGGGGTCTGACGGAGACGGCGCAGTGAGGTAGTCAAGATGCGAGCGGCGGAACATGTTCGACTTGCCCACAATGCATGGCGCGATCAGGACGGTGTTGATCGCAGTGTACATTTTCGCATGCGAGGACGACAGGAACAGCTCTTCCAAGCGGCCGCCACCGGTCGCCAGCATACCAGCCCCGTGGTCTATGACCATGGTGGTGTCACTGCTGTCGCGATTGGCGTTCCGGTTTGTGTGAGCCTCCAACAGCGCTTCCTGCTCTTCCCTGAGACCAGCGGTTCCTGTCATGTCGACTGCAACCGGCAAGTGGTGCACGAACTTGTACCTCTTCGTCGAATCGGCACCCGTTCCGCATAGCTTGTCCACCATGCGCCCGCAGACGCCTCTGCCGACCCACGCGTTGCAATCGATAATCCAGACAATATCGCCTTTGGCTTCACGGTAGGCACGACTCATGTTCCGAATCTTGGGGTTGGGCCCCAGATCGTAGGCGGGGACGTGGCCGGGCTGGAGTAACGGGTCATCGTCTTCAACGTATAGTCGCACATCGAACTGCGAGAAGTCCGACACCAATTTTTGGAGGATAGGGTAGGCAGGATCACTGCGGGAGGACACGCAGAAGCACACGGTCAGCTTATCGCGAGGGTAGTCCTGTCGGAAAGTCGAAGCCAGGCACTCGTAGAGGTGTGGTTCGAGACCCTTCACCGGTCGGATCGCGGTGACGTGGGGGGCGTTCGAAGCCGATGCGGATGAAGATTTCCGGGGTTTCCTCAAGTAGAAACGCCATCTGAAGGATAACGGAGGTGGAAAGTCAGCAAAGATGCCAAGCCTGATCCAGATGGGATTGAAGAGAAAGAAAAAGGTAGAAAGTTACAGCTGAAGATATCCCAGCATGCAGACAGCCACCACGACCGTATACCAAATCAATCCCACCCAACCGGCCGCGACAGCCCACTGCCAACCGCCATGGTTGATGGCTGGTTCAGCATCGGGGGGTTGCGAACGCGACTGAGGCTCTAACATAGGCGGACACAGCGAGAGGCGGAGATCTGACAGAAGGCAGAACAGGACGATGAGGACATTCTAGGGAAAGACGCAGACGGGCAGCAGGCAGTCAGACGAAGTGGAGGGAACGAGAGAAATGCGGTCGGGGCCACGATTCGTATTCGTTGTTTTTTTTTCTTTTCTGGACTGGGGTGCGACGGCCACGCAAACCGTCAAGCTGCAGCAGAAACAGGCCGTAGACAAGCAATGAACCGTCGAGCCGAAGGACACTAGTGTTCCAGTCGGATCCAGCGGATGGTTGGCTCGGGCGCTGTGGTGGGTTTCACCCGCGAGGCTTTGCACTGTTGATATTAGTTGGTTTAGTGAGGCCGGCGGATGCTCGGATGCAGCCGCACTGCCTCCGCCGGCCTCAGGCACAGTTCCACTCGAAACATTCAACACCGTGCATGGGTTCCGTGCTTTACGCGTATAACCCATTTTCGTTGAAGCTGTCGGAAGAGTTCCCGACCGGTTATACTGTCAGTAAGTAAGTACTCCGTAAAAGTGATAAAGAATAATTGTCCCAAGATTTTGTCCTATTATACAAGATGCAAATCCATCCTTCGCCAAATCCCACCCAATTCCGACTCCGCATATGCAATAACCATCAGCTCGTCGGTGACCCCAAAAGAATAAAATTACAAAACCAGCCAAACCGACACATGAGTATGGTCTGTTACGTCTTTTTCTTCTTCCGGATCAAGTTGGCGTGGAGAACGTTGACGGCCGGCGATGGGTCCGACCCAGAAGATGCCGGAGGAGCCGCCGTTGATGCTCCAGCATTACCACCCTCCTCCCCTGTCTTGCTGTTCTGCTCAACTTCTGCATCGGCTTTCTTGCGCTTGCGAACCAGTCCGGTGGTCATGAGCGTACTAGCCTCCACAGGCTTTTGGGAGGATTCATCCTTCGTGTTTCGTCCCACCACCACCTGTCCAACCCAGAGTTGATCTGCGAGGGAGGCTACCTTTTCGCCCCATGCCTTTGTGCTGGCAATTGAGGCCTCTTCACTGTCAAAATCCTGTTCAAGCAGGAAGTCGATCGCCGTTTTGTAGTCTGCTTCGCTCAGAACAGCATGTCCTCGTCCAGCCTCGGGCCAGTAAAAGGCATCAGCATCCGCAGGTTGCGGGGGCTGAGTTTTAGCCTCAAATAGTATAGCACCTGGCTGGGGTGCTGAAGTAGAAGTAGATTCACCCGTAGGTTCTGATGACAGTTGCTTGTCACGGTCTGTTGTCGTAGGATGCTCTGGAGCGGATGCAGCATCACTAGCCGGCTTTGTATTTGTCACACTTTCGCCAGACATCACCTGGGACACATGGTCCGTCAGGCTCTTGGAATCGCCAAGGACAGACCGAGAACTAGTCATTTGTACCGAGTTCACAAGTCCAGGAGGATTGATAACAAGCCACAAGAACCCAACGAGTCTTCCAGCTGAGCATTCTTGTCGGAACGACATCATCTCCCAGAATTGGTCCAGAGATCTAACACTCCGCCATTGACCCGCATTCTCTGGGGATGTTCCGTCCGCTTCCTGCTTCGGAAGCTCATCATCTAAGTCCACCAAGAAGCGAGTTTTGGGGTCATCCGGAAACCGGGGAACCAAGCAACGCGGGGGCGCCTTGGGATTGTCACACAATTGGTGCACAGGATAGCTGGTGAGCCATCTTGGACGGTCCTTGTCGTCCAATCTGGCCAAAGGAGGAAAGAAGCCCCTGGTTTCGAACCGATCACATCCCGGGACGATCAGGAAAGCGGTTGCTGAGCTTTTGGCCGACTCTGTCTGATGGTCCTGGGCCCCTTTGTCATGCGAACCGGACTCTGGCTCATACTCGCGCAAGATGGGGTCGACGACGCGGCACCACCATTTGATCAGGCCGCGGTCATCTAGGACATGCTTCTGAGGATTGTCAATGCTACCGGGAAACAGGTATTGGTTCTGCGCCCGGGCAAAAAGGGAGACTAGCAATCTGACACCCGGTCTTTGATGGGCTTTGACCAAAAAGGAGAGAAAGGTCTGAGAGATGCGCCGCAAAATGGAAACCTTGGGCGCATTGGGCAGGAGATGAAGGTAGCCGGTGGAGTCGGCCTTGGAAACGAAGATGGTGGTCAGGTGCGCAGTGCTGTACACCAGCACCTCCATGCCAAAGACAATCACCTCTGCACCATCTTTCTCCTCTAAATTGACCGAGGCCGACAGAAAGTGGTTTTCGCAAAAGGTAGGCTCCGGTGTCTCCCCGGGAGGCGCGGCAAAGAGCGCGGTTGAAGGGGAGGGAGTCGAGGAGACATGGCGAATGGTGAGCTGGACGGGGGCCGGCAGCCCCTCGGCCAGCAGCTCGCCCAATTCTACATCAACCTGAGACATCGCGGATGGTGGCTTCCGCTGATGAAGGCCTGTGGAATTGTCCAGCGAGCGCCTGTGGCGTTCTCCAAGTGCTTTTTTTCCCTCCTTGTCTTTTCCCCCTCAGACGCGTTCCATTTCACGGGCGATCACGTGCCGGCAATCTGACGGCCTTTGCGATCCCCGCGTCTGTCAACTGTTGCTTACACTGAATTCACTTGATCAATTGGATAGTCTCATAACATATCAAGGCATTATGAGTATTTCATTCTCCGAGTTTCGATGAATTGTCTGTCGTTGCTAAATCAGAAGTATTCACTTCTAGTGCAGCTCCCGGATTAGCATATTGCCTCTACCAAGGTTCCGCACACTATCTATACTAACTTGAAAGCACCCACCATCTACCACTGCTAGCATACAGAGAGAAAATAGAGAGAAAATGAAAAGACATTTCAATATATACTTCACAGCCACCCCTGAACTAAGGCGTCTGGGTTTGACGCACGCCCGAGAGAGTTTTCCAACAATCTCAGCAGGTTCTTTTTGCTTGATCCTGGCTCCAGTATAATCTGCCGATACTCATTCCATGTCTGCTTATTCCACGGATCCTTGGCGAACCTTGTCAGATACAGATCCTGGGCCAGTATGGCGCAACTGGGTTGTAAGTATTCGTATCATGTCAAGTCATCCGAAGCGTGCTACCACAAGTACGAGTAGTACCCAGCACCATATCCAGCAGTGAGATGACTGACTGTCGCAAACTCATATCCATTCCTACATGTGGAATAGTCCATCCCTAGTATCTCCTCCAAGAGACCGTACCAGAACTTCTGGATGTTCAGTCCCGAACTTGGATTTGAACTGTAGATATGCAGGTCAAACATTGATATCGCTCCGTGGCCTGTAAGAGATTGGGTTTGTATACGTATCGAAGCTGGGACCGTACAGCAGACGACCATACCACAGAGGTTGGCCCACATATCGGCCACGAACAAGGTCATCCACGAGCTGGTCAGGAATCTGTGTCAGGGGATCGGCCTCCCCGCGATGTTGAGTCCGCCATTGCAACAACTCTTCATTTAACTGGGTATAATAGCAGCTCAATCGCTTCAAGACATCTTTTCCTCAAGACCAGTTTTCCAGCATCATACTAGGTATCTAACCAAAGTCGCGAGGGCCTTGTGAACCATGGAAGCGTGCATAATGTCCTCGGGATAGTAGGTTGTGGATAGCGTGGTCCATCTCTACGAAGATTAGCCAGAACATCTTCGGGTTCAACAGCATGGGTAAGAATGACTAACCATGAATCAGTGTGACCATTTCCCCATGTTGAAGAAGATGGGTGCCAGAAATTGTTGGAAACGCGCGCATCAATACCACTGCAGGATATTGCCTGCTTCCATCCGGCTTAGAGCAGCCCTAAAAGAGAGAGTATGAGGAAACGATTATCGCCACAGGAAGCAATGGACTCAACTCACGCTCTGAAAAATGACACACTGCTCCCCTCTCCCCTAACTCCGTCTCTAACCACAACCTCTCTTCCTCTGTCCTCTCGGATGAATTCCGTCCACACAACCCCCTCCAACAACGCATGAAAGTCCTCCCGCGCCATCCACGCCGTCTCCTTTTCAAACAGGAGTTGACGCGCCTCTCACAAATGCGTCTTGCGTCTCCTTGTCCGGCGCGTCGTATTGTAGCATGTATAGCAGCTGTAGATTAGAGATTATGGAGTTGTCGAGGGCCGCGAGGGTGTTTCCGAGGCATAAGTAGTTGTGTCTACACTCGGATAATGGTAGTATTGGACTATATGGGGCTTGGATGTAGATGTAGATGTGACCTGATGGGGCATGGCATGGAGATGTGGTTGGGCACAGTCATTGGTTGAAGGTAGTAAGTAGTTCTCTCATGTCTACCTAGAAGCTTGACTGGTTGTCTAATACTGGGCTACTAGTTGATCCTATTGATTTAACTGAAGTGACTGCTTTGGCCTACAGAAGAAACGGCCCTATTGACCACTCAGGAAGCTTGTGATCCACCAGCATCAGGGGTTGATGGTCACACGGTCAGAGCCCTTATCTGTACTTACTTTCTAGTGACTATTCGCTCGATAAGTGATATCATCAAGTCTCAGTCCAAAACTGAACCTCAACTTAACAACATATGTACTATACCAATTAACACACCGCTTCGATGATTAGAAATACTCCACCACAGCATCCAAATCATCCGCATTCAACAACGCAACTCCCTCCTCCAACAACGTCCTCCAGACAAAATTCCTCGTGCGCACCGGATAATACGGCGTACCCCAATACCTAGCGCCAATGCCCCTCTCCTCCGCCGTCTGAATCTGCTGCCTCAGCGCCTCAATCTGCTCATCGCTGAGCTTCTCCCCCTTGACGGGCCCCACAGCCGAAGCAAAGTTCGTCGATGCAATGGGCGAAATGAGGCCCGTGATATCGGCGTATTCGGGCTCAGCTAGTGCCTCAAGTGGTGCATCGTAGAAGTAGTCCCGGTCTGCGACGGGACCGACCATGTCGAGCGGGGTGTTGCCGGTGCCGATGACGGTGACGGGGCCGGTAGTGAGAGTTTTATTGTCCTTGAGGGTGGTGAGATAGCCCTGGTCGCGGAGGGGTTGGAGAGCGGAGATCACGGCTTTGAGGGTCTCCGGGCCGGAGGTTTTGAGGTCGATGAAAAAGTAGAGGGTTTGGGAGGTGGAGGTGTCGAAGACGCCGCTGTAGGTGGGGTTAATTGCATTTGCTTCTGCATTGGGGGTTGTAAGGTGTAATGATGGGTGACTTACTTGTTGGTTGGGGATGTTACAAATGGGCTACTGGGATTTTGGAGTTTAAGCACGTCCAGGATTGGGTTGATGTAGAGAGATTCCAGGGTCCGATCTTTTGTCAGGGAGGATTCATCATGGCCGACCTGTACTGCCTTGTTAGAGTCGGATCGTGGACTGTGGGAATGTGAGTGTGAGACTGACGTAGAGGGTGTCATTATACAGCCATACATCGGCTTCTGTCGAGATACATCCTTTGGATAGGCCTTTGGTAGAGGCTGATTAGCTAGCTGTGCTTGTGGCCATGCTAAACAGTGCTGTGCCTACCGGTGTAGAAAGGTATGTCTCTCCAATAGTCACTGTCGTGGAGGTTAGTACATAGTCACAATATGGGGGTATGAGGCTACTACTAGAGCAATGGACTTACTTATGCGAGTGAACTGGGATCTGATAGAGTAATAAGCTTCAACTCGAAACTGTATGAAGGAAGTATCATGATTGAAGCAGGAAGAGCATTTCTTCTCAACATGAGGTCCTACAATTAAGTGGAGTACTCACGGGCATTATACCCCGGGTAAAATCCGTCGGATAGCCATAATCATTGCTGCCATGCGTGTTCTTCAATACGCTTTGGAGCTCCGTGGATCCTCCGGCGGCCAGTCTCGGATCGCCGAGCAGGAACGCGGACGCCGCGACAGCAAGCGATCGGGTGTGTACCATGGCCTAGGGAGGAGTGTAGAAAGTATAACAAGTTAATGGATCCAGGCAATAGTAATAGTCGTTATTCAAGATAGAGATGATCAAAGAATAAGAATGATTGATTCCTAATATGTCGGACTCGGCCTCTTTGTTGGGGAGGAGAGACAAATAAAGGGAGGTCAGCCAATCGCGGCCTCACGTGGCGGCCAGCAACCCCTATGGACATGCAGATGGAAAACACGAGCAACCACCAAATCCATGATGGAGTGAATTGGTAGCATCTAATCTCTAGATAAAGAAACATATGCATTTTCATCTATCTAAATCTCAAGATAATGGTAGGTTGGTTGATAGGTGTCAGAGGTGGTGGTAGTGGTCAGAGACCACATAGGCAGAGATGACAGAGGATCAGGTGATGCCTGGCTATAGTGAACGTCTCAACATCTAATTTCGACTTCGCCATTTGCTTGACACTAGAGCAACATACATACAGAGCGAAAGGACTAATGAACATCAACCTAACGCTAGCCTTCTAAATTAAACTAATTGCACACAAACCAGCCCATCTGCGAGACGCCGGGGAGGTATCATTCAAACATAAGAATCATTATAGAAAAGCTAACACAATAAATGACACGGATCCATAGCCCAACAACCCAAGCTCAGACCTCCCGAATCGATGGTGGGCGAGAGCTGGTTTGAGACTCCTGTGTGCTGCTCCGCCGGAAGCTCAAGTTCCCAATGCGTTGGACCAGATTGCTTCCTACGGCGTCCACAGCTCCCTTGGGAGCAAGTAATGTGGGCCCTTGCGCTGCCGCCTCCTGGACCTTGAACAGCTTGATACTAGTTCCGTTCCAAACACCAACCGTGCCCGGCGTGGCGCCCGAGGCAGTGCCAACCACCATTTCGCTCGAGAAAATGAATCCCCAGAGCAGAGATTCGTACCAGCCCATAGAAAGGGCGGACCACTCAAATGAATGAACACGGACCGGCGATGGCTCTGAAACAATGGTATGAATTGCGGGATCTTCCAAGAACGAGGGCAGGTTGCTAATCAAGGTTCGAGCTTCAGGGCTTGAAGCGGATCGGAACGCAGCCTCAGGAACATGAGGAGCAATGGCAGAGACAATCGTGAGAATGGTATGGAGTGGCAATTCAGCCAACCAGGATTCGAGCTAAAAGAAATACACTGTTAGTGGTGTAACGCATGGAAATAAGGATAGTCACCTACCCATGCTGTAGTCGGCGTGAACCCGCTAGAAGATGTTGGAAACGCCGCCGAAAGACTACTCTGACTAGTCATGCTGTTTTGCCGCGAGAACGACGGCTGTCCAGCAGGCATCTTGCCCCGTGCCTTCTCAGACATGCCGCGCAGCTGAAGGGGAACGCTTTCTTCAATGACAGAGGAAATTGAAGGTCGACGAGAAGTCTGTACTGATGGCGAATCCTGCGCCGGTGTGTCCCGTCCCTCTCCTTCATCATCCGAATCCTCATCTCCACCAATGGAAAAAGGACTATTTTCTTCTGGTATGCGACCCAATGGAGAACGCGTGTCTGAAGATACCGGATGTTCTTCCTCTGAGGCGGAAAGAACCGGACTGCCCACGAATTCATGCGAACCGCTTGAAGACTTTCTTCGCTCATTCTGGCGTTCTATCTCTTGTTGACCGCTCTCAAGAGTGAATTCTCGCACTGCCTCAAAACGCTTTCTATACTTTAGAATGGCATATACGAGGAATGGGTTTTCTGCAACAAGTTAGCATGTTATTTGAAGATTTGCAATAAACGACCTACTGGTAAACTGATGTTCAAGAATTGAGTTGATAGACTCGAGGACCGAGGAAAGAAGGGTGTGATTCGTCTCGTTAGCCAGTAGAAAGCTGGGCGCTGACATGGATGAGAAGAGCTGCAGCAACTTCGAGCACGAGCTCGGAGAAAGATGTTCAACATGCGGGGCAATGTTATTGATGATAGCCAAAAGCGCAGGGTATACTGTGTTCAGCTTTCCTTTGCTGGCAGTGATCAAAGTGTGAATGGACTATACCACTGTCAGTTCATGTAACTAGTCTTCGGAACTCTGAGCGACAAACCATGATCAAAAAATCAGCATAAGATCCCCGGAACGCAGGGATACGGATACTCTGAGGAAGAGTCTCCTGAGCCTCGAACTTGGTATTCAAGCTCTGCCCAAAATTGGGCTCCACGCTCATCGTCTGCATGATGAAGATGCACATCCTGACGACGCCCTGCTTAGAAGGGTCTGATTTATACTCGATAGCATAAAATATACAGAGGATAACAAAGTCGTGCGAGCGGTTCGAGTCGATGATGAAGGACCGGAATCGCTTGTTGCATTGCAATGCCTCCCAGAACAGAACGAGCATCTCGGGTGCCCATTTGACCGATCTCTGGCTACCTGGAAGATAGGAGTTGGTCGCTTGCATCTTTTGGAGAGGGGGTTAGCAGGGTGACTGGGAAAATCGACGGCAAACTTACCGGCTGATTCAAGATTCGAGTCATGCCATCAGTAAGGAACTGGAAGTCTTGCGGCCGATGTAATCTTCCGAAGTAGTGTCGATAATAGTTCTTCGGCGGTGCTCCGCGACCATCTTCCGGCACTGGATATAGAAGAAGTACAAGGAGAAACTGCAGACAATAGATGACCAATATCTGCTTGGGGTCTTTCCAAACGACATGATCATACGGCACCCTCCATGAAGCAGGGTTGTACTTGATAGCCTGTCGTAGATTCGTCAGTACTTTCCCACACCCTGCTACCTGCAATGCTCCCAAAACGTACAGTGTTCAGTAGTGAGCATAGTAGAGTTAGTACCACCTGCTTGTCCGAACAAGTCGTCATGTACGTGATAGCCTTGACGCCTTGCACAGGAAGTAGACCTTCGATAGTCAGCAAATAGTTCCCAAAAAAAGGGAAGACAATCTACTCACTAGACGGCATGTACATTGCTTTTCCGGTCAAAGTAAGCAATAACCGTAAGATTTCGCAGCGGTTGTTCTCTAGCTCTTTTGTAGAACCCATTGACGTATTGCAACCCACCCCACTCTGCCAGATCGAGTACGACACCTTGCTCTTCGCGGTAGGCAACGGCGGAATTGTAAAGTTAGTGTAGAAAAGGAGCTCCAGCAGGTTGTCAATCAGTTCCTCAGCTAAAGGTTTCGCATCTTCAAAACCTGTGGCTCGCGGGGCTGTCTGATCTAGGTCCTCCGCCTGTGCTTCATCAAACAGTACCTCCGCAGCAACTTGCGCCTCTCTGGTTCTCTTCTTGCGACGAGTCCAGAAAAACTTCTCCTCCCATTCCTCTAGGTGTTCAGCCTCGTAAACAAAGGGGAGGAGGCGGGTGAGGATGCGGACACAGTTGAGTGCATCGCGGTCGGGGGCGAGTTCGGGGTCAGGAAATGATGGATGGTTTTTCAAAACGGTGAGACGCGAGGTGACTGAGAGCAAGAGGGTTTCAAAGTTAGATAAGGCATGATCGCGAATTCGTCGTATATCGGCAGGTGTGAATAGGCTGAAGACGTCCTCTGAGGACTCTGGGAGCTCCCAGAACTACACGAATCGGTCAGTAATCCACTTAGGCGTCGCACAAAAGCTGGAGCAGAAAAAAGGGAGGCAAACTCTGGCCCAATAGGGATCATCCGCAGGAATGTCCTTCTCCTCTGAAAGACGGAAGATGCCCTGCTTGAAGACGAGCTTGGACTCCGAAGCTCCCATCGTGAAGTCTCCAGCGAAGATCACGGAACTATTGACCTCATGCAGTAAATCAGCGCTAGGATCTCAGGAAGAATGTCCGTTATGAGGGTAATCCTCGGGGGTTATTTGCTTGGGACGTAAGCCCAATAGTTTCCGGCCGCGTGTGAATGAATGAACTTGTGGCATGTTGGCGGTCTTGGGGTCAATGCCTTGGAAGCGGGAACTAGGCCCGCGGAGAACCGGAGATCGACTGGGGAACGAACCTCAGCTGAACCTACACACCGTCTCCTATTTTAAAGTACACGGCGATCAAGTCGCAGTCTCGGAGATTATTCGAAAATTATTCTTAGGAATCGGACCCTCTCTAAAAGTACATCATGCAACATGCAGCATCATAACAAAATACGGCCTAAAGGTAGTTCCGAAGCACCCCGCTAGTAGAAAACACGAGTTTACATGAATCGTCTCTTATTCTTCCCTGAGACCCAAAACAAGACCAATAATGTGGTCCAAATCAGAGGCTACCGTTGCTTGCTGACAGACGCCGGCTCCGCTCATACAGCCACTTGTTGCTCAAACCCAGGCTCACACGCTTGCCACCTACTGGTGAAGGAGTTGCAGGCGCAATGCTGGACATGCCGGAAAATGTCGACATAGTCGACTCCCTGAACGTGGATGTAGAGTCTTTGAACGTAGACTCCTTAAAGGAAGATTCTTTGAAGGGCGAGAAGGATGAGCTGCGCCCGAGCGGAGACGAAGATCCGAAGCTCGGCCTCCGCCCGCTCTCCTTGCTCCCATTCGTGACCACTTTGTGCAACAACGGGCTCGGAGAAGGCGAAAATGAAGGTCCTGACGATAGCCTGTGCCCGGAAGCGCCAGCACTTGCTGACAAGGGCGAACCGGATCTGCTGGCTGGGCTGGCGTTCCGAGACGCAGAAAGTCGGTACCTGGGCGGAGTAACGTACGTCGTGCCCGGGGTCAGTGACTGTGTGGCGGAGGGATCCAGTCCCAAAAGCGAGCGTTGTGTAGGGGTCAATGGAATATCGGAGAAATTGTCTTTCGGACGAAAGAGAGGGTACAATGCAATCAGGATGTTCAGAGCAAAGATGACTCGTAGGACTAGCAATGAAAGATCGGGATATGTAGAGATCGGACTGATGTTCTGAAGCCAAAGCGAACTGTTGCGACGCTGGTTAGGAGGCCCCCTGGAACCACGCACTTGATGTGTCTGCTAGCAGCACTCACTATGACTTGACGGTATCTCCAAACACCCAGGTCGCGAACAAAGCGGCCGTGTTCCACACAAGCTTATTTATATTGCGATCTCCGAATGTACCAGCATTCTGTCGACGGACGACCTCGTTCAGATGAGGATGACGCCACTTTCCAGGCGTCTGAGAGCCATCGGGTGTTGCTGCAGGTGCAGATGCAGCTTTCGGGGTAGAAGGAGGGGCGGGGGACGCCATTGGTTTATATTGAAGGCGGGGGAGAGTAAACGCTTGGGTGGAAATAGCACTACATGGTCTTAGTATGGCATCTTGTCACGACGATGGACAAAGGGGGGGAAGGGTATGATGACTTACCTGAAATAGGAAAATTGCTGTTGGACTTACCTGTAGTTGAATGAAATGCGAAATGAAGATACGCGTGCCCTACCACATCGGTGACTATGGGATCTCTGATGACGGATTACAAAGAGGGCCCCGACAGGATCATGGTCGCAGGGGAGGGGCAGGCAGGAGTCGGGGTTGAGTGAATGTGAATGGGGCAGCGACTGATTGTTTTGATGATAAGTGCGCCGGCAAGGGTCACTGGCAACCACAAGCGCCTTTGGCGCGAAGTTTTCAGCCAACCTAAATCGGGAGCTTTCAGCGGCACTAGTCAGCTTAGGCGCCGCGGCTCCCCACATCTGGCATCATAGCCATTCTTCCATAAGCCATTAGCCTCAGCCCCGGCTCAGCCCCCTCACGTCACCCATTCTTCCATCGATCTCACCCCGTTCATTAAAGAAGCAGCATTTCTTTCTTTCAATTCGCGTATGGATGCTTGATACGCCACACTAGATACACTCGCTCTCTCCATAATGGACTCCAATCCGTCCATCGTGGCCAAGCTTGATGCCTTCGTGGCAGAGCTCCTGGCCGACTGGAACATCTACACTACTCTGATCGCCGGCGGCATTGTCGCTTTCCTCGTCTTCTCCTTCGTCACCTCGAAAGATTCCGATATTCACCCTTTTCTACTCGCTCGCCAATCGACCGCTTTTCCCGTGCGACAGCCCGGTGAAACTGCTCAATACCGCAGTCTAGAGACTCCTCACGGTTTCCCCCTCCGATCCGGACTCAACGTCAAGGACCCCGGCGCTCCGAGATGGACAAGCGGTCGCAAGGGTGATCTGCGCGATGTTTGGAAGGCCGCCGTGCGAGGTGCAGTGGGAGAGGATGGCAAGGGCTCTGGTAAACAAGGAAAGATCTATACTGTGCTCGGCAGAAAAGCAATCGAACATTCGTTAGAGCAAGTTACCCAAGAAATCAATGTCATCGGAAGTCGTTTGCAGTCCTCCAAGGTGAACACGGTCGCCATCTGTCTGACAGACTCGGTTGAGCTTCTGGCTGCTATCTTCGGTTCGAGCATCCTTCATTTGTCCGATGATTCCATTCGTTGCTGACGAGATCTCTAGCGGGCGCTTTCTACGGACTCAAGACAATTATCATCCCCCATAACTTGGAGGCCGAGTCTCTATCGACTCTTCTGAAGGAGTCCGAAGCGGAGGCTCTTATCGCGGAAGCCGGCGCTCTTGATCTGTCTCTCGTCGCCAAGGGTAATGATCAGCTCTCGCAGGTCATCTGGGTCGCGAAACTCGGAAGCAGGCACATGGACTGGAACGATGTCCCCGAAGATGTCAAGGGCACTCTGGAGGTGAATGTTTGGCACGAGCTGGTGGAAGAAAAGAAGGACCTTGCCGGTCTTGAAGTTCCCAGCTGGGACCCCAGTTCTCCTGCGCCTTCGCTCACCACTGTCTGGCCATCCAAGTCCTCCGCAGGCGAGTTCATCGAATATCAATCAGAAGTAGGCAATCTCTGATAACACATCCGGCTCAGTCGTGCGCTAACATAGATTAGAACTTGGTTGCGGGTATTGCTGGAATCATGTTCTCCCTCCCTCGTCCTCAGCGGTTGAGCTCCAACGATCTCGTTCTCTCGATTGATTCCCTTTCGCGGTCATACCCTCTGTGTCAGATCATGGCTGCACTGTACTCGAATGCGTCTGTTGCCCTCAACTCGGTTGCTGGAGAGAGCGTCGACTTCGCTCTCGCCACTGTTGGATTGTCTCCGACAGTCATCATTGCTTCTTCGCGCACCATGTCTGAATATCACAGCAAATTCATGAAGCCGCACTCTGGGTTTATTTCTCTCTTTTCTCGCTGGATCCAGGTACGAAGCCTGGATTCTGGTTACATGCCCTCGCATGGTGTGCTGAACCAGGTGGCCAACGTCGGGCCGACCGCTGAACTCTCGCTCGATAAGCTGCGTCTGTTGTGCATTTCGCACCGTGTTGATGCCGATCGTGAGGCTCAGCTGGACTATGAGCAACTCGCAGACTTGCGTATCCTCACTGGAGCACGCGTGGTGTACGCCCTGACCGGTCCTGGAGTTGCTGGTGCTGTCTTCCAAACCAATGTTTTCGACTATCGCCGCTTCCAAGGCTCGAGCCACTTTGGTGCACCTCTGAGCAGTGTCGAAGTTGTGCTGACTGGTGTGTCGGGTGATGAGGCAAACGAGCAGGGCCAGGTAAGTCAGCCGACAATCAGACATCTTTTTCATCCGCTAATCATTTCCTTAGATTACCGTATCCGGTCCTTCTGTCATCTCTGGCAAGACCACTCTGGAAGGACGTGCTCGCATTCGCGATGATAACACCTTTGAGCTCCTTCCCTAGTCCACTAGTCGAGCACATAATGAGCGTTTGAGCATATATTCCGGGTTCTTCTTTCCTACTGTCAACCCTTTCAACCTTAAACCATCCCATCAGTAAACCATCTCATCACTGCATCATAACAATTGAACCTTAGCAAGCACAGCTTAGTTTGTCTCAGAAAGAATGAAAGGAAATGGCATCTATCTTCAAATACAGATACAGCTCCGAACGATCCAAAATGGTAATATACAGTAAAGATAAAATCAGCTGAAATGGCAAAATGTAGCAAGACACCGGCTCTAGTTCTCATGCAAGAGCTGAGCCTGCGCCAGACCCAGCGAAGGGTTCTTCTGAATCTCCTCAGGAGCGCTCTTCTTCTGCTTGGCGATCCACTGACCCAGCTCGTTGAGGCGGTTCTTCAAGCCAGGAGCAACAGCCTTGTCATTGGCAATGCCCTGCACCTTCAGCGCAAGCTTCATACCGTTATAGATCGGCACATTCTCCTGCAGCATCTTATCCACAGCGCGCCAATCCTGAACATCACTAGCAAAGTTACCCATCTTCCAGCACCCCAGCACCCGACTACTGTAGATGCGCACCAGACCACCCTGATCCTTACCCTCGAACTCACTCAGCGCCCTAGCAGCACTCAATTCCAACAGTGTGCCAGACACAAACGGCTTCCTCTTCGGATCAGCCATCAAATCATGCTGAGCATGTGCCGGCCGCTCCATCAACCCAACCAACTGCGTCGCCATATTGAGAGCCTTCGTAACCTCCTGACCCTGGAACTCCGCCTTCTGAGCCTTGCGATGCAGCTCAAAGAACAACCGCTGCACAATCCCGACCTCATTCAGCTTCACGCCCGTCCTGTCCGCCTGCTTCGCGCACTCCACCACAAAGTTCAGCGCATTGTGTTCGCCCGCCTTCCGCACAAGCCACTCCATCCGGCTAGGCTTCAAATGCCGCTTGGCCATCTGAAGTCCCGACAGGAACGGCACCAGGTTCTTCCAATCCTCCTTGCTCTGCATCAGGCTGATTACCTCCGCGGCTTCTTTGAGCGTCGGTCGTGATTGCGGGTCCATCGGGCGCAGGAGGAAGTCTTCGTCCTCGCTTATGTTGGCCGTCACTGGCTCTTGCTCCAGTCGGTCAGCGTATTTCTGCCGAAACATGAGACGTCGTTGGTCCTGGCCTAGACCGAAGGGTATGAAGAGCTCTTCGCGGAACCGGGTGAGGGCTTGGTCCAGCTCCGGGGACGAGGTTTGTTGGAAGGTAGGGATGGCTGCGGATGGTCCGTTAGTTTCTCCATCTGCTCAATTCCAGAGTACATCAAGCAGGTAAATAGACATACCATTTCTCGAAGCATTGCGCGTCTGTGTGAGCGACCCGATGGATTGACGCAGAGTAGTGGAATTCTGGCTGCGGAAGAGCCTTCCCACGGCGTTTTGCGCCATCGTTATGGGAGATATCTATACTCAACGGACCACAAAGAAAGAAAAAGAATACAGTCCGGAGGAAACTCTCACTCAATCCCTCGAAACAAAACCACCGGGGTCGAGCAAGTAGATAGATAGTTATTTGGCGGCAGAAAAGTTCCCGAGCGTCGAATCTGGGACTGATGGCCCAAACAGGCAACTCGCGGCTTGGCGGAAATTCTGCCGGTCCGAATTTCTCGATCCGCCCTCCCAAGTTCCGCATCACGATTGAACCTGTGTCTTGCTTCCTCTGAACGCCAAGGTGGTTTAATTGCACCAGGGAATAAGCCATGGCGTCTTCTTCCCCGATCCTGCAGCAGCTGGGCTGCTTCCGGTCCCTCCTCCTGAAGCCTCAGTCCCTGTCGTCCACCGTCAACAACCAGATCGGTCGCCGTGCGCTCAGCACCGTCTACTCCGCGAAGCCTGAGCCCAAGCCTCTCCCTAAGAACCTGCCGGAGCAGTTCCTTCGTCAATTACCGCTTCGCATGCGGCCGAATCCTGGTATGGACTGAACTAACTCATTTTTTGCTTGGACTTGCGTCCGTCTCGAGTTACCGATGCTTGCTTTACCCGGATCATATATCTAACATGTTTAATGAATGATATGTAGAGCGCAAAGAACGCAAGATCCCTCCTCCGCCGCCGGCCCCTCAGTGCAAGGACCCCGTGAACGCCGTGCAAGAGGCCCAATTGGCGCAGCTGGACCCCACGGGCGAGCGCCGCGCTCTTTTCGACTACAGACGGAGTCCTCGCAGTGTCAAGGTCGGAGATGTTTTGCGGGTGACGTTCAAGAACGGAGATCCGTTCTCCGGAGTGTGTTTGAGCATTCGGTTGCGCGGCATTGATACGTCGTTCTTGTTGCGGAACCAGTTGACGAGAGTTGGAGTCGAGATGTCCATCAAGGTGTTCAGTCCTAATGTTGAAAGTGTGGAGATTGTGCAGAGGGCGGAGAAGAGAAAGAGACGCGCGAGGTTGTATTACATGAGGTGCGTATTAATTTCTTTGTGGATAGTGGATTGTATTGGATGGGAAGGCTAACGAGATCTCCTTCGGGTTTATAGGAAGCCCAAGCACGACATGGGCAGCGTCGAGAACCTCGTTGCGAACTACCTCCGGCAGAAGAGATCGCTTACCGGCAAGAGGGGCGGTGGCCAGACGAAGAGACGGTAGACTCGGTCAGACTCTTTCTGCGCATAGTTTGGACTTGGGTTTATTTGGCGCGAATGAATGTGTATTATTACTAGCATATGTGTGTATATTGAATTTCAGTCCCGGTTTTACTTTTTGGGCGGATATGGATGATTCTTGAGATGTTGGTTGCAGCTCATGATACCTACCTAGGCCGGGGAAGCATCTAAAAGAGAGAAAGATAGTGAATTAGAACAACTACACCTTCCGAATCATCTCTTCTACGATCTTCTAGCCAGTTGGCTCAGGCCCTGGGCATATGGATTTCTAGCGTGTTTGGTAACCGTCATGGCAGATCAGATAGCCACCAACGGCTTGCTATGAATGAATTGCATTGCCCAGACAAGACTAACTGCAGAGATAAAGAATGCATTTCTAGTAAATATACCGAAAGCTATCAAAAACAGCAGTTAGCACCCATATATACCATAGCAGACCGTGTATGGGAGAAGGGGGAAAGGGTCATACTTGAGATTCTTCCGATCCGTCAAATCCAAAAAGGCAGTGGAATCCAAATCTCTCCCCTCCAGACCACCAGCCATCTGAGACTGGATTCGATCACGGCGTTTGTTCTCCCAACGAAGCAGAAGACCGAGCGCGGAAATGAGCACGACTTCGATAAGGTGGCAGACGATCATTGACCAGATCCCCAGATCATATGTTGGCCTGTTATCCCAATGTTTTAGTGCTATTCCATTGCTCTGGGGGGTGGGGATAAAGCTTACTTCTGACTCTCTTTGTAGAAGAAAGGACCTGCGATGTTACCGGTACAGTAGCCTAGGAAGAGGACTGCGTTGGTGACGACCTTTTTCGTGTGTCCTATGCAACGTCAGTTTCGACTAATTTCTTGATTAATGGAGGATAGGATAACGTACCGGCTGTGTTTGCGATTTGCATACTAAGAATCAGCACGAAGGCAGCATTGTATGGCCCCGTCAAGTAGTAGCAAATCAAGCGGCCGACCTTGACATGCTGTGGGACGAAGCGTAGCCCAAATGCTCCTGCAATGTTCGGGAGGAGGAAGATCAAGATGAAGATGCAACGCCTGTTCTCGAAGCGGTCGTTAAGGTAGACGCAGAGGAGGATGGATAGTGCAATTATAACTCCATAAGGGATCTATGCCGTTAATGTTTACTCCATACTATCTGTCGTGAGCACTTCACATACCTGCATCAAGGTTGTCACGAGCGTCGAGAATCCAAACCCTTGGATGATAATGGTTCCAAAGTTCGAGATGCCACCGTTGGGAATGTTACCTGTCAACAGTCTATCAGCGTACAACCTTCGAATGCTGCAAAACCGTGACTCACAAACTACACCCAAGAAAAAGAAAAAGTAGAGCTTGTAGTCCGTGAATGCTTCCCAGATCTGATGCGGCTTGATATGCTTATTCTCGATACCCGTCTGGTTTTCCCGCACTCTTTCCACTGCGATTCGACGCTGCCGCTTGGTGAGAAGCGGCGCAGTGACTGGCGAATCAGGCAGGATGATGAACATGACTATTCCCCAGGCCGCACAAAGAGATCCACTGACGATAGCTGATTAGCAGCGCTCCAAGGATCAAGATTCAAGGCAATATCTTACATTACGATGAATTCGTACTTCCACGAAGGAAGGGCACCTCTGATATGTCCAATTCCATAGCCAAGAAGACCACCAAGTGCGATTCCCAAGCCATTGGCGGTGTACCATAATCCTAAGCGTACCGGCTGTTCACGTCGCGTATACCACATACTAGTGATGAGCATGAAAGCAGGGTCCGAGCACGCCTCTGCTGCACCACCTAGGGCTCGCAGGACAGCGAGCGTTGCGAAGTTATGGCATGCTGCCTGTATAATGAGAAATACTCCCCTGCATAAGTTTAGCATACCTTTCATACAAACAAGCCCGTTAATCCACGTACCACATGAAGATATTGGCACCAAGATACTTTCCTAGACGGCACAGTTAGTCCGTATCTCACCACAGAAAGCCTGGCTCTTACCAATTGGTAAGCGTTGCAGAAGAAAGTTAGTGGGCTAATGGGATGTTAACATTTGGATCTCATTTCCCAGCTAATTGAACTCACAAATGCCCAAGCCAGAAAACCGAAGTAGAAGATACTTGATAGCCAGCTATATTGTGTGCCATGGAGATTGAGGTCTTCCTCAATTCCAAAAATTGCTGCGTAGCTCAGTGTTGTCTATTGCAGGTTATAATCAGCCGCTGCAAGGATGAACGTATTAAGTTGTATAGAGCAGCGTACCTTGTCGATGTAAAAGAAGGCATAGCAAACGGCAAGATATGGCAGGATCATGAAGTCAATCTTCCACAGTAGCTTTCTTACTTCCGCCGGATCAACAGGCTCCTCAAGCGCATCTGGATCAGTAAAAAGAGCCATAGCTACGTCGCCATCAGGCGCCTGCTTTTGAACCCAATCTGTTTCATGATTGCTCGCAAGTTGATGGCCTATATTTTCCTCATGAGCGATTTGTGGTTTGGTATGTGATATTTCCGCCATTTTGATAGCTAGTTCAGTGGACCTCTGGTAGATTAGGTCAATGGTTGATGAAAGCTAGCAGAATGTGCTCATGAAGTCTCTGACAGGGAAGCTATCTCGCATGCGGACCTGAGAGGCTAGCGAGCTCAAAGTCCAGCTGGACGAAAGGAAGAGCGATTCGGAAGAACAAGGTGGTTATAATGTCTACAAGACCCCTGCTTTTATGTTCGACGCTAGTAGGAGCTTTGTCCTTCACATCGGGCCCCGGTCCTGGATGCGAGCTCCCCGAGTATGGGCATCTACCAATCATTGAAAGACTTTTGTGCCGACGTGGGGGTCTGAGACGCTGTCGAGGCGAGAAAAGCATTCTTTATCTCGCCTCCAAGTCTTGAGTACCGACTAGCACGGCATATGCTGAGCGAGCCAAGCCACAAATTGTTCACCGTCATTGGTGATCCGGGGTATAGCTTGTATCTAGCACCACTAATTGGACGATATGAGGCAAGAAGTCTCGGAGAAAAGCCGATCAGAACAAGGACTGATGGCGATCTGCTTCAGGCTTTAGACAGGCGTAAGCCTGGTAGGCGGATTAATTATAGAGTTCGCATGGCATGATGTCTTCGAGCATGCCTCACGGTGTGCTGGAAAGTATGAAGCGGAGAAGTGGAGGTGACCCCGCGTGGGGGTCGTCGATCCGGGGTATCCCCAGCTCCCCGTTCCCTCCACATTTCTACTAGCACTAGCACCATCAATCTCTAAAGATAAGAAGTGGACCTATCCTTTATATACCGACTCTGGTCTGGATATAAGCTTCTCGGGGTGTTAGTTGACGGGTCTGACTGCCAGCTCCGTATATATAGCATTAGTGAATAGACATGTAACGCGTCGATCTAAGGTTGATTAGCTGGCAAACCTCGAAGGGCAAAGGGAGCTATGGCTTCGGAGCAAGTCCGCGTAGCAGGATCATCAGGCTGGAAATGGGAAAGGGGATTTATTAGACTATGACTGTGTGCCGCGGGTGCTATCACTCCATAGCCAGAACCCAGTATAGTGGAAACAATGGGCTGGGATCCGATCCTATGGAAGAGACAGTCTGGAGACTAGAATCTGACGAGGATGAAGACGCTACACCCCATTAGGAAACCCGACTTCAGAGCTTAGCCTGACCATGCCATACAAGAGACCCAAGACCTCGCTTAGATAAATCAGCGCCATAATGATGCGGGTTGCTCGCAGGGAGCGTATCAAGCTTATATTACCATCACTGGCAAGCCCACGCACTCATATAAAAGTTACACAATCATGGGACAAGAAGTACAGAGCACCTCGCATTGCCAGTAATAACATATTATCCTATCTTATCCCATCCTCGACGGTTCTTTAACTCGGATGAAGGGACAGCAGACACATGAGGTATAAACGGGACACCGCTATCATCTCTAATGGTCCGCGACTGACAAATCGAAACTATCCAAACACACAGGGGGTTACTAGTCTAGCCGACGACGATTAGCTCGATAGGCGGGATCCCTCCCCAAGCGTCTAGACCAAGCCATTAGTTCAGATTAATCAGTATCTTACTTTATCTTAGAAGGATCGATAAGCTTGGTAATGGTCTCCGTGCCATCTGGCCTATCTGATGCTATCAGTCATGTAGTCTACACAACGAGCACCAGATGGCCGTTAGCAATGGTGACGGACAAGTAACTTGTTATTCAGGGCTTTCAGCATCACTCTGGTGGGTCCTTGTGGTGCCCATATTTGTAGGAGGAGCATGGTCTAATCATCAGAAAGCGACATGTTGCATGTTGCGAGCACGAGATACTGGCATTTGGTTAGTCTTCTAACCAACCGCCCGTTGTCGCTGATAATGGCACGGATGTCGGCAGATAATCCATCAGGAATCCAATAGCATCTGCTTTAAAAAGCGACACAACTCATAAGCCTGTACCTCAGAGGACTAGCAGAGATAATTCTTTGCCGGCCAATAGTATAATAGAGGAATTGGAGGCAAGAAGCTCATATCAACATCAACGAATATATCAGGGCGTCCTTCATAGCTGCCCACTAACAACAGCTTCTCCCTGAGATCTGCGAGGTCATCGGACAGGTTGTGACTTGTCGCTGAGATTAGCATCGAAGGCACATGGACAGGGATGTGCAATACTAGCAGTTGAGACCATTCGGGCCATCGAATAACCGGGCGTTGCGTGATAATGCCAGCATTTTCTGACAACAGCGTCAAGGCTGGGGAGCACTGGAGGGTGGCCGATTTGTCAGTCATCCCGCTATTATTCGTCAACTGACAAGAGTGTAGTCTACACATTCCGTGACAGACTGTTTACTGTGTTTAGCTTTGTACTGTTAGCCGTTGGCAGTTTGTCTCAATCCAAAGACATGTATAGATAGCTCAAGAGATCTATAATGTGGGCATAGTCTGATATTGTAACTGTATTGATTCAAGCTTGATGATCTTGCACATCATTCTAGTTAACACGCGAGCATTCACACATGCAAACGTTCAAGAAATCACTTGGGTTAGTAATCGCATGTAAGGCCTCATAAAATCAGACCAGCAGGCTATATGTGAGCTAGACCTAGCAGAGGTGCGCCGTGTGCAATCATGAGGTGCACGGCAGCATAAACTATTACTGAATGTAGACTGCGCTTCAATTGAGGCTTAGAGCAGACGTATTCAAGGGCTGTCCAGTGGCCGCCCAAGACTCACACTCGAAGCAACGAAGACTTCCGCTGTCCCTCGTTGGTGGTCAATGTTAGAGTATCCGGATAAAGACAAGACCAATGTCTTACTGCCGCGTCGCTGGTGCAAATGCCATACGACGGCAAAATAAGCCGGAATATAGAGCAATCTCCCTCGTGACCAGGATTTCGTACCTGAGCTCAAAGTCCTTCCAAGAGTTGGTTGAAGGGGTGGTGTACGGTAACGGGTAAATGTCCGAGAGCAGCGCGGTCGGGAATGCCGCCAATCTGCGTGGCTTTTGTTATTGAGTAGGATAAGTAGACGAACGGGCGACTGCCAAGCGACCATACAAGCAGACGGCGGTTTCATCGCTGACGAGATTCCAGTCCATCTGCAGACGGGAGTGGTCTGATATGTCATTCGCTGGTCTATTGAGCTAAGGGGATTAGTATAGACAGGGACTTGTCAGCATCGATCGAATTGAAGGACGTGGAATGGTTGCGTTGGGAGCTCTGGGATGAAAAGAACAGACTCCTCATCTCCAATCACATGCTCCCTGGCAGGAATTGATTGATTGATGAATGATCGATCTCCCCACTAAGTTATCAGCTGGTCACACCTGTCTACCGCGTCTGACGGATCGTATCATTTAGTATGATGGTCGAGATCGTTCATATGAATCATGATATGGTGGTGGTTAAACTTTTGGTACCCGTTGTGTAGAGGAGGTCCAACAGTCATGGCATGGCACCATTGTGCGCCCGTTAGGTTTGACGGGTTTGCCAATATTTGATCCTACTGCGCTGGGACCAATAACAATATTATAATGCAAGTAAGTCAGTAGTAATTGACCTCAAGGCATGTGGCCGCTTTGGGACAAGCCAGCCTTCCGCCCCCATCCATCGGCTGAAATGAAAAAAGGCGTAACCCTGAGAGAAACATTATCATGGTTACATTGAAAATGCTTTTCACCCACATTTTCGGTTCCACGACACCCTCCCTTTCAGCCTTCTGCCCGCAATTTCCATACCCCACCGTTTGGAGAAAAAGGACGCTATCGGGACACCAGGCTCAGACTGGACCACCACCGAAGAAGTGGGGGTTATTGCTAACCCATTTCCCGTTTAGCTGCATGCCTTCGGAGCTCTCCTGCCCGCGTCCTCCAATACCCGAAGAGAGAATTCCCGGAGAGGAGGCCCTGGACACACACACCCTCTCTCTCCCTAACTCTCACACCGACTTCCCACCGTCGAATAACACCATCTTCTCAGCCGGCTGCGGGTGCGGACGGCCCTGGTTGCAATTGGCGGAAAGGGCCGTGACGGACCTGCAGATCGAGCCAAAGACGAGGGTCTGAAATTCTCACATGCCCCGACAACCGCCTGGAATTCCCCCAGAAATCGCTCGGCAATAAATAGTCACGATCCTTCGCCGTGCTTGATCGCGGCTAGTCCAGCGCGGTTTATTCTCTAGTGATAGATCCACCTCGCCTCGTTTCAATCCATTGGCCCATTGTCGTTGAATGACTGCAGTAGTGCGACCGCTAGGCAGGCATGGGCAGCCTACTGGACGACCAGGCTGCGGTTTCTAGCGTATCCTAAGGGTACTGCTTGCACCTTCAATTCGGGGAACCTGCCTTTCGTTTAAATAATACTCGATATGGAGTGCTATGAAGATCAATTGCTCCGATGTTTGGTTTCATTGCGTGGGACGCCGTTCTGATCCAGCGATTGTCATGTCAAAGTCTTTCGTAGTCCGGCATGACAGTCAACTTGGTGTCTTGTTTCGAGATGCAAGCCGCTAGTCTCGAGAGATCATTGGCCTTGTAGCTAGCTGTCGATAAACTTAGTAGGGAAGCAAGCCAGTGTTCACAACTCTAAATTTTGAGTGGCTATCCGATCCGATGCCAGGCACGGCAAAGGAACGCTTATCTACTCACGTCTCAAGACCCCGGATTTTCCTGGCAATATGACCAGGGAATGAGCGTAGTTGGCCAACAATGCATCCAAGAAGTCCAAGTGAACGATAGATGAGTGGATGCCGCGGCCTTGTCCGGGAGGCCAGATTCGGCGAGACGGCATGGCTTGCAGCAAGGTCAATTTGTCCTAGACCCCGCAAGCATGAGTTATCTACGAATATGTAAAATTGGAAAGAGGTGGATGAAAAGGTGGATATGTGTGCATCGGATCTTTCCAGATGACAATCAACACCAGGTCATCCGCCAGAAGCAAGCTCACAAATTGTGAGGGGCAGTCAGAGATCTGGTCAGTGGCATTAACGGCTACTATTACCTTACTTCTCTACCATCCGGTCATGGCGCAAAAGGTTCAAGGCTGTTCAAGTTGCAAGTCTCGTTTTCCAGCCTCCACAACCGATTCCAACGCACTGGGCGGTAGTTCTTAACCTGGCGGACCACTGCGTGTAACCATGGGACCAACTGCTCATTCCGCCAATGGCAATGATCGGTCCAGAGGAAGGATGCCACATGTCGTCATGCTCCCAGAGTTGCAAAAGGTCATGAATATGAAGCCGCCACGCAGATCCGAAGATCACTGACGTGGGGGGTGGTTAGGTAAAGCAGTAAACGCAGTAATATGCAACCTGATTAATGCTGAAATTGTGAGGGGAAACCGACCCTCCGCTCCCCGCATTCTACGCAGATAGGAAAGGAGAAATTAAAAATTGCAGTGTCCATGAAGGGGTCAGAGTCCTGGGTATAACGTGGCCTACAGTCGGGATGATTGAGCAGGGCGAGGAATGACTCTAGACAAACACTGAAAAGGGGGGGGAAGATGACCGTCTACACACGAGATCCACCGCCATGGTACGATGATGGTAGGACTGGATCATAGGGAGATGATGGTTGTGTTTGCTCGAATGTGGTCTGAGACACACCAAGCAGCAGCCTCCGCGGGCAGCAGTGGTCATGAAACCCCAGTATCGTCACTTGCCTTACGGCTTCCCGGGCAGGGGAATGGCAAGTGACGTAATTTTCCTTTGGGTGTTTGACTCCCGAGCCACCGGGCCGCAGCAGAGAGTAACGCCTCTTTGGGGCCGATGTTCCGACTAGTACTAGCAATACTGTTAGTGCGCAGGTCTGCAGGTCGCGAGGACGGAAAAGGGAAACAGAAAAATGTAATTATTACAAAAGTATGTTTCCTTCGAGTAAAAAATCAATTTCATGGTAGACAAAGCCCACCATTGTGTGGTCTAGAAGACCCTCAGTGCTGAGCACTCGCACCGATCGTAGCATTCAGGATACGATGACGCATGATGGGGTCCCCCGGAGGACAGACAGCCTGCCTACGAACGGAGGACAGCCGCCCTTCCTTCTCCAGCCGATTTCACGCACCTTTAAGGGGGGGCACGTATCTTAGGGAGCTTAACATCCACAATCGACCCACCCTTGGCCACTTCTGGATAAGAAAAAAGTGGGTAGTGACCATCCTCCAGTGGGACGCTGGCCTTTATAACGTCGAATGACCCTCCATTTGGCCTGGAAACGTTAACGTCAAAAATACATACTTGGGAAACGGCAGGGACACAAAACCTGAATTCTTCACCTTTTTGATAAATCCCTTCCACCCCCCAACCCTCCAACCAACAGACTTGCATTATTCCAACCGATCAGTATCCCTCCTACGAATCATTGCCACTTTTTGCAACCATCATGTCGCGAACTAGAGTTCTGCTGGTCGGAGCTGCGGGCGAAACGGGCGGCTCTATTGCGAACGGACTGCTCGAGAATCCCGGCTTTGTAAGAACCCCTCCCTGCTTTCCTGATATCTTTTCTTCTCTTTGAGCCTGAGTCTAACCTCTGCACCGCTTTCCGTTATTATAGGAGGTTCATGCCCTCGTCCGTCCCCGTTCGGTTCAGAAGCCTGCCATCGTAGCCCTGCAAGAGCGAGGCGTACAAATCCGCAAAGGCGATCTCAAGGGCCCCGAGGAGTCCCTCGCCGACGTCTTGACCGGAATCGATGTCGTTGTCAGCTGTGTCGGGCCTGCGGAACAGCAGGACCAAATCCCGCTCGCTAAGGCCGCAAAGAGTGCCGGAGTCCAGCGATTCATCCCATGTGGATTCATTACTGTGGCACCGCCCGGTGGGATCATGTGGTTGAGAGACGAGGTAAGTCGTGGCCGCCGCTGCAGCCGCACGCCATACCTTCTCTGGTCATCAGCTGACTTCTTCTCCAGAAAGAGACAGTGTACAACCACATCAAACAGCTCCGACTTCCTTACACCATCATCGACATCGGTTGGTGGTACCAGCTTTCTTACCCCCGCCTCGGTTCCGGAAGAACCGACTATGCCATGACTACAGCGAACAACGAAATCGTCGGTGATGGCAACACTCCTCTTGCCCTGACGGACCTCAGAGATATTGGACGCTACGTCGCCAAAATCATTGTTGATGACCGCACGCTGAACAAGATGGTCTTCGCCTACAACACGGTCTTGACGCAGAATCAGATC